GCAGCAGTCGAAAGGACCGATGATAAACCGAACTAACCTAACTAGCGAGAAGAAAGAGAAGAAGAGGAAGAGGAAGAGGAAGAAAGAGGGAGGAAAAAGAAGAAGAAGAAGAAGAACCCAAGCAAGCGAGTGCGAAACTAGTTTGACTAAAAGGAAAAAAAAAAGGGAGGGATGAACCAGACTTTGTCTTCAGGCTAGTTTGTTAGTTGCGCTGCTTTGCTTGGTTTGGCCGATGTCGATGACGATGACGAAGAGATGGCGATGCGATGGCGAGAGAGCATTAGATAGGTAAGAAGTAAGAAAGAAGAAGTACTGGTGCTACAGACGAGAGAGCGACTTCTCGTAGACCCGCGCTGCCGCCATCTCCCAGCGGCCGACCTCAGCCTCTTCTGCCTCTACTGCTGCGTCTACTTCGTCGTCTTCCTCGTCGTCGTCGTCGGCTTCTGCTGCTTCGTCTCTGACGTCAAACACAGTCACTCGCGTTCCCTCGACCAGGCTCTTGATCCTCACTCGCTCCGTCATGCTCACCCTCTTCCTCCCTCCTCCTCCTCCTCCTCCTCCTTCTACTCTCTCTCCCTCCTCGTCAGCCGCCAAAAGGGCAGCCAGCATCGCATCTAGCCGGTCGAGCAGGGCAAAGGTGCTGCGGGCCTGCCAGGCGTAGTCGCGCAGGTAGCTGTCGACCAGCCCGGCCAGGGTGATCATGTAAGGCACTTGGATGGTTGCTTTTTTGCTCGCACTTGGTTAGACGGCTTGATGTTTTTATAGCATAGAATATACAGTAACGTAACTAGATAAACAGTATATAGATGGAGCTTACGGGTGTTGCTGACCCAGAGGACGTCGAGGACGCGCTCGATGTCAGCAGCCACTTCGCTGAAGGACTCGTAGCCAGGCACGTCTTCTTCTTCTCTTTCTTCTCCTTTTTCTTCTTCCTTTTCCTTTCTTTCGTTTCCTGGTTCACTCCTTGTTTGCATGCCGGAGAACTTCTTTGCGTGGCGCCGGTTGATGCGCAGGACGGCCGCCTCGACCCAGGCTAGCAGGTTGGCCTCCTTGCTCGAGCCGGGGCGGACGGCGTGCTGGCGCTGCTGCGGGAGGTCGACCATTCCCAAGGCTTACTAGGCAGGTGCTTATACAGACATAATAGATTGATAAAGATGTAGAAAGTAGTCGAGATAAAGTAATGTAGAAGTAGAAGTAGGAGCAGAAGTAGAATTAGAGAAGTATCAGAGTGGTGATGCAATGATGACTAAGACTAGTTAGCGAGGAACTAGACATAGAAGTAAGAGAGAGTAAGAGATATAAGAAGATGTCAGAGAAGTTGAGAAGATAATAGAATGGCTGGGTGTGAAGACATGGCACCGAAGTGTTCCTCTGGCCCCCAGCATGCTCATCATAAAAGTGGTAGAAGTCGGTAGGAAAAGGACAGAAGACTTACATCACTCCTCGGGCTGGCAGCAGTCATGTTAGCAGATAGACAAGACAGTAAAGGTATCAAAATATAACACTTACTACGACCCTGCCCCGTCGCCTCTTCATCTCCTCGACCCGCCTCTTGTCTTCCTCAAAGCGCCGCAGCAGCTCGCCCTGCCTCTCCTTGCGCTTCTCCCTCATCTGGAACCGGTAAAAGTCCTCTAGCCCCTTGCTCTTCTCCCGCTGTCGAGCAGCAAGTTCACGCATCTCCTCCTCCCGGCCAGCGTCGACCGCCTTCTTCGCTCCTCGCGTGACAGTAATAAAGCCGTCCTCGTCTACCACGTTGCCGCGTCGTCGGGCCTCTCGTTCGCGAGCTTCTTCCGCCTTGCTCAGCACGCTCATGTACTCGTTCACGCTCTTCAGGAGCTCGCTTCGGCTGGGGTATCTCAGCTGGGCATGTCTGTTATACCGCGCAGAGCCTAGAGGATATACGCCCTTCTTGCTGTCGTCTTTGTCTTCGTCATCGTAGTCCTCTATGCTCTCTCCCCACGTTATTGTTGTTGTCTTCTTGCTGGACTTCTTCCGTCGGGTTATCGCTTTCAGGCTGGCTTCCATGCTCGGACGGTCGACAAAGGTCACTACCGCATGCGAGCCGCTGGGTCGTAAGGGCCGGTCCCATGCTGGTGGCAGCTTGATCGTCGACAGGCGGCTCTCGTACTCCTCTGCGCTCTCTTCTTCGCCCCTCTTTCTCTTCTTAGTGTTCATCTCGTTGCTCGTGCTGTTGCTCGTGCTTGTGTCCTCTTTTGTCCCTTTGCTCCTCCTGCTGGCTGCATCATCATGCTGGAACTGGACTCGCTCGACCCGCCCGCTGCCCAGCTGAGTGCCAAACAGGTGTCGGAAGTGCCTCTCTGTGCTCGTTACCGGTACATTTACCACGAACAGCGACCGTCCTGAGTCGGCGTCGGGCAGCCGTGGTGCATGCGCTTGGATGTATAGGTAGTGCGTGGCCTCGTTCTCGTCTCTGCTACTGCTGCTGCTGCTGCGCAATAATACTGGTAGCACACTGTATCCTCCCACGCTCGTCGCCATCTTTCCTTTTTACTTTCTTCGTTAATTGAGTCGTGGCTGGTACCTTAGAAGTTCTTCATATCTTGGAGAACAGCTTTTTTTATATCGATAAACTCGGTAACTTAGTAACTAAATAATTGACCCTGCTTGGCAGTTTTACACGATGAGCTCCTCGGCTAAAATTTCCACCACATCCCCGAACTAACTCATCAAACGTCACTGCATAGACTTCACATAGATTACACCTTCTCAGGGTCGTTGATGCCGCCGTTGGTGATCACATACGTCGCCTCGCGCTCAGGACAGTCTGTTTGTCATCAGTACAGTTACTCCACTCCTCTATCTTTCTCTAACTGCAGATGACTGGATGACTACTCACCCGGGGAGTCCTGGACTTTTGCGACTCGCTCGTCTCCCCGACCTTTGCGCAGTAGAACTCGAGTCGTCGATGCGTGGGCCAGGATGTGGCCGCCCACAGGTTTCCTCCCGTCGGCTCCTGCAAATAGAGCACTCGCGCCTGGGTCACTCTGCACTTGGTTCGTCTATTGACCACACCGGTTAGTTAGCTAACTCAACAAATGTGCGTAGATGAACTGCTCGACAGGTGTCTGTCTATGTTTCTCACCATCAAGACGCAGACATTGAACTCTAGGCTTAAAGTTAGCTTTCTTTCACCGTCTTTATCTTCAATCCTACATACCCTCTGCCATATGAGCCAACTTCATCAGGAATTGGTTAAGCTTCTGCTGGCGGTCAGCAAGCTCCCCTCGACCACAGTAGTCCACCCGGAAACAGTTCATGATGCTATCAATGATAAGCAGTCGGTACTCGCCGCTTGCGAACTCTTTGGCCAGCGTGTTAAGCAACTCTAGCTGGTGCTCGCTGTTTAGAGCTCGCGCATACGCTATGTTCTCCAGTGCTGAGTCCGGGTCAACACCAAACCGTTCCGCGATCTGGGCGATACGTTCAGGCCGAAATGTGCCCTCTGTGTCAATGTAGGCCGCCTTCCCTTCTGCACCGCCCATGTCCTTGGGCAGCTGGGCGATCACCGACATTGTATGTGAAAGCTGCGTTTTGCCGCACCTGAACTCCCCATATACCTCACTGATGCTCATGCTCTGAAAGCCCCTACTGAACTGTCAGCATAGTTTGGTTTCCCCCTTCGCTTGTAAGCAAGGATTAATGGCGGATTGGTTACCCTCCTAGTATTGAGTCGAACTGCTTGCTACCGGTTGAGATCTTTACTACCCGCTTCCGCTGATGCCCAAGTTCCATGGCGGTAATGAACCCAGAGGCGGAGGGCTGTCGTGCTGCCATTTAGAACCTGTTTAAAAATACTGCATGGACCAAATTTCATACCTGACACTTTTGGATGGCTTCTTTGATTTTCTCGACTTTTACTTCGCTGAATCCCTTGATTTTCAGCAAGGTCTTGCGTGTGGCTCCGTGAACCGACTGGATATTATAAGTTAGCCTCGATAGTAGGTGTTTGGGTCTTCAGGTGGCTCTCTACCGCAACAGTGTAGAAGCCGTTGATCTTCAGCTTCGTGATATCGGCCGCTCCCACGCCTTCCTACTGTCAGCTACGTTCCACTCTTGACTCAGACAGGCCTTCAGACCATGGGCTTGGATGCCGTCAATATCAATGATGAAATCCTTTACACGTAGTTTGTTAGGAACAGCCCCATGAGAGACACAAGAAGAAGCCACCTACATCCTCATCCCCGTTGTCACTGGTTGTTGATGCTGGCATCTTGCTATTGCACTTGTAAAGTCGCAGGGAGATATACGTTTATAACTTGAATATAACTCGATACAATATGTTAGAGCTTGATTCACTTGATCAATGTCGCGTAGAAAAGAACCATGAAGTGAGGATTTCTTCTCGTGAGGGGGAAAACAAGGGCGCGGTTACCGCCATCCCAATCGGGATATAGAGACGACATCCCTTGAAACCACCCATACAAGCCGTAATACAAGAAAGATTGAAAGAGGCTGATGATTCTCAAGATTGTTAAATGAAATGATACCAATTAGCAACGGCATAAGTGACCTAACTAGCCCGTCCAACGATAGTAATATATATACGAGATGGAATTGAGTAGAACATGGCGCATTGCAGGTTAGACAGCGGAAATAAGGAAACTTCCAACATAAGATCGGGAATATTTCATAAGCGCAGACCATAATAATAAGTAAATAAGACGAAACCAAAACCTATGCATATGAAATGGAAACGAATAGTGAATGAGCTCGCCGCGCCAGGTGTTTAAAGCCCCTTTTTTATTTTTGAAAGATGAGAAGTCAAGTTCAGCCGCCCGGCAAATTCTCAGAACGTCCTGGAAGTCGGCTATGCATGTGTCACCCCCTGCTTGCTGGCCTCTCTGTCTTGGTTGCCCATCTCCGTTTCCAATGTTCTTCAGACGGGAAGGAATGAGCTCCCAGTTCGAATCCGTTTTCTGCTTCCTCCCCGATAGCACGTAACATGGAACCGCCAATATCTTGACAAACAAATTCGACGCCATTCATTAGTGGGGTGTGTGTGTGATGTATCTTTCGCTTTCCGTGAGCGTGATGGTAAATCCGGCCATAGAATCTAGGGCGTCGTGGAACTTTTGTTCGGTCGTATACATGGTAGAAATAGGAAACGAGTGGGATAATGATGGGGATAAGTAAAACGGGAATAATAATAGAATAAAGAAAAAGAGATAATGCTCAACATATTTGAAAAGTAACAAGGAGCGCAGCCGGGAGAACCAAAAAGGGGGAGATTGGAAGATTATACTAGGAATCATATAACCAAGCGTGGAACATAATAATAGAGTTTAAGGATGGAGTAGAGTCTTCCCGAGCGAGCTCAACTTGTGCTCCTCTTTGTCTCGTTACCCCTGCATTCCATTCTAAGCGGTAGCAGTGGAGGTAACAGTTCCGGTTGCGACGGCTGGAGCCTCCACAGAAGGCTCCACGGTTGGGATAACCGTTGATGTGGTTTCAGTAGTAACGGTAGCTGGCACCTTTATATCCGGGTTGTTGGTAGGACAGTCGCGGGAAATGTGGCCTGCTTGAGAGCACTTGTAGCAGACCTTCCCAACAGAGCTTAGAGGTCCGCCGTTAGGAGCGGTGCAGTCGCGGGAGATATGACCCTGAAAAAACACTTTGTTAGTACTTGTAAAATGGTAAATATAGCTGTCGAGATCATAAGACATACCAGTTTTCCACAGGCATAGCACTTCATAGCCTGAGCCTGGCAATCTCGGGCAAAATGGTTTGGGCCACCGCATTTATAGCACGTTGCAGCCCTGGGATACCCCGCAGACCCTCCTCGGAAGCCGGCATTATTGAATGCTCCACGGGCTGGACCTGTATTTCGTACAGGCTGAGGGTTCTGCTGTTGCATGCCGCCAGACGGACAATTTCGCTGAGAATAACGCTTAGAATAAAGGTACGCGGACAAGTTGTTCTGAACCTGCAACTTACAGCCAAATGCCCAGGCATGTTGCAGTTATAACAGCGCGCATTAGAGGCGCCGCCGTTCAAGCGGAGGGTAGGACAGTCGGCTTGGACATGACCTAGACCCTGACAATGATAACATTGTTTCGCTATGGGATGTTAGAAACTGGTCTTATTATGTTTCTTTTGTCTCGTTTCATTGATATATCAACTTGGATAATGCTGGAATGGTGATACTTACTTTCTGTTGTTCGGGGCCGCGGGCAACCATTGGACTCGTGTCCTAGAGACATCCTGTCAGATCAAGTCAAACGTCGAGGGTATCGCAATGCGTTTAAAACCAACCGGGCTGCTTGCCTACACGAGTGAAAGGCCATCCAGCTTATTAGCCATCTGGGGCAGGCATAGGATATATACGCATTATTGGATGAATATGAACTCACAATTGTAGCAGAGCCGCTCAGAAGAGGAGCAGACCTCTGTCGACTACCAGTTAATGACTGCATACTTGCGAAAGAATAGAGAGACTGCGATTTAATCGAGGAACGAACCAGCGTAGTGACCTATATTGCCACATTTGTAGCACGCACGTCGAGACAACAGCATCCTAGAGAACACCCGTTAGAGCTGCGGAAATTGCAAAGCTCAAGCTATAAAACAAGCATGTGAATGGATTGCAGCAAGAATATATAAGTATATCAGTAGCTAGTGGTAGGGGTAATATGTAGTGCAAGGTTCGTTTTGGGCGTGGAGGAACATTCAGCCTGTGAAGATTATCTTCGAAACCTGGAAGTGCACACTCACTTTCCAACAAATAATAGTAACAAATCCCTCCTGAAGACTCGTAACCACCAGCCGAATAGACCTGAGGGAAAATCTAGGGGTAATTCATATCAACAGTTAGGTCCATGAGGCCCATCGTTATTCCACAGAGCAGCAATAGTCCCACAGGAGTCGCCAAAGGGGACGTCCCCCGAGCTTGGACTAAAAACCAAGGAACTTCGAGACGAAAAGACGTCAAGGATTGCTCACAGCTCTTCTCTTCTTGTCCCTTCACAGAATTCCTAACACACGCTCCTCAGCTCTTCTTCGTCAGCTGCTTCAAGCCCTCCGAACCACAATTGACGTACCCGTCTTCGTCCTCGACTTGCGTTTGCGTTCCAGTTTTAACCAAGCAAGCTGAAGGCGAGAAAGCGAGCGAAGAAGCAAAAAAAGCCCAGGAGAACTTCACGCCTTTCCCTTTATGGTTAGATTATTTAAAGCTTGGCAGTAATCAGGTGAATTATTAGTCATTCAATTCCAATGACGAAGCATAACTAAGTCATACGAAAGGGGGACAAAAGATGGGAAATGTTGATAGATGATAAGTTGAATTTATGTGTATACCTAGGTAGATAAAACGGATACTATCAGCTAGAGTGTATATATCCGTGATACCACGATTATTTTTTACCATTCCTCTGGAAATGACTATATTTTGTTCGTGTATTTAAAGATTAGACGCGCTCAATCAATGAAAAATGGTTGTAAGGAACAAGGATTGTTCTAGCCGTAGCTCAGCAAAACTATGCCTTGTCACCTTCGGTCTCAATCAGTGCAGGGGTGCTGATTGTACGGCCCTTGAGGAAAGTAAGGCCCTCGCCGCCCTAATTAATTGAGAGGTTAGTTATTGCAGGAGCATATTTAGGGGCAGACTACTAAAAAGGGGTATATGACATACATAGCTGATGGAAGGGGATACTTCGACGCCCTGATCGGTATGCTCTTCGCTGACGACACCCCCAGCAGCCTTGATCCAGCGTAGACCCTGTTGCATGATGTCTTTCTTACTGGTGTCTGGGTTATCGTCCTTGCTGCCTCTGGCATTCTTGAGAGGGGAGAACTCCTCTTCTCTCTTAACTTCGATGGCAGCAAACTTCTCAAGCGGGATAAGTGGGAAGACGTCGAAAACGAATTGCTCAAGTTTAATTCCATTGGGAGTCTCAGGCTTGACAGTCGCGCCGGTCTTGGTATCGAAGAAAGGAATCTTCTTGCGGGCGATGTGGTGTGGTAGATCAGAGGACCATTTCTCAATCGACTCAAAGAAGCCAATGGAGTAGTAGTGGTTCACGATGTTGGCTGCCCTGAACTTAAGGACACCGGCCTGTTTGGGGTCAATGGCGTTGGCCGTGGCTTCGTCGATCTCAGAGTATTCTACAACGCCTGGCTTGCCGTTGTTGAGGACAATCAGACCAACGGACTCGGTTGCATTGCGCTTTCGCACAACTTTTGTGGCAATGTCAACTTTCTTGGAGGCAGCAAAGCCAATGAAAGTGGGATCGGCCACCTTGACAAGGCAGTTGTCTACACAGTAGGCATGGATGTGCTCGATTCCGCGCTTCTTCATGTCATCCCGGACGCCAGAGTTGACAAGAGCCTGATAGATACCTCCGTTTCCATCAGGGGCAACGGCAACCTATAATAATCGGGATAAGCTTGTGTTTGTAGAAAAAGTACAAGACACGACATACCTTTGAAGCACTCTCGAGGAGGATCTCTCCATCATTGGAGATACAAGGCAGAACGCCTTGGTTGAAGATAGTGACATTCTCCTTGCTAAGTCCAAAGAAGTTGTTTTCAGTGAAGAACTTCTCAGTTGCCTTTCTAGTTGGCCCGCTGGTCATGATGTACCAGGGCACGATAATGTCCTTTTTGCCCGATGTCTCGGCCGCCAACGACTGCAGCTTAGCAATACGCTCAGCTTGGATCTGGAACAGGGATTTCCCACTGGGGAGGCCGATGTCGAAGCATCCCTTGGGGTCAGAACTCCCAAGCCTTGTTCCCTGGCCACCAGCCATAAGCACAACAGCAACCTTGTTCTCGCCAATGAGCTTCAGGCCTTCGCTGTACCATCTTTCTAAATCCTTAGGGTCGGAGTCGAGTATCGATGCCGTTGAGCTCTCTGGTAGCGGCTCGAGGGCTTTGGGCTCGCTGGAGCTCAGGGCGCTGGCAGCGTCTGCGTTGGCCCGTTTGACAAGCTTGTTGATGTGTTCGGGATCAAAGGAGGAGAGCTGGTGGAAGAGCTGGGCCTGGTCGTTGGAACTTAGGGAGTCGAAGCGGGCAAACACTTGTTCTTGCTTTGCCTGCTCGTACTTCTTCTTGAGCTCTGCAACCTCCTCAGTGGAGGGCTGGCGTGGCGGGGCGTCCTGGACTCCCATGCCCGCTATCTTGCCAATTAGATTCGTGACGGTATCTCGTACAGCAGCAGCCATTTTGTATGTGTTATATGTGTGTGCTCTGGGTGTGTGAAGGGTCAAACTTGGTGGTAGTGGTGGGTTGTAGATGGTAGTGGGCAGAGGTGAGGGGTGGAGTCTTGTATATATTTTACTACATGTACCCAGGTACCTCCCTCCGCAAGGTGAGGAGGGATGTCTCAGCACGCTCGTTAGTCCACAGCTTCTCTTGCTCTGCAGGCTGTGTTTGATCCGCTGCCGTGGATTGGTAGGTTCTCTCCTGCTAATTGGATCCCACTAACTACTATCTTCTCCCCCACCAAGATCCAGCCATGCCAGCCACTGTAACAAAACTATATTTATGTTATAGCTACATCTCATCCCCTAGCAGCTCTTTTCTTCTTGCACATCAACTACCAAAATCCAGGCTCTGGATCCCTGCATCCAACGCGTGATAACCACCTACCTATGCCACCACTTTCCAGCCAAGATTCCAACTGAGGTGTTTCTACGTAGGCAGCGCTCATCATCTTCAGGTAAATTGTCTTGAATTCTCAGGCTCAAAAGAGCCTACCTATGAAGGGTAGAGTTGGATTGACACGTCAGGCCATGTAGTTAATTCGTGCTGGGAGAGCGAGGTGCAGGAGGCTAGGCATAATCCCAGTCTGCGGCGTTAATAGTACAGCTAACTTGGGCAGCTTCACCGCCGTCTCTGTGAACGACCATAGTCCCACTCATCATGCCTTGGGCGAGGGCTCCTGCGTCGTTCCCTGTCCTGCCGTGGCCCTCTGTCATACCCATCACGCCGTCTGGGAGATCTGTCACGATGCTTACCCGTAGGGCTTCGGCTTCGGCTGCAGCTTCGGGACTGATCTCTTTGACGACACATTGAGGAATGAGGAGGTTCTTTGCCCCGTATGTCGTCCTTATCAAATACCATTCCATACTTGCTTCGACGATCCCCTGTGTCTGCTGCGCGGTACTGGCGTCGTTTCTCTAGGTTAGATATGCCCCCAAACCCACCTCTTTGGCTAGACCGTTTGGCATTCGTTGATGTTCTCCACGAGTCTGATAGCTTCGATACACTCTGCGAAAAGTCCACGTGAATACGATGATCATCAATCAACACACCCTGCATCTTAAAGTAGGCTTGTTCACAGTCCCTTTGGTCTTCGAATTCGATGAAGGCGTACTGTAAGCTGTCGCCTGTCTTTTTATCTCGTATCACTTCACAGGACAAGATCTTGCCGAATCGGCTAAATATCAGATTTAAATCTTCGTCTAATAATCACGCAGGTTAGAGATTAGTCAAATAATCGCATGGCTGGTAGGGATAAATACTTTTATTCATGAGATAAGGGGGAGTTTACCTTGTGTGACTGGGTTAAGCTTGCAAACAAACAGAATATTCTCGGGCGGCTTCACTTCTGCAAACGGAAGGTCTCCAACCATTTCAAGCGTCAAAGCTTGTGCCTGGGCCTCACGCTCTCGGCGTATCCTTTCCAATGCCTCTTCGTCAACCTCCTGATCTAGATCTTCGTCGTCTGCAATCATGACAGTAGCTAACTGAGCTTTGGTCGGGAGAGGGCTTTCCGGCGGTTCCTGGAAGCCAGGAGGGTCATCGTAAGGGTCATCAAGAACAACAGTATGTCGAATACGAATATCCTTTAGCGGCCGCCCCTTATCATCAATAAAGGCAGTGTTAACCTTTTCAAGGACGTCGAATCCTTCGACCACCTTCCCAAATATCACTGCCTTGTCGTTCAAGTAGTCCAGGTTATCACCGAGTGTTATGATAAACTGGCTTCCGGCGAGACGCTCATCTGGATCTTTTGCCGCTGGGACTGTGGCCATGCTCACTGTCCCAAGCTCAGAATGCTTCAATTTCGGTGGAAAGCGTATCGGGAAATTTTTCTGTGAAGGCCCATTGATAACACCCCATATTGAACTTCCGCCATCGCTCTCTGGAGAGTCAGGGCCTAGCGGATCGCCTGTTTGAAACGAGAATCCTTTCTGAACGCTGTGGATAGGCGAAAAATTGTAGTACTTGATTTTGCATAGCTTCAAGAAGCTAACCTCGAGCTCTTAGTTTCCCATCTCAGCTGCTTGATATCTTTAAGAGGCTTTCATTTAAAGGAGCGCAACACTTACTTCTCGCATGCCCGCGGAGAAGACTCGGTCAACAAGTCAATAACAATGTCTCCAAGAGAGGTTTCGAGAAGCACGCTCATATCTGGATCGCCGTGCTTATCACTTCGTCAGTATCCTTACTTTTCTCTTTCGTCTCCCTCTAACGGATGCAAGGACGCAACCTGCCGAGAGCCCTGGACGTTGTTGTTGATTACATAAGTCTATTACGGATTTACCGTAACGCCGTGAACATTAGGTAAGCGACTCTGCTTCTCCATTGTTCCAAAGAGGAAGTTCCTAACTTCATTCTTACATCCGCCGCGTACATACATACGCCCACATATACAAACGGACACAGCAGACACAGCAGACACAACAGACACAACAGACACACAGAAATATCTATCGGCCAGGCGAGAAGCAAATGTTGCCACCCCCAAGACCAACAGCGATGGCGACGGGTCCGTTTGACTGCTTAGGCAGTCCTAATTACAACAACGCTCTCATGCTGTCTGATCACCTCTCCTATTCAGGCCAACTGCTTGCTTAAGGGTTCGTTTGTCAGGTCACTAGACAATATTGCCAGAGGCTGTGAGAGTGCTCGTAACGGTGGCTGGGTTCTTTGATCGTTCCGTTGGAAATATGTAAAATGCCTGCTGGCTGAACCTATAACGAGCTCCCGCAGCCTCTCGGTGCAGTTCCACCCGCGAACTAAAGCATCGGAGCTTCATCTAACTTACTGTTGGTACTGCAATACCCACTGCCCTGTTTAATTTTAGTATTCTAATATGATCAGCCCGTGGAGCTCTGATAACCTCTGCGTTGATCAGCATGCCGTGAAATGCTAATCTTTCCACCCGGGGTTGGACAACCTACATGACTTGCATGTGTGTTTCTTCCATGTTGTACATATACGGGGATGAAAGTCGTTATGGAGCTAGACAGTATCAGGCCTCGTGCCCACTCAGCAGTATCCAGGATAGGTATACACTATACTTATGTATGCCTCATTCCGTTGGCGCTGGCGTAAGTGACAAGGAAGCCACTTGGCTTGATATGGTCTTTGACACATTTTCTACGGCTTTCCAGAAGATTGGAATTGTGACTGATGAGCAGCATTTGCGGGTTAGGGCATCCCGCGTATAGACAGTGGCTTCAAAGCGGTGTTCACCTTGAGTGGATCCATTCTACCTCGCGCAATAATTCGGGCGCAGGCCTCTACCAGAAAGGGTTGATATTGAATCCGCTCCATTCGTGCACCCAGAAAGGCATGATTATTCTTTCGGTGTGTCGGGTTGCTTGTGGACCGCTCTCCGCATTTTTTCATATACCCTAACGAAAAGCGCCCACCCTTCTAGAATCCTATGTTGGAACTGGACCCTTGCGTATCCTGTGCAGCTTCCCGGGGCTGTATCCTGAGCAGGGCGCATAACCCCCACCACAGTGGGAATGACTCTCTGGACCGCACGATCTTAGTGGACAATATCGGTTTGTTGGATCCTGTAAACGGCCCTGCGGCAATATTATCTGCTTCAGACGCTAAGAAATAACAATACCAACAGCCCTCCCAGGCTCAAAATAACTAGTTCGCAAGGCTGATTATGTTCATATATACGAGGCCTAGGTTGTCCATGCAGTATTGTAAGGGGAAACGATCCAATTGGACGGCGACGATATTAGGATGAAACGAAAATCAAACGGAGTGATAAACACCACACTTTTATCCCTGGGTCACTCAAAGGGTGCTGCTCCCCACTCCACACTAGAGTCCGAGGATGTTTGCTTCTCCCACAAGTCTTAACGCGGCGCTGTCCTGGCAGTCGACCAATAGGAGCAGCTACCATGCATGTTAGCAAACATGCCTCATTCAAGTCCATCTCCTTTTCTTAGGAGACCCATACATATATTTCTTGATGGCAAACGCCCTGATCGGTTACTTGCTCAAACCACATCGTTCATCCCAAACGAAGAAAGGAGCTTTTCATGTATTCTTTTTCTTGTTTGTTTGTCTTTCGACTTTAAGGCAACAGAATATGAACCATTTAGTATCCCTGCCTACAGTAAGTAGGGAGGTACTTAAGATGGCATGGCCCAGAGTGAAGTTCAGGACTTTGCTCCATATTTCCTTCCCGCATCAATTCCATTTCCCCCATCCTGCTCTATACAAAACCAGTTATTCGTTAAGTACCAAGAAGGTAATTTGACAACGTGTGACATCTCCCTGTGACACCATCTCACATTTCTATTCTTCTACCTTTTTTTGTCAATCATCAAGCATATGTTACTTTATACCCACTGAGACCCTGCCGCATAGTACAACCGGGGACCTACAGTGCTCTGGTGGAACACAATAAAGAAGCCAGGCGCTATCAAACCGATATACAACTTCCAATCTGTAGTTGAACTACAAAATTTCAAAACAATTTCTGGGGCGCTAGGCAAACTTCGGTAAGCCAACTTACTCCTTTACCGTCAATCGATATGTTCTGGAACAAGGGTATGATGGAGTACACCACCAAGGCTATCTAGAGGACACGGCGTGTTGCCTTGGGTTTAAAACACACTTGCCCCCAGAAGTTCTGCATCTACCAATGGTCTCCGAAGAACAATATCCCAACCCCAACACTAAAACTACCCTCATTGACATAACCCTTGATTCTCTTCACTCTTTTGTCTCTGGCTTGAAAGCAACCTTGGATACTCCAAGTGGAATGCCGAGTACCTTCCGATTTATACAAGTAACCACTCTACAACACACCACTGACAGTTATTTATTGCAGGCCATGGACAACACCTGCTATAAACGCGAGGAGGAGGAGGAGGAGGAGACAAAAATCTTGCGGCAAACTCGCCCGACCAAGAACTCGGCCACGAAACTCAAACGGGAGGAAAGCGAAAGTGCTCCGTGTGGAAAAATTGTCCAAACCCGATCACGTGCGGATTGCGAAGGCAAAACCAACGGGACTGGCCAACGGCGCCGCACCCAAGTCGCGGTATGATACCTTTGGCTCTTACTATGCATATGCCTACTTACTGACAGCGAGCCCCTGTAGTGTTCAAGGTGCCGTAGAAGAAAAATAAAGTGCAGCGGCGACCTTGGCAATAACCAAGCGTGCTCGAATTGTAAGAGCTCTGGAACAACAACTTGTTTGTTTTTACGAGTTAGTCTACCCCATCGAGATGAAATGCACCATGACTCTGACTTTGATTTCGATGTAGGTCAACTCTTCAACACTTCACGCGAAGCCAGGCTATGATTCTTGGGTTCATCCATTCTCGAATTCTAGTCCCCCAGGGACCTGCGAACAGCAACAAGCTTGTGATGCTCATATGCTGAGAGGAAATCCTCCCCCAATTCATGGTGGTTCACATGGATTACCAGCATACTCGGGGATGCACCCGGGACTTGAATATGGAATAGCTCCAGAATCCTCCCTGGCCAACAGAGCCCCCTCTTACTCCCCAAACTATCCATTTGGCTACGGGGACGAGGGAGCGTATCATTCTCCGTTTCCCTCTTATGCTCTTCCAAGTTCTACTGGACCAGGAGCGGGTGCTATCTGTGGAACTTCCGCTCCAACAAGGAGCTGGCGATTGCCAACTACGGTAGATCCCACAAATGGAGCGGCGTACCCCGACCATGACGGAAGCGGTTCGCTATCGCCGAGCTTTCCATTCATGAGCTCACTATCTTTGGGGCAAGATAGAACATTGCCTAAGCCGACAACTAGTCGCAACAATAACTTTGCGTCTCTTATGGAAGGCACCACCGGTTCAAGTAGCCTGGCTGTGTGTCCAAACACAGCTGTTGCATACAAACAAGAATACCAACTGGCGACTGAAAGCGAAAGCACACGGGCCATGACGAGCAATGTCACCCCTACAACTCTTGCTATCGGTATCAAGCTGTCGCCGAGCCCCGTTAATTGTGGATTTGGATATATTCCACTTTCCAACGGTCTTCAAACCTGCGTTACTTCTTCTGCTCCCTTTCCAGTCAATGAAGTTGTTGATACTCCTGTCAACCCCGAGTTACACGCCAATAATAAGACCACCAGGCCCCAAAGTTCCACGAATACATGCGTGTCGGAATATATCCATTCCACAAGCCGCAACCACCGGCCAGGGCAAACGAGACCATCGGGAGGAATATTGGTGAGTGGTGAAGTGTACCAGCGGCCACAATACACGATATCTGCAGGTACCGTATACTCGGCGGATAAAGTAGCTGTCTCTTCTCACTTGACATCAGGCACCTCAAGCTGCTATTGAATTCGCAACAACCTTGACGGAGGTCCTTTGCCGCATCCTTTTCTTCATGACTACATATACGTAGCGTGGTGTCGCCCCACCCTTTCTTCACCATACATTGTATGGCTATTCTACCACCCCAAGACATGGAGCCCCGATGCGTGCTTTCTCCGAACATCCATTGCCTTCTCCTTTGTTACTTGTGGAGCGTCAGACAAAGACCGCCTACTACAGCACAATTTCTGGGGTAGGAATTGCTATAGGTATTGTGACTGAGACGATTCTTGGTTTGATTCACCCTCACCCTCATTCTTTTCCTTTCTCTTTCCCAGGCGAATACCGTTCGCCTACTTACAATAATGATTCGAGCCTGTTCTTCCATCTTCCACGATATTGTTTCTTCCTTTCTTGTTTCTTTTTTCTTTTCTTTTTTTCTTTTTGTGCGATCCTACTGAGTGCTTTTACATGTACTCAGACGCGTGTCATAGTTGAAGCTATTTTTTTTCTCGGGGTCTTGAATGCGGTTGGAAGTGGTGACGGATAAGGAATACTTGTCCCTTAATACTTGAATTCATTTCTGCGTCTCTTTTAAGTAATCTCGTATCAGCTGAGAATAATAGCACAGGCGCTTGCAGCAATAAAATAGTAGTCCACCTGTTCAAGTTCAGGTATTTAAGTTATCAGGGCTTTTTGTAGATGACATCCAGGCAGATGGGAGCAAAGATGAATATCAAATAGAATGGAAACATTTTTGAATTTAATTATCCATCTGGTGACGCCGCCTAAGTAAGCCCACCCGTTGGTTTTAATTCGTAGCTAGCGTACACCATTGATTGTCTCGGGACACATAATGTCGAGCAACTCTGGAGAAGTGCTGTTCATCAAGGCAAATTTCAAGGTGCAAGACTCCAATCCAACCACCAAACCCACAGCCGTCAGCGAGTAGCTTATTTCTTGGCCTTCTTGACACCCTTGACCTTGGCTGTTCCTCTGAGCTTCTTGGCTCTGATCTTGCTGCTCTTGCCTGTTAGGAGAAAAATGAAGTGTCAGTATAAAGCTTGTGTACGATGGGGAAAGGCGGCCTCCTGATGAAAATATTGAGGAAGGGTATTGCGAAACGGAAACATACGTTGTTTTCTGCTTGGTTTCTCGATCTTGTCGACAGTGCCATAACGAACGAGTCTGTAACGGGGCTCGAACTTCTTCAAGGCCTCGGCGGAGTCATAAACGAGAGCGAAGCCGGTGGTCTTTCCACCACCATAGTGGGTGCGGAGGCCGAATACTGATATTTGGTCCTTGTTGGCCTTGTAGAGTTCTCCGAGTTTCGTCCTCAGGTCATCCTTGGAGATGTTTGCGCGGTTAGGATGAAGAATGTCACTGTTTCCCAGATACCACACCTTCGTTAGCTGATTGTATCCTATAATGCAAAGTTCAAATGCGCAATCTGCCGTCGCTCAGAGACCCCCCCGCCTATCCTTCTACCACTATATCCGTCCCCTTTCATGTATATTCCCCTGATATTTCTCTCTGTTGCAATCTTCCTCATCACTTCAAGCGAATTTGTCGACTGCGCGGGGGGTATGGGTGCGAAAAGAAAGGGCAATCAGGATCCAAAAATCAATCACTTACACAACCATCTGCTTTCTGCCCAACAGTGGGTTGCGGATGAACTTGCGAGTCCGCAGGGTAACGGGGGCGTCAGCCATGGTGTCGGAGCGTGATGCGAGAGGGCCTCCGGTGGACGTTAAACAGAATCTTCAGAACGACGAAGATTCGCGCAGCGTTGGTCGATGGGAGGCGTTGTTCGATTGCTCGGTCGAATGTTTTTGTCGCTGTCATCGAACTTTCGATGGTTTAATTTCGATTTTTTTGCTGATGCATGGTGTGGGTTCTCGGCTAGGGCCAGCCAGACGCGGTTAGCCTGGCTTATGTCAGCAACGCGACCTAACATTGGACTTCTGTCGAAGCTGACAAAACTCCAACGACGACGACGCAAAAAGAGACGATAGAGGACATTTTGGCTGGTGACCAGACGATGAGGTAGACTGCAGCGGAGGAGAGACAGTCTAAGCCATGGCATCGATATTCCCTGCTGAAGCGGCTGGCCTTAGGATACTCGCTGCGCAATATTTCCAGGCCGTCGAGGTGCAACGCCTGCGTTTTCCACCAGGCAGCACACTCCTCAGGCCTCAGGTGCAACGATGGATTAACCAAAATATGTTCTGCGAGGCCACAGTATGGCCGTTACCGCCGCTGAACTACCGTAGTCGGGTTCTCAAAATAATCCTATCAAAAATTGAAGAGTCGTTCACCGACCCTGAGGAGGATGTACGAAGTCCACAGACCCCCTTTTCTTCCCACGCATATTCCCCTTTCCTGATGCATTAACAAATACTACATATCTTTTGCACAAACAAATCCCCATTTTCCTATTTCGGTTGCTTCTGCGCTTCGCTGGTTTGCAACTCAGACCCTGACCATGGAGATTTTCTCTTTTCTCCTTTTTCCTACTCTTAGGAGATCCTAGATGATCTCATGGCAAGCTGGGGTATTCTCATTTCTCGCCCCAAACCGTCACCGCTTGAACAAACCCAACAATTGTCCTACATCAAGTACACACCGCCTATGGTACTAGATACGCGACACGAAGAGGGCATCATCACGCTAGAAAATCGAGGCCTGATCCTCGTCGCTGGCACCACTGGTTTTCGGACCTGGGAAGCCGCGTTGCATCTCGGAACATTTCTCTCCACTCGAGCGGGCAAGGAACTCGTCAGTGGGAGAAATGTTCTTGAACTAGGAGCGGGAACAGGGCTTGTATCCATGTACTGTTTGAAGTGTCTCGGCGCTAGCAAGGTAATGGCCACAGATCGGGATCCAGCTTTGATTGCGAATATACAAGAATGCATTTCTTGGAACAAGCTGGATTCGAAGCAGATTACTGCTTCTATCTGGGAATGGGGTACTCCACTTCAGCACTCCGATAATGCGAAGGACAATGGACGATGTTTCCCTGTTGACACCGCATTTGGCGCCGACCTGGTATGCATAGTTGAACCACACACTTTTACTAGAACACTTTTGAATAGATCACTAATTATTATGACACGGGCACCGTTCCCATTGCTGTCCGTCCGTCGAACCCGTAGCTTTATGACGTGGACTTGATTCCCCTATTTTTATCGACTCTGGAGGACTTGTTTGATAACTATTGTCTAAAGGAATTTATTCTCTCGGCCACACTTCGTAACCAGGAAACTTTCAATGCGTTCCTCAACGCCTGCAGTACGAGCCGCTCTTTACATTGTTTAGTTTAGCGTTAAGGTGTGGTTAGTTACGTCTGCTGACCCAGCTCGTCTCTCGCTTCAGGGGCATCGAACCTACAGGCCTGCCAAGTTACGTTTGAATCGCCGCCAGAGGAAGCCCAAGATGGGTTTTTCCATAGCACCAGCACTCCGATACTAATATACAAAGTAACATCGTTGCGCCCGACCACGTTAGGCTGAGGCCTATGTGACCATCACAACCACAACGATTTTGCTGCATGTCTGCTCATGAAAATGTAACATGTCTCCTCTCTGGCTACCCCTTACTACCATTTGTCACTATGCGCCTTACTAGTTACGACTTACTGGATTTCAATACAGGTTTTAGCCTACAGCTATCAACCTCACCAACTTCCATATAAAGACATTATACGAATGACCATGCTCCCGTCTCTTAACATCTCTTACTGCATGTTTTCTATTTCATCGGATCCATAGGAATAAAGGAATGTCCAATGCATGGTAATTGCTTAAAATAGAACCCGTTGTTTCTCCCTTGGTGTAACTAGTTATTATTATGTCGTACTTCCCACGCGCTATAGTTACTTTCTGCCTCTAACTATTTTTACGGCTCAGGGTCCCATTATACTTTACTCAACGGCTTCTCACACACACTAAACGTCCTTGATGTATCACTGGCATGCTGTGAGCAACGGAACTATCTACCCCTAAAGCCTGCATACAGGGATGGCCAGTACTACATATGAGCACATATAATTATGTTTTAGTTTATTACACGGCCTTTCAGTCTCGATTTACCCCTTCTTTTATGTTGCATATGTACATCGTTTTACAAGACATTATGCACGCTCCATATCATGATACAGTGAGTAGCAATATTTCAGGCCACCACATAATTACCATCAACAAACTAGTTTAAGCAGATGGTCCACTTTCTGTTCAAGGCCTTTGGTGTAAGGGTAGCTTGCGGTGTGATATCTACCTCTCAAAAGTCCAACATCCGTTTCTGGGAAATTCAAGGTTAAGCACCCAACTAGTTAACTAACTAGTTACCTAAGTTAACGAGCATAAAAATGGAACGTAGGCTAAATCAGGATTTCCTTCACTCGACAAATTTAAAAACTTGCTGGTTGTACATATATCAACGATTATCTACTACTGTTGTCAAAGCAGGACACCCCAAGCATAGTTGGCTCATGGTCTCCCCGCCCAAGTTGGAAACACTCTGACGCGTTTATATATTATTGATTGTAGTAAGCCATAACTAGTCAATCCTGGCATTCGGTGGTTAACTACCACGGGATTTCCACTCCAGTCTGGGTTACAAACTTCCCAGAAAATTTATCACGACTGGCCTCATCAATGATAGCAATAACACCTTTGACGCTATCCTCTAGAGTGTCAGGGGGTCCCGCCTCATAGTTCCATGCTTTGGCCATAAACTCGCCCATCTTCGTCTGCACCCATCCGGGGTGAAGAGCTACACTAACAATCCCACTTTGAGCCATCTGGAGATGAATTGACTTCGTAATGTGGTTGACTGCGGCTTTACTTGGGCCATAGGCGCCACCAGGGAAAGGCTCCATTTGCCCAATGGATCCCATAGACGAGGAGAGAACGATAAACTTTGGCGGCAATCCCGTTGCCCCATTTCCCTTCTCCAACAGGTCTCGGAGTGCTTGGAGAACCATCAAAGGCCCAATAGTGTTGATTTCAAAGCACTCACGGAGATGTTCGGCAGTCATTTCAACCGACGGCATTACAGTAGTGACATGACCCGCAGCACATATCACGGTGTTGACGTAATTTAAATTGCCCGCGGCAATATCAACGCGGTTGCGGATGATTTGTGGTGTGGTTCTCATAGAGAAATCAACATGAACAACATGAAGAACGCTATTCTCTCCCTTGGGTGACCGTCCCATAGCTTCTAGAAGTGCAGTAGCGCTCGATTCATTACGAACGATGCCGATGACAGTGGTGGAGGGGCGGGCAATATACGCCTGGGCAAGGCCAAGGCCTACACCTCGACTGGCACCAGTGATAACATAGACGGTATTCGAAGACATTGCAGACGCAGAAACTAGAAATTTAAAACGCTGTGTGGAGGATATTCCAAAATTTCAGTTACCAGACGGGAAGGGAGAGGAAAAGTAATCAAGTGAGGGGATGCCGGGTATATATAGTGATTTATCATGCGTGTACTGGCAGTAGACTAACTATCAGCCTGATGGGGCCGCACAGCCGCCTTTATGGCTAGGGTAATAAGCTCAGATCATCTTTGTGGCTGCTGTAGGATTCGATATGCTGGTTCATTCTTATTTGAATAGATATCTATGAATATTTTTGCTTTCACACTTGCAGGATTGCCATTTCATTCTTTCCATATTAATATCGCCATTAGTCAGTTTTAACTAGTTTAGAGTTTAAACTAGTTACATTATCTAAGTTTGCTAACCTTACATAGTTAACTAGTTAGCTGATTAACCTTAACTAATTAACTAGTGAATTGTCATTTTTAAGGTTAACTTATTAGTTATCTTAAAGGAATCTTCCTTGGCTAATTAAAATCACTTAACTCGCTGAATAGACAGTATTGATCGATCACACTCCATCCAATTAATATACAGGGAGTGATCACTTATCCCTGTCCTACGGTCTAATCAAAAGGTAAATAGCTAGAACTGATCTTCTCTATACAGCTTGTTAGAAAAATAGCCTGTTAATTCTTACTTAAGGAGCCTTAGTTAGCCAATGGACCACCATATCCATTATATATAGGCTGTTATAAAAAACTTTACTTACCCCTTGAGCTCTTGAGACTGATTAGCTTGCTAGAACTATGAGGCTAGCTAATCTAGCATATTGTTACCACAGATTTGATACAATAACAATATGGAATAGTTTTTAAACCTATGAGCTGGAAATAATGATCTCCTCTCCGCTTTACATGCTACTACGACATGGACAAAGCGGGGGTTTCACATCCTGTATGTAAGTCTCTCTTTTTCTACTGTGCCACAGGTACAACCGTTTTTTATAGTGAATGCAGTAGATATAAGTTTGCATACCGCCCTGTTACAATAAAGCAACCCCTCACTTGCACTATGATAAAAAGGAGCTGCTATCCCTAAAATATGTGATTTTGAGGTCTATACTTCCTATACTCTTATATAGTAAGTATTTGGGCTGCATTCAGCTTGGCCAATACCTCTAGACACACTTATTAAAGATGCCCATGAAGATGCTACTGCGACGGTACCATGTTATTATGCTTCTGTTACTCGGCGTGGTAGTAGCCCTGCCAAATACCCATCGCACTATTGAGGAACTTCCCAGAATTCCCGAAGGGTGGGTTCAGGGAAAACCTCCATCCCCTGACACCACCGTGCGCATGAACCTGGCCCTTGTGCAGCGGAACGCTCACGTATTTGAGCAAATGGTTCTCGACATTTCAACTCCAGGACATCGAAGCTATGGCAAACATCTGTCCAGAAGGGATCTGAAACGGCTTCTCCGGCCACGCTTGGAGACCTCTGACTTAGTATTATCCTGGCTTAAAGACTCAGGCATACCCAAGCGGTCAATTGTGAATGATGGAGACTGGATACATTTTGTCGTTTCGATTTCGCAAGCTGAAAAAATGCTCAAGGCCCGGTTTTATCACTTTCATGATTTACAAGACCCCAGAGTCTCCATAATCAGGACTTTAAACTATTCCGTTCCAGCTCACTTGGTCCCCCATGTTTACATGGTCCAGCCAACGACGAAGTTTGGGAAACCAACGAACTATGGCAAGTCGATCGCAAGATTAGAAACTATCCACCCATCTAGCAACTCAACCAAGAACTGCAATGTCACAATAACTCCAAAATGCTTACGAGAGCTTTACAAAATGGGAGATCACATAGCCGAACGTGACTGCCGAAATGTCATTGGAATCTCGGGATATCTGGGCCAATACGCCCGATATAGCGACTTCTACAAGTTCATTGAGCTCTATGCACCGGAAATTAAGGATGCTAATTTCTCTGTGGAACACATCGGAAAGGGCCAGAATCTGCAAAACTCGACAAGAAACAGCATTGAAGCGAGTCTGGACATCGACTATGCTCTTGGGCTCTCTAACGCTTCAGCAGTGTTTTATACAACAGGTGGCAGAGGCCCTCTGGTTCCGGACCTCGATCAACCTGACCAAGAGCATAATTCTAACGAACCATACCTGGATCAATTACTTTACCTTCTAGGCCTACCACAGGAGAAACTCCCTGCAGTGCTTTCGACCTCTTATGGAGAAAATGAACAGAGCGTGCCTGAGAGGTTCTCCCGCGCTACTTGCAGCCTATTTGCTCAATTAGGGGCCCGAGGCGTCTCAGTTATTTTTAGCAGCGGAGATAGTGGTGTTGGCTCATCTTGTTTAACAAACGGCGAAAAGAGAGTTCCCCGTCTTAATCCAACGCTGCCCGTTTGTCACATCTGTTGGTGCAACTTTTAGAACGAATCCCGAGCAAGCTATCGATTTCTCATCCGGCGGATTTTCTGATCGCCATTCCCGTCCAAGATATCAAATACATGCCGTTCAGAGTTATTTGGATAAACTCGGTGTCCAGTGGGAAGGGTTATATAATCCGAGAGGGCGTGGTATTCCTGACGTCTCGGCCCAAGGAGCTAATTTTGCAGTGTATGATCACGGTAAAGTAATGATGGTATCGGGCACAAGGTAAGACACCAGTTCCTATGGCGCTTTTGGGTATAATATAATAGGTCACCTCAATGTTAGATATCAATATTTGCTAACTCTATCAGTGCATCGGCTCCTGCATTTGCCGCCATTATTGCCAACCTTAATGCCATCCGCTTGCGCGCCAACAAGCCCCGTTCTCGGCTATTTGAACCCTTTTATATACGGAAAGGGCAGAAAGGGCTTCACAGACATTGTTTATGGAGGATCGAAAGGATGTATTGGTGATAATTCAGCTGGGGGAACCGCACCCATAGTGCCATACGCAAGCTGGAATGCTACCGAAGGTTGGGACCCGGTAACTGGACTTGGAACCCCAAATTTTCAAATTTTAGCTAAGATAGTCCAGCATATGGAATAGCCTGGCAGCAACGTTTTATGGTCAGCAGTTTTGTCGTGATTCATTTTATTGATATGCAACAATATGAAGTATGCTACAAAAATGTTTTCGACTAATTAGTTAACTAACTAGTTATTTGGTTAGCTTGGTAAAATTTCTTAGTAAAATTTATAACTGGTAGCCATGGGTAGTTAATATTGCGCTCTTGATACTCCGTATATATCCATATAATACAAAATTTGAAATTCATTAATCATGCACATTGATCTAATTATCAAATAACAGAAAGCCAACATTTTCGCCACCTTTGTCACATATGAAATATAAACAGTAAGAAAAATTCTCCTAAACGGGTCCCTTCCATGGATCGGCGTCTCCTAGCTTTTCAACAACCAAGCCTGCGCTACCTGGGTTCTTGAAACCAGCAGCCAGTTGACGCTCGTAACTAATTTGACGGAGGCGCTCTGCTTCCTTAGGGGTAAGACGGAGGTATATTTCGACACCAAGGGCGTGGAGCATGAACGATATCCAGATAGCTGTACCAAAACTGAGGTTGAACGCTGCACCAGCTGAGGCAGGGTTGCTTAAGTTAAGGGAAGCCGGGACTGGAACCATGATGTTTGTAGAATTTGGTGCGGTGCATTGTGGGAAGAGTTTTGCTAGCTTTTCGGAAGCAGTAACAGCATTTGAAGCACCATTTAGGAAAGTGAACTGGACTTGATCGCATGACCACACGTCGTGGCGTAGATTTGGGAGGGCACCCAGGATAGAAGCGGAGATTATGAGGCAGATTCGGATGGTAATGATACACCCCATGTAGAACATAGTGCGTAGCATCCAAGCGCGATGTTGTTCGAGTTGCTTGCAGCGAATATTGTAGAGTGCAAGGCAGAAAGAAACTGTACAGGCGATGACCACCGTAATCACTGCGGACTGGATGTCCACGCCACCGCCAAATGAGTGTTCCATGATCATAAGCGCTCCCGCGTGTGAAATCAAAAGCAGGACAAAGATGATGTAGCCATTGATACGGTGCAACAATATCCACTTGTGTCGAATTATCGGAATAAACTGGAAGATGACAAGAATGCCACATGGTAGCACGGCGGCAAGATGTAAGAGGAGGCCGACTCTATCGCGGCCCATGCGCGTGAAATACCATTGACCAGGAACGGAATCGTTCTCAAAGATATCAAAGTTTAGGAATGAGAAACGGGCGAGCGTGAATCCGAGGAGAGCACCAGCAAATATAAACCAAAGAATGAAGTTGTATCCTTTTTTGTACCCTATTGAGTTGTGTACAGTAGAAAAGCCCTGAAGGAAGGACTCTGCGAAAGTCATTGTGAATAGTAGACGATTTTAGACAGATGGGACTTGTGAGTTTGAGTGTGAGTGTGAGGATGAGGAGAGATGATTGCAATAGAAGCCTGGGGAATATCACTCTTGGAGGCAGGATGGACTCTTATATATATCTCATCTCCCTTGACCTAACCAACTGGCCTGGGTACAACTCGAGCATCCGTTGGAAGAGAGAAAAAAAAAAACAATTCGATACAAGAAAGGCTGAGCAGAATGGCATTGGCGTTGTACCACAATTGAAACTATGCCAAGAGCCACTTCGGGTTTGACGGGACTAGGCATGAATCCTCCAGATTTATTCTACTTACTTTTCCAACAGGAAAAGTAAGCATGAGTGGTTGGAGCGTTAACATGATCAACCTAGCTGCATAACACGAGCAGGCATGATCGACGATCACGGAATGCTGTTTGGCATCCTCCGCAAAGAAGTTTCTGCTCATTTCAGTTGTCACCCTTGCTGTAACAATGTCTGACCTGTAATCAAGGCGGCATTTATCAGGTATCGCTCAAGACAACTGTTGGTGCTAGCAAGCCGAAACATTGTCAGCAGCCAGCAGTCGCCGAATGCAAAGGCAGGATAAGTGGCCCAAAGTGTTGGCTAGTGGGTCGACGCTGAGATTCAGGCCAGAGATTGTCAAGTCACAGCTTCTGGATCTCCTTGGGCCAACGACCAGCCCGCGAGGTTGGGAAGCATCGATGATGCGTCAATAATCAGCCGCCATGGTACGTCCGAAGCAGCGCTCGGCACGGAGATTGTGCAGGGAACACGCCCACAGGCATAATGACGCCTCTTATTGTCGTCAAAGAAATGAGCAACCCCCCTGACTTATTCTTACTCATACGTGCGCTGAAAGCAAATGTTGGTAAGAAAGTTATTTTAAGCAGTTGGTCCAAGCCACGAAACACGGCACAGCCTTTGTAACACGTGACTCATCTGCGCGGCAAGGATAAATATTTAGCCGCCGACACCTAGCTCCGTTTGAGGATGGTATCATCTCCAGTCTCATTTAACTGATAACCCCAAACAGCATAACAAACGCCCAACCAGCCCGTTGCTGCCACATTATCATTCTACCAAAGAGCACTGGAGCACTGCCATAGCCCTGTTTTGTTGTTTCCTCTTGCCATTTGCTTGCCTCTGCCACCTTCTTTCGTCATGGCCTACGAAGAGCTCCGTGCTCTCATTCGAGACCTGCACCGGACTCTAGATCAGAAGCATGTGGATAAAACGGCCGCGCTCCTAACTCGTGCGAAGCGTGCACTTCTCCAGCTAAACGCCCTCATTCCCACCAGCTCGACTCCTCATCCACTCATCTCCCTTGCTCGTGAAATCCTCGAGCTAGGCGCCATCACATCAATACGCCAAAAAGATGCCCCTTCCTTTACCCGGTATTACCAGCAACTACAGCCATTTTACGACACTGAAAGACATTTACAGGCAGCCTTCGCGGAGGAGGCTGAGATAAACTTAAAGACAAGCCAACGAAGCAAGATCACCGGTCTCTACTTGCTATTGCTATTAAGCATGGGGAACAACACTGAATTCCACACTGTTTTGGAAGGCCTCGTGGTGGAAGCATCTTTGAAAGGCCACCCCGTTGAGACTGACCCGTTCATTAAGTACCCCGTTGAACTGGAGCGGAGCTTGATGGAAGGCAGCTATGATAAAGTCTGGCGTGAAACTAAGTCAGAAAGAGTTCCATCGGAAGACTTCGGGCTATTTTCATCGGTATATCCACCCTTTCCTTGCTCTATTTTTTCTGGCCTGGGCCATTGATGCTAATGTTTGGTTGATAGATCCTTGTTGGTACTATTCGAAGTGAAATTGCCGACTGCTCTGAAAAGGCCTATCCATCACTCCCTGTGTCTAATGCCAAAAATTTATTGTTCCTCGACTCCGAAGGTGCTGTTGTAGAGTTTGCTAAAGGACGGGGATGGACTTTGAAAGATGGACGGGTATACTTCCCTAGTCAACAAGAACAGGAGGAGCAGAATACTCCCCAGAAGGCCGGCAAAGAAATTACATTAACAACGGGATCCGTAATCGAGAATACAATCGGATACGCTAGGGACCTTGAAACCATAGTTTAAAACTCAGATACCACTTTTGATGTCACACCTCTAGATCCAAGCTGCGAATATTACTGTGGTTTTGTTTTTATATGTTTAGCGATGACCTTGATATCACGGTTTTATTTTCCCTCGCCCAGTCAAGTTGATTTCTCATAATAATTATACTGTTGCTTCCCATATGCACACCCTTTTATCGTAGAAACTGCTGGATAAACAGAGCAATTTACCTGGTTCTTTGTAATTCTGCCACACATCTGAAGCATAATTCATGCTCTCATGCTCAGTGAATTGGGCAATAACTTTGACATCCCATGTGCCTCCAGCTCCTGGATTCTTCGAAGAATAGGTCACACTGATTACCCGGGCTCCGCCGTGCATACAGCTAGCAAGGATGAGATAGCTAGTCAAGGCTCCCTGTGAAGGCTCCACGGGCTTGTTCTCGATTCTCAGAAGCTTTAGTCTCCAAACTCCTCCACCAAGATCCAGATCTGCAAGAACTTGTCTGCGAGTCCCGAATCGATATACTCGAACATGTTGATCATAACTACCCGTAAGGATGATTGATTCTCCATCTTGGTCACATAGCGGTAAAATAGCAGTAACACCACCTTCATGGTATCTCCCCCGATCGTTGATGGGTAGATTGTCGGTGTCAAAATCAGAGTCATTGGAAAGAGTGAATTTCCGGACCTGATTAAAATCGTCTCCGCTGAAAAGGAAAAGTTGACCATCATTCCTCCTTTGAAATGCCAAGCTCCAAATCTCAATTGGAATACCTTCCATGCAAGTCTCTTTGATTGACTCTTGTTCTATCATGAGAGACGCATGATCCTTCCGAAAAACCGAAACCTGCCCATCGGAAAATGAGACAGCAAAGCCAACAGTAGGTGAGACAGTATCATCTGCTTCTATGGGAAAGGGTGGAACCCAAGCTAGGAATAAACTGAGCTTCGTGTCATCGTTGCGCACTCTGAGAGTATTCAGAAAACATATAGAAACTTCTGACCCAGCACTTTTTGGAAATTTCTCAATTTTATATAATGACACTTTTCCTGCACTCAATGCAATAGCAAAGAGGGAAGGATCATGCGGAGAGAACTGGAGGTCAAATACGGCGTGAGGGAGCGCCAGCCTTTGCACCTGAGAGCTAGACGCTTGTTAGTGACTAACATCATCTACGACTAAATCTTTAGAAACTCGGAGGCAGGCTATAGGTTTAGGAAAAGAAACTTACAGATGATACGATTGAGTATCTAGCTTGAATAGCTGAAGACTGCCTGAGCGAGACGACTCAGGAGATGAATCGTTGGCGTTAGATTCATCGACAGTCAAGAGATAAGTCCCAACTATCACAAAATCCGGGGCTGTTGGGCAAAACTGGAGACAGCTGGGAGGTTGGTCGAGGAATATGGTAGAAAAGCTACTGGAATCCCTGGTAATTGACATTATTGTAGAAAATATGTGGTATGTTAACTTTTCTATTGTGAGTGGAAGAATAATGAGAGGCTAGGTACGGAGCATAGAAGGTCGAGGTTAAATTTAGTTGTAACTTCGGCTACCCCCTATATAATTAGTTAAGTTATTTATTAGCTAAGGTTATGTACATAGGTTAAGTTAGTTTAAATAATTAAATTAACAGTGAAGTTATTCGCTGAATAACAGCGAGACGACATTCTCATTAAGCTTTATGCAGCCATCGAGTACAAATGGGAAGTTTGGAATATCTGGCCCATTTCATTCTAATTTATATAGCTGTAGGTTCCGTCGCGGCAATCAATGCTATAACCAAAGACGCATATGCCGTTCCAGGAGCCGGAGGGAAGAGTCGAAATGGAAACGTGTCCTCCATTCAAGACTGCCAGCAAACATCAAAATAGCTACGGCTTAAGTCAAATAAATGTCCATTAATGTAGTGATCCAGGAGTGCTGCGGTAGCATGACCTGTCAACTTTCAAAATGATAAAGGCCTTGTCAATGTGGCATATACCGTGAAAGTAGGTTACGCAGTACTGAAGTCCAGTATGAGAACAAATTGCTGCTTGCTCCCCGATATCGTACCAAATATTGAAATCTGGGTTAGAGACATCGTATAGATGTTCTCCTAGCAGGATATTCAGACGTTGGGACGGATATAAGTGGGGCAGAATAGATGAAGATATATCCTGCTTCTCGAATTATTTTTGTCCCAGTGCAAATGGGAGCAGTCCGGGCTTTCCTACAGACGTTATTGTCGACTTGGAGTGGGCGGAATTTTGTATTTCATGTGTCTGACTGTTCCTCATTGACCATGAGTAATTCGCACTTAGCCCAAAGTTCTTTGACCCCCTTAACCTCACCCCAAATTGAAAGCAGGGATTGTATCTCAATCCAATCATTTTCTGCGTCATCTCTTTTCCCAGAGTCTAGTAATCGTTTCAATCGGTGTGGGGTATCTAACGCCCATAATACGGTTGCCTTTTCGGGGCTTATTGTCTTGGTCTGTTTCTCATTTCCCTGGGTTGGTTTATCGCTAGGTTGATTTAACTCTTCCTGCTCCCGAATGAGTGACATAGCAGTATCCGCAACAAATCCAACAGCAGGAGCCAGCGTTTTTGTCATTAGAACAGGGGTTCCTTCCTCTTCAAGAATCGACCTCATTTTCCCGATAGTTTCAACAGCTTTTATAAGCTTCGAATAATTGTCATAGACTAACGCCTTTCGCTCCCCATCCAAAGTTTTGATGTCACTGACAAGGGAGTTTTCAGCTCGTAATATAGTGGCCAAGGATGAGGTAGCAAGTAGGTGGGCCACATAGCCATCTGCATCGAAATCTGGGCTGTCAAGTTCGCTATTCGAGATTCGGCTTGCAGGACGCAATGGGCCCTCTGGTGTAGGTGGAACGCTCCTTGGCCTCGATTGATTTGAAGGTTCGGTTCTGTTTGGGTGCAAGTTATAATAGTCTCGTAAGGCAACCCTGTTCCGCCGTAGTGTATTACTTGGAGGGTCTGCTCTGGGTGTGAAGGTAGTGCTTTCGACTGATGGGCGGCGAGATGATGCAGGTGTTGGGGACTGAGCAGACGCTATTGAAGGTCGAGGGGAGGATACAGTTGACATGATAAAACCAGGGAATGGTAAGATTGTTATGGTGGTTTGTTTTAGAATTGATCATCTAAAGTATGATATTGTTTGGTGCCCATGGACGATGATATCGGGATGAGACGGTGATTAGGTAGCAGTGATGGTCCGTGCATAGCTAAGTTATTTAACAGGTAACCACTAGTTATTGGCTGGTTGACTAATTTATGACTAACCAGCTAACTTGCTAGTCCTTGCAACTTCTGCCAGCTACGCGTCTGATGAACAAACACGACATCCAATGCCGTACTTTTTGCCTCTAGGCATCACATTCACAATTAGATTCATGGGCCAATGGCACCAGATCCACATACCTACATAAGGGACCACCTTCTGAATACGAAGTCGCTGCCAGTTTCGGAAGTATGGCTCTCAGAATTTCTTTCTGCCCAACGGCCGGGAACCACACCCCTTGCTGCCCTAACCCAAACTGCGTTGTTCCGACTCCTTGCCTCTGATTTTACCAATTCACTTGAGATACCAAGTTCAAACTTGAGGCAGGTACTGCCTACAGATGTCACTGACCCGAGCATCAAGGAAAGGTGCATATCTGGGCCTGTTCCTGTCCAAATCTTTGATATAGAAGACATTGGAACTAGCATATGGAGCCAAGTGGAAGCTATTGAGAGGATTGAGAGAGGTGAATCAATAAGGGGGAGAGAAGTTATTAGAACGGTACCACAAGCCGCCGAGGTTGAAGAAGGGATTAGTACCATGAACACTACAAATGCTATTGGAAGGCAATCGGCACCATCCGCTAGTTCTGGGGAGCATGCAAAACTAGGAGGGCCGCACCGACTCATCTTGCAGGACTGCAAAGGCACGAAGGTAACAGCTATAGAGCTGAAACCTCTAGATGCAATAAAAATAGGAGAAACAGCGATTGGAACAAAGCTACTGATCACTAATGCTATTGTCGCGCGTGGGATGGCCCTTTTAGATCCAGAATGTGTTACAATCCTTGGAGGTAAAATTGAAGGACTAGACAGCCAATGGAAAGCTGGTCGGAAAAGAAGACTCCTATCGGCACTGAACCCACCAGAAAATACCGGTTCAGCATGATGTTTATTAGACCTAGGATGATTGCGGCACCTTAATATCTAGTATTACTGCTGAGAACGAAATCGCCGGGATCTAATTCAGGAACAACACTGGCTCAGCTCGTCCCAGCCATTTTTAGACCAAGGTGCCACCATGATCGCGCTTAATGCGCTTTTCCTTGTCCCGACTAGTGAATATGCCTGGCAGACGACTTCGGCGTTGAGTCTTCCACGGGGCGGAATGTTGACCAATGCTGTTCGAACAGCCATCTCAGCAGCGTATTTTTCAGTCGACATTGAAGAGAGGGCCATCCATCCTCGTGGCTCGCTTGGTGAAATCATTATAGACGTTGCAGCTTGTCTCAGCATTTCAGATGTACGCATTGTCTCCACTTCGGCCTCATATCTCAGAGCGGGAATGCTTGCAAGCAGCTTCACAATTTTCCCAGTGCTATGGGTATCTAGGTCACTTCTTACTCTCAAAGCTTGGAGATCTGATTCCACAGCCTCAATGGCGTCCTCATCCATATCTAGAAGGGCAATGACCCCTAGCAAAGTGATAGATCCCACATGCTCAGGGTGTTTTTCAACGCTCTCAAAGAGCTGTTCCCGAGCAACCAGTCTCTCTTCGTCTCCACCCTTCGCCCACAGTACCTGTGCAAGCAAACAAGTAACATCCGGTGAACTGTCGGCCTCTTGAATAGCACTACGGAACATCTCAATAGATTCATCCATGCGACCAAGATAGTAGAATGCCAAGCCAGCTGTTAAATGGGCTGACAGTCTAATTATCTGGTATAACCCTTCATGGCATTCACGTATACCCTCTTCCGACGACAAATTTATCGCTATTTCTGCGCTGTCTGCAGATTTTTCATATTCAAGGCGTCCTAACTGTATTCGTGCCAAGTCAGCGGATGCCTGTGCATATTTTAGCAGTGAATTGGTGGACTCTGTTGACTCGTATTCTGCTTCCGCCCCTGAACACACTATCTCTAAGTCTGAGATGGCGTCTTCAAGATCGCCAGTGCGTTCAGCAAAAAGGGATGAAAGATGATAATGGAATAATTCGGAAGGCTCCACGTAGCGCAGCTGATGGAGGCCAAACAGAGGCTGGAGTAGTTGGGCTGCTGTCGCTTCAGCGCTAGCACTGATGTCATCAAACATTGACATGGCGTATTGTTGCTTTGGGAAAACTCCACTCGCATTCCCCAGCCCGAAGGCATGTGTAAATAGCTCCCGTGCCTCGATAGCGTCGCCGATAAGCATAGCCAATAGACCTTGGCCTAGCCAGGCATTAGAGTGGTCTGGATCAGCTGACTGCGAACGCGTAAAGGCTTCATTTGCTAATTGATAGTCATCGTTTAGGAGATAAAGCGCTCCAAGATTAGCCCATACGAATGCATTCCTCTCATTGATGTGAAGACTACGAACGAACGCATGCTGGGCTACTTTTGGACTTTGTGACGCAGTCGCGACACCCAGTGCATTCCAAAAATCAGCGTTGCCAGCTTCAAGTTCGATTGCTCTTTTAAAACACTGGGTTGCAGCTTTGATGAACCCATTTCGCCTGCCACTTCTTGAACCCTTCAAAGCTAATGACCGTTGTGTGTGAGCTCGATATTCCGCCCAGCCTAAGTTATACCAGGCTAACGCCTGTGCGTGGGTATCTTTTGTAGTAGCAGATAGCGAATATTTGAAGGCTAAAATGGCTGAGTATATGGAAAGTAACGGGTCCGACTTGTTACTGCTCAGCAAATTTTCAAACAAAGAGTCAAAGCTCTCTCCGATTCCGTCAAGTTCGGAAAGAATATTGAAAGCGGAAGTGTCACAGGCTGTATTGAGTACTGCCTTAAAAGACGTGATTGGCATGCAGCAAGTCTTGTCGCCCACCCAAGAAAAGATAGAAAAGGCATCACCAATTGACTTCCATAAGTTGAAGCCATTGGGATGATAAGTTGTAACAGACAAGCCAGTTTCGATTGCTCGCTTCGCTGTTTGGGTAGCTTCTCCAAAAAATCCAGACTCCGCTGCCTTCCATGCACTCTCAGTTAGAGTTTGTAGCAACGCTACAGATACTCCGAATTCCTCGCTCCTCAGATGCATGACATCTTCGTACATCGTAATGGCTTGTTCGTAGTTCCCGAGCTCTCTTTCCAAATTTGCCATCATGTATTTTGAGTACCATATTTGGCCTCGTTCAGGCTCGGGCAAAGTGCACTCTAATGATTGCGCGTTTCGGAATGCTTTGGTGGCTGCAATGTATCGCCCCGAGTTATAATAACTTTCACCCAGGCCTACCCAGCACTGATAATCATTAGGCGATATTCGTAGTGCGGTTTGAAAATGGACAATGCTCTTTGCGTAGAGTTGTCGGTTTATTTCAACGACACCTAAGACGGCAAAAGGCCAGCTATAGCCAGACCTCTTGGATCCGGGTGAAGGTTTTGCTTTTCCTGAGTCCACAACCCTTCGAGCAATGGCCTCAACCAGGTCCCATTCGCCTTGGCCAGCAAATTCTCGAGCTAAACGCTCAGCTGCCATTATCTCGGAAGATGAAAGTTCCACAGCTTTATGGAAACATCTCTGGGCTCTTTTCTTATCCTTTTTATAATCCGCGTAATAAACTCCAAGGCTGGAGTAGGCTGGTGCGTAGTTCATATCTGCTTGGATGGAAGCCAGAAACTTGGAATAGGCGCCATTGCGGTTCTTCCTGGCTGATACGGACGAATCCAGCTCCCATTCGCAAAATCCAAGGCGGTACAAGACCTCGGCCCGTAGGTTATGCCAGCGTGAATCCAGGGGTTGAACCAAGGGTAAGGTTTCCTCGAACCCTTTTAAGGCAGCAGCCAACTCTCCATTTTGAACCTTGCACCAGAATAACTCGCTGCGAACCTTCGCGTTCTTTTCATCTCTCGTCAAGGCTTGAGCTAGTAAGGCCATAGCGCCAATAAAGTCATGGCCCTCCTCTAAAATCAGGCCTAGCCCGAGGAGACAGCTGTCCTCTTGAGGTTTCCTTAAAAGTATATCTTCAAATATTGCCTTTGCTTCTGGGTGATGTCTAGGGGATTGATATGGAATGAGAGCAGTACCAAGCAGGATATTCAGTGAATCAACAGTGTTCTGGAGCCTAAGGCCCGTTTCTTGCCGTATTTTAGAATTGATAGTCAAACCACTTCGAGATACCTTAACAACCGTTTGAAATTCCTCGAGATGAGAATATACTTCTCCCATGATTCGGTGAGCCAAGACTGAGTCAGAAGCCTGGTCCAAGCCCTCGGCCATTATTAACAGATGATCTTCTACCATTGTTTGAGGTTCAAGTTCGGAGTTCCCTATCGTATTTGTTGCATCACTAGTTTCCTCCACCTGTTGGGGAGGGAATGGGGAAAGGTTAGTGTTAAGGAACCCATTGAGTATCCTACTAAGGCCATGGTCGGGGAACAAGCGGATGAAATCCCTAAGCAAGGTAACATCCAGGCCAGAAAGAGCTTCAGTATCGCTCCAGTCGAATACAATTCTCCAAGCCAGCTCGAATGGGTGCTTGATGATTACCATATCGCGCGCCGCCTTCAGAACCAGTTCGCGGCTTGCGGTTTTCTCCTTGGTAGGAAGAATACAAAGGTGGTCACAATATCTCTGAAGGATCTTTTCTTCATAAGAACGGCGCGTCTCGTCGTCATGTGTCCAATCAATAATTCCTTGGTATATTTCGTTGAGTATACTTCGGTTGAAAGCTTCACGCTTTACCTCTGTAGTGACCTGATCGATTCTTGCACCTAGCCTGGTCCTCCGCTCGCCTATTTCGCGATTGATGAACTCTTTCTCTTCTTGTTCGGCGAGCTCAGCTACACGAAGGTATGCTTCCGAAGGCCGTGGAGCTAGCCCTTCTACACACTTGTAGATACGGCTGGTAGGTAGCTGTAGCTGAAGGGCATGTATATATTGAAACTTAGACCCTTGAACTTTCACGAAGTTGATATACTTGTCTAACACTCCGTGAGCTCGGGTATAATCCTCGCTAGAGGATGAGTTAGTTATTTGATCGTCATAGTTCAGGGCACAAGAATAGACATACGTATCCGCAAAGATATTGCAGAGGCGCTCTACTCCGGAGAATAGCTCTCCAATCGTTTCGGGCCCTGCGACTCGTAGAGTGCAACCAGGCCCTGCCAGGCGGTCTTGTCACTATCCTTTATCCTGATAGCAGACTCATATGCCTTTTCGGATGCATCGTACTCGTTGAGCTTGTCTTTTGCCAGGCCTAAGAAGATGTGCCTTTTAAGGTTGCATTTGAATCAGCTGTTGCATAACTTTACTAGTTAATGGGGTGATAAGCTACTGCAGCAACATACGCATGGTAGTTTTGGGGATCCTGAGTGCAAAGTTCAGATGCCTTTGCGGCTGCCTGGGGGTAGTCTCCTGCATCTAGATCTGCCCTAATCGCCTTCAAAGCGCTTTTAGGAGGCATGGTTCCCAAATCTTCCCTTTCTCACCCTCAGTAGTAGTAGCAGCTAGCCACTCGGTACCTAATTTGTAGCTCTTTACTCCCAGGTTCCACCTAAATCACCAGTCTCGTAGTGTTGTTTCCTAGGCAGTACATGACACTCATAGATTAGGTACCTGGGTATAAGACTTGCCGAAGCGAGGACATGGATTGAAGTTGTTGTTGACTCTTTGGTTTGCAAGTGAGCCTTAGTCATATGAAGGTTTAACGGGGTCATGACTTATACTCAAGTGACCCCTCTAAAGCTCGCGCATAGCTGCTTAGTCACTGCGCCATCGGTGGAGCCCAAATGCAGTAAGTGTCCACGAGCCGGCTTGGGCGATGGTCACTCGGCACTTCCGGTGCAACCGCCAGTTTCTCCCTGGGAGAGGCTGTTTCTCGCCGTCTTTATTGCCCTACCGCGATATATTTATAAATATTTATATACGGCGTGGAGTGCGGTGCGTGATATAGGAGATTTTCTGTTAATGCCATCTTTTGAATGACTTGATTTCTTTCTCTTTCGTGCTTTAACTAACCAGTTAACTGAACTACCTTGCTCTCCAGCTGGTAATCGAGCTGAGCTCCTCTGGCTGCGCCCACAACCATACACCGTTACCTGCCAGCCTTGTGTCAACGAGACAACTGATGGCTCCTCTCAGACTCCGAGTCGAAGGGAACGTTTTCCGTGACCCCCATAACCGAGAAGTCATCTTAAGAGGAATAAATCTCGATGCAACGGCGAAATACCCGAGAATCCCGGACGTTCCCTCTCATGAAGCGAATGAGTTCTTCAACGGGGACGATGTCTCTTTTGTAAATAGGCCGTTTACTCTTGAGGACTCACACGCACACTTCTCCAGGCTAAAGAAATGGGGGTACAATCACATCCGGTATGTGTTTACGTGGGAGGCGATCGAGCACGCCGGGCCCGGCCAGTATGACGAAGAGTGGATTACATTCACCATAGAGCTGCTGAGGATCGCAGGGACTTATGGCTTCTACGTATATATGGATCCGCATCAGGATGTGGTACGTAAAGGATGCCATCGCTTGGAATACAGCTCCTAGTTGTTCATGATCTTCCGGCTAACTACCACCTATTAGTGGTCTCGTTTCTCAGGCGGTTCTGGAGCCCCAATATGGACACTGTACGCTGCCGGGCTTGATCCCCGAAATTTCCACGACACACAAGCCGCTCTGGTCCAAAATACGTACCCAGACCCTGCGGCCTTCCCAAAGATGATCTGGAGTACAAACTATACTAGGCTTGTCTGCCAGACGATGTTTACCCTCTTCTGGGCTGGGAAAGACTTTGCCCCGAAGGCAATAATTGATGGGATGAATATCCAGGATTACCTTCAAGATCATTTCATTGCTGCCTGCAAGCACTTGGCAAGCAGAATTCATGAGGCTGGGGGCCTGGAGGATGATGTGGTGATTGGATGGGAAAATGTCAATGAGCCTCATAGGGGTATGATCGGGATACCGGATATTTCTGTTATTCCAGCCGATCAACAATTGCAGCTTGGGACATCTCCCACTGCTTTTCAAGGAATGATGACAGGCTCAGGCTTTCCTTGTGAAGTGACTCAATGGGAGTTTGGTACTTTCGGACCACACCAAACAGGCCGGACGCTGGTTGACCCAGAAGGCAAGTCAGTCTGGCTCAAAGTTGACCGTGCGGACCAGTACGGATGGAAAAGAGATCCACAGTGGAAGCTTGGGGAATGTATTTGGGCGCAACATGGGGTTTGGGACCCTGCTACGCTTACTCTCCTACGAAGTGGCCACTTTGGCACGCACCCTAGAACCGGAGAAGCCCTTAATTATGAAGGTTTCATCAATACATATTTCATGGAGCATTACCGGAAGTATCGTGATGCTCTAAGAAGTGTTCACAACGATACAATTATGTTCTGTCAGCCACCTGTGCTGGAAATCCCGCCCACCATCAAGGGGACTGTGGACGACGACCCGAACATGGTCCATGCTGTCCATTTCTACGATGGACTTACCCTCATGTCAAAACACTGGTAAGTTAATATAATGAAAAAGCATGAGAAATTTCTATTAACAGCTCCATAGGAACCGATATTACAACGTTGATGTTGTAGGCATACTCCGCGGCAAGTACTGGATTCCAGCCTTTGGCCTTAAAATTGGTGAAACTGCTATTCGAAACTCCTTTCGCGACCAACTGCATTATCTTCGCGAAGAGAGCTATAAAAACATGGGCAATCATCCGCTATTACTGACTGAAACCGGCATTCCTTATGATATGGATGACAAGCATGCGTACAAGACTGGCGACTATTCTAGCCAAATAAGTGCTATGGATGCAAACCATTTCGGCATCGAGGGTTGTGGGGGTAATGGGTATAGTCTTTGGACTTATGCTAGCGAGGTATGAGTTATATTCTCTTTGACCCAGATTCGGAGAAGAACTAGTTATTGACTGTTGAAAACAAAAGAATTCGCACAAGTGGGGAGACAACTGGAACGGCGAGGATCTATCAATCTACTCTCCAGATGATTTAGAGCTGCCAATCGCAAAATCTTTAGAATCTGGTATGACTACATTGGACCCTTCCTCTCCATCATTTTCACAGAGTAGAGTCGACTTACAAGCGATCCGGGTTGAACCGAGTAATTTGAAAGCAGCTCTCCCTGCTGCCTCAATTACCACAGAGCCCCAGCTAAAAGAAGGCGGAGAACATCGAGGATTTCGTGCCGTTGAAGCATTTGTACGCCCTGGCCCCGAGGCCGTCCATGGCCGCATAACGAAACATGGTTTTGATCTTCAAAATTGCACCTTTACGCTATCCTTGACTGCTGATTCGTCTACCGTCTCTACTACACCGACTCTCATCTTCCTTCCGGAACTGCACTTTCCAAAGGATAAATCCACGGTCACCGTAAGTGGAGGGAAATGGGAGATTTTCTCTCAAGAGTTCCAGCACGGAAGCGTTCAGTTCTTGAAATGGTGGCATGCCGAGGGAGACCAGAGCATACAAATCCACGGCGTCAAACGCGAGCTTTCTGCTGTCGTCAACCCGCATGACGAAGAAGGATACATTGAACAATGCAAGCAGCATTCGTGCATTTTAATGTAAATCTTTTAGACCGGAGTTATGTCGATATATTCTGGAGTTTGTTTCGGTCTGTCTCCTTCTGGTCTACTTTCCTTTGCTATCTCTTTTCTTTCCCAACCTGATGTCTGTGCTTCCATCATGCCGTTTCCTTGTATATTTGGCTTCTACACCGTCCCAATCTGGGGATGATGCATGCGAATAGACACCTGATAAACCCATGCATGTCTGGGGTACAGCAGCTTGTAGGACGTAGCATGATGGTAAGCGCCATCTCTCCAACCTCAATATCTCTTCAGCGTTTCTCCTAGTTATGACTATATTTATTAGTACAACGTGTGATGCGTTCATATCTTAGATCCATTTCCAACGCCGGTGCTTGATGTGCACTGGGGCCGATAGCTTTCACTTCTTACTAACCCAGGCATGCTTTACTAGCTAGTTGACTAGGGTTTGTAAACAAACGGCCAAAGAGCTTTTGGGTAAACATATCAACCAACCACTGAAACCTATAATTAAATAGGTGCCATTCTTTGCCAAAACCTCGCGTCTCCTGTCACTATCTTATCTCCTTCTCATATCTAGCTAGTCTAAACATTAAAACTAACTACCTACACACTCAGCGGACAACACTGCCTACCGGTTCAACCTTGAAATCTGGTGTTGAAAATTCTTCGCCGCGGCTCCAGGCACGAACGCCAACCAAAGGATTAAAGAAAATAAATAGAGAGAAAGAGAGAGAGAGAGAGATCTGACCCAAACTCGGCTGCGTCCTCCAAAAGGAACAAAATATATGAAAAAAAGATACCTCTGCATAGACATCGTGCGAACAGGTCTCGCCGACCGCGGAAACCGAAACAGCTTGCGGTGGTGGCATGGCTGACTCTAACCAGCCGGGCGATGGGAACGAGGGCGCGGCCCCTCAACTAGCTAATATCATCCAGGCGCTCGATGTCATACATTCGCCTGCGTCCTCTAATGAAGTCAGGAAGCAAGCATCGGAGTTTCTCGAGCAGCAGAAACATGAAAAGGCCGCCGTGCAGAATGGCTACTTTTTGGCCGCAGACAAGAGCCATTCTCCCGTAGTCCAGCACCTTGGACTGTCGCTCCTGGAGCATGTCCTGCGGTACAGATTCCTGGAGTTAACTCCAGATGAAGTGAACCATACCAGGGGACTTGTCATGAGCCTGGCTGAAGGACTGCGATATCAGGACCCTCCTTACATCCGCAACAAAGTGGCTTCATTATGGGTTGAATTTGCAAAACGTACCTGGGGACTGGAATGGCCCCGGATGGATGAGTCGCTGGTACAACTATGGGGTGCCACCTTTACCCATAAGGAGTTTGTGCTGACCGTGCTGGAGACTCTATCGGAGGATATAATACACCAGGAAGACACGGCGTCGTCCCTCAGAGGAACCGATTTGAACAGAGCTCTAGTGGAAATCTGCACACCGCACGACGTTTTCAAGGTGGCGTACCCAACAAGGGACCATCATACTGAAATCCGCAGCGGGAGTGAGGGCTGGCTCTTCAGGGTTTCATCTTTCTTAAGTGACTGTGTACGGAATTTCCATGCATCTGCTGAGGCCAAATCTTGTGCATTGAAGTCTTTGAGCTGTCTGCGTTCGTTCGTTGCCTGGGTTATACCAATGGCTATTGATTCATCCCAGTGTGTGACAGCCATTTGCAGTGCCCTTGAAGTGGAGGACGATGCGGTTCTTCTGGTAAGCCGAGCAGTTGTTGCTACCTCTACAAGTTCGAAACAATCGATATGATGTATACTGATCGGCTAAATGTAGGCGGCAGTTGAGGCGTTACACTCATTATATGGGCGGTCAACTTATAACATTGAGGAATTCCAAAGCCTTGTGAACGTAATATACCGGAATGACCATCTTAACCTCCTAAGGAAGTTATACGAATGGTCTATAGTCAGCGCAGAGAATATTGTTGAATCAAAATACTCTATATCCAAAAAACTATCTGAGGTTCGCTTTTCCCTGAATCCGAGCTGACATCTAAATATGTCTAGCTAACTGATTTTCGCAGTTGGTATCCTATATCGCAGGTTTCCTAGAGGAGAAAAATGTTGATTTCACGAAATGCGTCGACCTCCCTAGCTTTTTCTCCTTTCTTATTAGTATACTTCGGAATCCAAGCCTTGTTGTGTCTATACCAGTACTTCATTCGTGGTCTAGATTACTTGCCTCGAGCCACATTGGGGGCTTGGATATTGTCAACAATTTAATAGGGCAGCTCCTGGAAATCTGTTCGCAGCGCCTCATACGATACGAAGCTCTACCAGAGGATTCCGACGACCCGACTATGGTATTTCTCAACGAGGACATTGATACCATACCAGAACGCCACGCCTTCGTTGGGAATTATCGACGATACTGCAGTCAAGTAATTGAAGTTATCGTTCAGAAACACGCACTTGAAGCCATTCCTCATATCCTCTCCGGGGTGGACAGCGCCCTGAACAATGTATATGCAGGGAGTGCTGGATTCAATGGTAAGAAATCTAATATTTTACCCTTCTCTTTGAGTAACCAGCTGAATTCAGACAGTGGCCACGTTTCAGAAGCAGTCAATACCTGCTTTGCGCGCCGATATCCAATTTACCGTAGTTGAGGCAATGCTGAAGGGCTATCTCAAATGGAAAGGGTCATTGGGCTCTAACCCTCAACAAGATGTAAGTAACAGCTAGTTAATAATCCCGACAGGAGGTAGGCCTATGAATAATGCTGATGTTAAGGTAAACAGGAACAACAGCGTCTGGACCTAGAGAGCGCACTTGAAAACTGGGCTATGGGCCTCATGAACCGTAATTTCGAGGTACTTTTGACAACCCCTGTCGGAGCTAGAATATTAAGGATTAACAACCAGTAGGATCCATGCATAAAACAACGAGTACTACGGTTATGCGTCGACATTTCAGCTAAGGCGCTGGTAGATCGACCAAGTTATGCTCTCAAAATCCTTGAGCATATATTGATGGTCCAGATCCCCGATTATCCAGAGCATTCTGCGTATTCGGAGTCTGTGAGGGAACTCTATAGTATGGCCACGTACGAAATTCGGAGGCTTGCTATTAGATACGCAGACTATTTTGCCGTAAGTAGTTTCGTTCTCAGTGTCACGACAGTTACTTACCTCTGCGCTAGAATTACTACGAGCCACTGGAACAAAAAGCTCAGGAAATTGGGAAAAGGCCGAATGATGAAGGACGCCCTCATATGGAGTTATCTGCGATCCTTGTGATTATCATGTGCGTTTTACACATTCTTGAGCTGCTTACAACGTATCTAACCTCCTTTAGGCAACGCGCTCGGAACGTGGAGCCGTATATTAGACAGACTCGATTGAACTCATTTGTTGACCCTATCAAACAAGCGTGGACTAATCAAGAACTCAAGCTGATACTGGGCTCCTTCAAGGGATTCTATGAGATCCTTGGTTTGGATAAAGTACGCCCTTACCTTCAGAAACGAGAAGCACAGAAGCTAGAGGACTGGACCGCCGTCCCGCTTGATGCAGAAGGCATACATATCCAGGAAGATTTAAGCAAAAAGTTTCAGGTATTTATAACAGTGGAGCTTTGATGATAGTATAAACTGACAAACTCCATCCTGCAGGAACTACCTCTCCGTCCCACTCGCACGCTTCTTGCTGTATCAACAGAAAAGGTGAAGAAAGATGAGCCAGCATACCAGATTGCTCTTGACTTGTGGAAAGATACTATCCCCTTAATCTTGCCAACCATTCTCCAGCTTATCAGGTATGCTCATCGCTACATACGAACATTAATACATTTTCTAACGCTACCAGTCATGCGCATGCTTTTCATAATCCTGATAACTGGGAAGGACTTCCTGAGGACATGCGTCCAGTTGTTGGTCGAATTTTGACAGACAGGTTCTGGCAAGCTGGTATCTCCAGTGGGAGCAGACAAGAATTTTACTCAAAAATAGCTGGGTCAAAGACCACGTTAGAGGGGCTTTCATCATCCGTCCGTGGGAAAGTGAGAGCCGTCAGAGAAGCCTGCTATTCAATTCTTTTTAGCATGAGCAGGCTAGAAAACTACTTCTATGGGTTTCCTGAGCTGCCCGCTCCCCTTTCACAGGCGCTTTACAAAGATGCTTTCTCCCTATCCTCACATCAATTTTCTGTTCTCTTAAATATCTCACGATGTCTTATAGATGATTGCCCATCAGCTGCTCGTGCGGCTTTCCTGCCTCCAATGATGTCCGCGTTATTTTTACAACTTGACCAGAAGGTCACTAGCGAGTGGGATATGATCCAGCGCCGAAGGATAGGTGCCGTTGACGACGATCTAACTGAAGAAATGAAAGATGAGAGTATTCTTAGGCAGTTGACATACTCTGCAGTCATCATGGTAGCTAGTTTCTTGGACCCCGAGCGAGAAGGTTTGTATATTGCTCCTTTCAAATAGGTATCAAAACAGAGCTGGCTGCTAACATAAGAAGGAGCTCAAGGCCATTCAAAAACAGGAGAACTCAAGGCTGCTGATGGAGAACAACCGGAAACAATGCGAAGTTTCATTATATCATCTACCCAAATACTTGAGCCGGTCCTTTTATTCTGCACGCATGCCTTGCAAATGCATGATACTCGGTGTTGCATTATTATAACCCGCGTTATTCGATCCATGCTAACGGAATTTGTTCCTGCGACTGACACGCCAACTGCAGCTACTATCCGGGAATTCATCAGCACTGAGGTTTTGAAAGCTTGCATAAACTCAGTTCATGATCCATATTTTGTGGACATGCAAAAGGATTTGGCACAGCTCATTTCTTCCATATGGATTTTATATGGTCCGACCACAAACACTCCTAGGGCTATCATTCTGAGCCTACCAGGTATGCTGGAACAGAAAGTGAAAGCAGCAGAGGTGGCACTTCACATTTCAGCCTCAAGCCGACAACAGAAAGCCATCGTATTGGATCTGCTAGAGGGCGTACGAGGCGTGAGAATCAGTGAGCAAGGACGTATTTTGGGTACGGCCGCTAATCGTCGAAAGGAACGCAGTGCAATGCAGGCGCGATATATGTCCACAGAAATGGAGGGCCAAGAAGCTAAGAAAGTCGACGTGAATGACGGGGCAGACCTAACCTTCGTAGCCGACATGTTCAATCAGGCTTAATAGTTACAAAATTGAGCGAGTTTGTTTAATCCGGCCGAATTTAGCTATTGCAAAGGATGGAGGTACTCTATCTAGAGCCATTATCATTCTATACTACCAGTCTCCGATTGAATCGAAGGAAGGAGGCGCATCTTTTTTGTTTCTCTCTTCACATTTCTTTGTCTCTCGTACATTTACATGGTTTCATTTTCATCTTACAAGGTCTTGAAAGGTCCATACCGAAAGATTTCAAGGTCTGCCTGGTGCCAGTTACCTGGGACAAACAATCACCTGCACATTAAGAGTCTTGTCATCGTACCCCAATGCCAAACGTTTAAAGTTAGAGGCACTGATAGAGAGAATCAATCACTGGTGTCCATTGCTAGCGAGGTGGTAATCAATATGAAAAACCGAGAAACTGTATGGTAGATATTTATACAGACAAGCCTATTTATTTAGGAGCCGGGGTATACATGAAGGTTGGTCTCACGAATCTGTGAATGAGAAAAAACAGTTAGCAGCCTTGACGGAAAATATGATACTGCCAGCTATAAGAGCTAGTGCAAACCGCTCAATGACATACCTGTCAGAGTTGTATATTTTGGTGTCGGTTCCAAGCAACTCCTTCTCTCTTGCCTTGTCTGCGAAGTACCGTCTCGCTTGATCTCGGTCCTCCTCGGCTTGAAGGAGTGGAATAAGGTGGATTCGAGACCAGATCTTCTCCCGGGCAAGTTCGCTGTTTGTGCAAAAAGAGCCTTGTTAGCATGATTCATCCGAGAGACGTAGGAGGGTGAGGCGGCAGCGGCGTCCGACGACTTACTTTCGTTCACGGGTACCAATGAAAAGCTTATACAGGCCATATGCCATAATAGCATGCATTCCAATAAGATAGTAGACGGGGCGGAACCCTCGAACAGGTACGTTGCGCTATGTTGGGTTGAAGACGTTAGCCATTCGGTACCGTGAATTTGGAAGCCCGTCGCTCAATGGCGGCTCAACGGCTTTGGGATGAAAAACAAGAGCGCACCTTGTACTGGACGGGGCGATATCCCCCAGTAGGGGGCATATCCTGAGGCATTGTGACGGTTGGAAGAAGGATACACGCCGGTGGGTGATGGAGAATGTTTGGTCGAGGTTGAAGTTGACGATTTGATAGCGGACCTTGTCGACTCACGTGATATGAGTTTTTGCCTTCACGCTATTGGTGGAAAGGCAACTTTTCGACTTTTCATTTCTTCTTCTGCTAAAAAGCTGAAGGTGAAGCAACGATTGACAGCCAGCCGGGCCATTTGGATTTTTCTATATTCCAGCCATGGAAGCAGAGGAACGGCCAAGCAAACTACAGAAGACAGGGCACGCAGCAGGAGACTCTCCTGTAGACGTTCCGGTGTCAAGGGCTGTCCGAGACCCGTCAAATGATGGCATTGGCGATAAACCCGAAATTGATACCAAGGCTGACGGGTGCCCTCAAATTGCCGTAAATACAGGCGCAGCTGCGGATCAGACGCAGCAGCCGGCGCTGTCTAAGAACCAGTTGAAAAAGCTCGCAAAGCAGCGCAGGTGGGAGGACCAAAGGGAAAGACGAAAAGAATATCGCAAGGAGAAGCTGCAGAAGAAAAGAGACCGCAGTAAAGCCCTAAAAGCCGAGCTTCAGGCCAATGGCGTGGCCTTGACGCCTGGAGTGCATGTTGAAGGGATACTGCCCGATAAGAATAAGATCAGGAGAGAAGCTCGCGCCCGGGCAGTTAATGTCCCCCTTACCTTTATAATTGACTGCGATTTTGATGACCTCATGCACGATACTGAGCTCAAGTCACTATCGTCCCAGATAACACGGTCATACTCGGATAATGCAAAGGCTCCCTACAGGGCCAGCCTAGTGATAGCATCTTTCCATGGCCAGCTCAAAGAACGATTTGATACTGTGCTTTCCAAAAACCACGAGAACTGGGCCGGTGTTAAGATAACCCAGGATGACTTTACTGCAGCGGCAACATCTGCCCAACAGCGTATGCATGATATACGCCATCCAAATTTAAAAGGAGCATTTGCCGAGAAGTCCGAATCAGAGGGTCTGAAGGAGGAAGGAGAAGTAGTGTATCTTACCAGCGACAGCCCAGAGACGCTGACGGAACTCAAGCCGTACAGCACCTACATTATTGGGGGAATTGTCGATAAAAACAGACATAAGGGAATCTGCTATCAGCGGGCCATGGCTAAAGGGATGAAAACCGCCAAACTGCCCATCGGAGACTACATGCAAATGGCTAGTCGATTCGTGCTAGCTACCAACCATGTTATGGAAATAATGTTAAAGTGGCTCGAACTGAAGGACTGGGGCAAAGCGTTCTCTCAAGTGATGCCAAAGAGAAAAGGAGGGCGGCTAAAGAGTGAGGTGTCCACTCCTGCGAGTACCGATGCCGGACATGATAGCCATGCTGAAGGAGAAAAGGCCGAAGAATCTGAATCAGGAGAGGGTGAAGGTGACGCAAAGGAGGATGATGGGGAAGAAGCAGAAGGAGATTTGAGGAGGGAGACAGAAGAACTGACAAGTCATGAAAGAGAACACGGGGGAGCGAGTAGCATATGAACAGGAGCACGAAGGAAAAGACGGAGAAAGCCCCCAACGCTCGCTCTGTCTCGGGGAACCCTGAAGGACGCAAAGTAATCCTATATCTGCTGGCTATCGAAATAACACACCGTTCCCCCTGATTGATGCTTTGATGCTCTCAGCACAGGCAGTGTAGTGGCATAAACATTGATATTCCGTGGTAGTTGGTAGATTTGCTACTGTTTTGAGTATCAGATCTAACGTAGTACTATCACCAGCTATTGCCACTCACACCTGCTATTATTATTATTACTTTTATTTAGTTCTTCTTCTGCTTCTTTTCTTTTTCTCTTCCTTTTTCTTTGCGTCATTCGAAAAGCAGCAGAAGAAGAGAAGAAGGAAAGAAAAAGCAACAAGTGACGAAGATAAGGAGATAAGAAGAGGCACAAGTTATTTAGTTAGCGAGAAAAGACCGACGAGGAACTACGCTCTCAGAGAAATGAAATTGCAAAGATCTTTAGGACTCACCACCGAGCTGACGCTTCGCTTTCGCTATTGCCTGGAGACTCTCCTGGTGAGCTGTAGTTAACCAACTAACCAGCCACCGCAGCAACCATGTTTATGCTCAGGAACGGTAAGCAGCTCCAGGTTGTTAGTTTGGAGTCTTCCTTGCCCCTCGTTCAATAGCAACAGCTCAGCAGGTGGCGGCGCTTCGCTTTTGAACAACCGGCTGACTTGTAGTATAACTATCTAGTCAGCAAGCTCATCTTCGGCGACTCTGCGAAGGAATCGATAATCGAAATACCCCAGGGACAGCTGTACATCGTTCGGCCGCTTTCCCCCAAGGGCTACTCTGAACTCATTTTCAAGGACGCGGCGGCGAGCATCAGACGGACCGGCCAAGAGTTCCAGTACCAGCTAGTGATCCAGCGGCATATGAAGAGGGCGAAGAAGAGCTCTCTGCTGAAGGCGACGAAAGCGGGGAGCTTGAGGCACTCGGCGGCGACAAGGACGAGAAGATCTTTCTGCTCGACGAAAGCCTTCGGCTTCGGTCTGAGCTGCGAGAAGAAGGCGAGAAGGTTATTGCATGGAGAGACTTGAGTGGCGACGTCGGTGACCTCTACGAGTTCGTCTGCGATCCGTCAACACCTCAGGAAAAAGTCGCGACATTTCTTCTTGCGGCGGTGGAGTGTCAGTACGAGCGCAAGTACCGCCGCAGTGCGCAGCAAGCAACGGATCAACAGCTCCAGGAATTTGATTTTGACGAGGAAGAGAGCCCAATTCCCACGGCCAGCCCAATCGCTACGTCTCCCCATTCGACCTCTCCAACCTCCAAGGAATCCGCAGCAGCGATGGCGAAAGAGGTTGTTTCTTCCAAGGGAACCCAGCAACAGACCTCAGAGCAAACTGTTGCGCCGCCGTCCGCTTCCGTTCCGACCGCAAATGAGGTACTAGCCAAAGAGACGGCTGAGCTTCACTTGTTCGACTTTAATACTGGAACCTTCGTCCTCCAGGACCCCCTAGTCACTGCAACAGTTTCTGAAATTGGATCCTGGGAATACTGGCTACAAATTACGGGCCCAGACCGGGAATGGCTTGGCCAGCTTGTTGTTGGCGATATAAACCCAGTGTTTAACTTCGAATACCTCTCATTTATCTTCAATCATTATACAGAAGATGGCTCGGCTTACTCTTGGCTTCTACGATTTAAAGACCAGGCCACGGAAGAACGGTTCCAGGAAGGATTAATGCAGGCGCTATGGGAGCGCCTAAATGAGACGAAATGGGCCAAAACTAAAGAAAATGATCGCGATTATGTCCTGGAAGCGTTTAACGATCTCACTGTGGAAGATACGAGAGAGGAGGACATGAAGGAGCTGGAAGAAGAGGAAGAAGCCGAAGAGAGAGAGAGAGCGGAGGAAGAGGAGGAAGATGAAGGACAGAGGAGTGAGCATTACGACACAGATGAAGATGAAGACGATGTTGCCACTCGAGATGAGGATGGGAATGTCAACTCTCAGCTCGCTGTTGGTTATAAACATGACAGGTCCTTTGTTGTGAGGGGGTCAAAGATTGGTGTCTTCAGGCACACCCCTAACAACAACCTCGAGTTTTCAACCAATATCTCAAAGGTTGAAACCCCCGATGGCAAGCTGTTCAGCCCTAAGAAGGTCATGCTCCATGCGGAGGACGCGAACATGATTCTCCAGAATGAGCAAAATCCAAACTCTCTGTATCGTATGGATTTGGAGTACGGTAAGGTCGTCGACGAGTGGAAAGTACACGATGATATCCCAGTGTTGTCTTTCACCCCTGAAACGGTAAGTCACATCAAAAAGCATATGTTCTATATTATCTGATTTATTGACAATATATACAGAAATTCTCCCAAATGACATCTGCGCAGCCCTTCGTTGGTATATCACAAAACGCTCTTTACCGCATCGACCCCCGTTTGTCCGGCAACAAGCTTGTGGATGCAGACCTAAAACAGTACGCCAGCAAAAATGATTTCTCTGTTGCGTCTACCACTGAGAAGGGATATCTTGCTGTCGCTTCAAATAAGGGAGACATCCGTATGTTTGATAGACTGGGCGTCAATGCCAAGACCCACATTCCGGCACTGGGAGAGGCTATTATTGGATTAGATGTCTCTGCCGACGGTCGATGGGTACTCGCTACATGCCGTACATACCTCCTCTTGATTGATGCTTTACAGAAAGATGGAAAGAACGAAGGAAAGCTCGGGTTTGAGAAGTCCTTTGCCAAAGACTCGAAGCCACAACCTCGACGTCTGGGTTTGCAGCCTGCCCATGTTGCTCAATTCCAGCATGAAACCAAATCCCCTCTTGCGTTTACTCCTGCCAAATTCAACACTGGCCTAGACTCTTCAGAGACTTCAATTGTCACCGCTACTGGGCCATTTATTGTTACGTGGAATTTGAAGAAGGTCCTCCTTGGCCGCAAAGACCCATATACTATCAAGCGGTACGCGGAGGAAGTCAAAGCGGATAACTTCAAATTTGGAAGTGATAGGAACGTCATTGTTGCCCTACCAAACGAGGTCAATATGGTTGCAAAGCAGAGCCTTCGAAAGCCAACGAGAGAGAGTATTGCTGGGCCCCCGGTTACCCCAGCCAGGTTTGGTGCCGGAAGAAAGGCTAGTCGGCTCGGAAGGAATGAAATAGTTAACAGCCCTTACTGATAACTAACCAACAGTGATAAAGGTGATAAATCTCGGTTAGCAGAATAACTTTATCCTTTTTAACTCAAACGAAATGTAATACTCCTTGTTCAATTCTAATAACTTTCCATGATTTCAATAGCCTATTTAGCGTATTAGTTATAGTTAACCGGAGATCAAATAGACACACCTGTATCGAAAGTCATCTAAAGCAGAGATATAGGGTAGTTGTTCTTAGGCTAGCTGTTTACTTTCTATGCTAGATTACAGCTTTGAGTAGACAAATGTGGCAGCGATACTGCAAATCAAGAGAATCAATAACCCAGTTACGCTATAATGTTATTTTAACCAAATAGTCCAATGAAAATGACTGCCAGACGGTTATGACTGCTGCTATGGATGAGTTTGAGTTAAGTATCAACATATTAACATAATGGGTATAAAATCAGCTTAATGCCATCTCCCCAAGAGCAGGAAGGCCAGGCCAAGAATTAGATGCAGATGTCCAGGGGAAATCCCCTTTAGCCAATAATACATGATTTATCCGATACTCCATACCTCGACGGCCAGGACGTCAAACTTGGTGCCTTCGTCACTGAGCGGTTCGTTTCCAAATGTGAGGCAAGGGCTAGATACACCTTTCTCAAAAGAATCATCTAACCATAAGCCATAGTGTCCATCGCTTTGAATAGGTACTATTGTTAGTTTATTGACACTCCAGAGGGTTTGGGGCGGACACTTGAAAACGACTTACCCTCCGCCTACACTGAGAAATCCAGTCTCGCAAAATATCATATAGTCATTAACTCCGCTGTATGGAAACGCTTTAAATCTGATGTGCTCTGGGGTATGGGTACCACTTCTGCTGCTGTCTGCACGGGGGTTAGCAACTAGATTGACCCCAACCTGTGTCTGTGAGATGGGCGAGTCATTGCGCCCGCCTCCTTCTTCCGCTGTGGAAGATTGGAGAAGGGATTCTCCCCCATAATTTCTGGGGGCAATGGGCTCAGCCTCACCTCTAAATGTAGTATTTCTCCCACGAATATTGGTAGTATCCGCACTTGGAGGTGGAGGCAGGCCAGCTTGCTCCAAACTCTCGCGCAAGGACTGACCAGGTTTTGTACTGTTCCCGTTTGCAATAGTAGTTGGTATCACTGAAGTAGATGAAAGAGCACTAGCCCGCCAGAGGAAACATTCGCCAGTCCCGTAATAATGAGAGTCAGGGTGTGGTGCATCGGTAAGATAGGCACCGAATAATGAACCACCTGTAGTCGCCCCGCCGCCAGCAGGGTTGGCATTCCCGGCCCCAGGAAATGGAGACGAGGAGGCATCACGGACAACAAGAAGGTATCCAGCGCGTCGGCTTATTTCCGAGTGCTCTCTGCATTTATCATAGAGGGTAGATAGGGATGCGCCGTCCCGGTCGAGGTTGTATACCAGTTTCCATGTGTCCACGAGCTGGAGCCGAGGAGGAACCAGCAGCCTAATCTCCTCAGCTAATGACCGTGTAAGGAGCCGGCCCGTATCACTTGGAGAGCATTCGAGGGTAAGCGGCGTCAGTGGCGGAGGGTGGAACGGGGAAGCTGTGCGGCGTGGGGGAGTGAAAACTGCGGCGTCACTCATGGGGTTGAGCGAGCGGGCGGAGGGAGGCGGGCCTGGCTCTGTAAGCCGTCGATATATACCGGAGACAACATGGGAAACGGGATAGGTCAGGTAAGAAGATGTTGACTGCGGCGAGGGTCGCTGTTGTTGCGATTGCTGAGATCTAGAGTTGCTTGCCCTTGGGTAGTCGGAGCTATTTCCTGAGGTCGACGACATAAGAGGTAGATAGTTAACTGTTTTGGCGTGAACTAGTTAACGATTGCGGCGGTTAGAGAGGCTCTGCTTCATGGGTAGAAAGATGCCGGTTCTTTATTTAGTTATATCACTATCAGCTCTTCTGTCGAACCCAGGCTGGTTGAAATGTGTTAGTTAAATATCATCAACTAGTAACTTGAAAATTTAATAACAAACAACCATGTTCAGGCGAACCGTTGAATAAATAAACCAACTACTTAGTTCACTACTTAGTTACTTGCTACTGAGTGGGCCTCCCCGAAGGTATAATGATCCAGCCACGATAAATGCTGGGGTCTGGGACGCCGATATCCAATATTCAATATTCCATATTTACAGTGCAGGGAGCTACATAAAGCATACACGGTGAACAAATCACGATGATATTGGCCGCTGTCGTGATTATATACATCCTGGATTATCCGGTAATGCTGGTATCAACTTTTCGATGCACGCCATGGTGACGATAATATAATCAGGGGGGAAAGAAACGTCATGTTTTCGTCTAGTGTCCGTAATCAATCAAAATAAGTCCAAAAGCTCAGAATTGCTTTTCTTCTGTACGCCTTGACTTTGCGTCGAAGCGGGTGCAGGAGAAGCTGTGGATCCAGAAAGGTCAAGTCCTGCGAGGCCGTTCATCAAATCATTCCCGCCCATGTTTCCGCTTCCAGAGTTCGTTTCGCCTGAGTTAGAAGGCGACGGGTTGCTCCCGAAAACTCCCATGAGATCCTCTAAGTTATTACTTGACTGCGGAGGGCCTGCATTTGTCGGCGATGCGACCCTCATTGGTGTACCAGCTAGCCCTTCCAGGCCGGACATGCCAGCAGGTGGTTCTCCCTGAGCAGACGCAGGAGCCGTTCCGTCAAAATCAATGTCTAGTAGATTCTCAATATTATTCTGCATCTGAGGAGGTGCAGTGCCAGAGACTGCTGCCGCCGCCGCCGCTGCTGCCAGAGGGTTCTCTCGGGCATTTTGAAGTTGTTCCCTAGGCGGTTATGTTAGCGAAGTTGACCAGTGTGAAGGAGCAGGTAAGAGTCATCATACTCAATAGCCGCTTTCTGAACAGCATCTGCGCCATATTTGCCCTGTCCGACAAACTGCTCCGGGGGCTTGTGGTAGACTGAAGCTAGCGTGGATAGCTCGCCGAGAAGTTGTTCGAGAAGGTTGGGAGGAAGAGAGTGGATGGTGGTAACAATTGGGGGCTTCTCGGAAAGGACCACATTCTTGGGAGCATTTGGATCATTAGTGTTCGAAAGAAGTCGCCAATAAACATATGCTCGATCTCGGATATCTGGGTTGTCGTTCTCTTCTGTTGCTGCCTTCAAAACCTTCTGTACCAAACCTTGGGCCTTGTCTGGACGCTTAAGGAACAATTTGACCACTGCCGTCAAGATCTGCAACTGTGTCTGTATAAATAATTAGCAGTGATAAAATACTAACATACTTAGAAAGGGGTCGTCCAGCATATTACCTGGGTGAACTCTTCGTTAAAGCCATCCACAAAGCTAGCCAGGATATCACCAGCGTTGCTAATTTTTTCCGCATACTCTCCCACAATCCATATCAACGCACCCCTGGCATCTGGCTCGTCAAGCTCATCGATACACTGGCAAAGTGTAGGGATAATTCCTTCATATCCGGGATATTTTCGGAATATATCTTTGATCACTACAATGGCCTCCTGGACCACGTAATTAACCTTGGTGTTAATTAAATCTAGGAGGGTAGCCACACATTTCTCTGCAGTTAGTTCAATTTTGATGGCCGTTTGTCCAATTGCTCTGACTGCACGACGAACAAAGTCCATATCAACGTCTAGAGCATACTCCTTGAGCTCGGCTAAAAGCTGGTCCACGTTTCTGTCGTTCGCAATTCGAACCATGATTTCGAGTTTTTGAAACTTAAGGTAGGGTGGGTCGTTATATTTGCAAAAGAATACCCTAAGCTCTTTGTCTAGGATATTTGGTTGGCTCTGTAAGAGAAGGTCGATATTCCTCAGCGCAACGTACTGGACTTCTGGGGCAGACGACACAAGTGTAACTAAATTATGTGAGTAAACAGGTCCTCGACACTCACTCCACATTATAAGCGGTTTTTGTACATACCTAGGGGAGGTGCCATTTTCTTGAGATAAGATTTGGCAATATCGGGGTTTATGTACTTCATGTGTAAAAAGACAACTTTGACCGCTGCGAGGACAACACTGGCATTTATATGTTGGAATTGAGGTACAACTCGTTCGCATATGTTCTCAGATTCCTTTTGGTCCTTCGGGGTATAATTGGCAAGATTGGTGAGAACTGAGACTCGGCCCCATTCAGTACACTCATTCAGGGCCATGAGCATCTTCCGGAGTGTGTTTGGGGTAATCTGCAGAGCCTTGGTTTCCGGTGCCGTTTCGCTGATCTCAGCAAGGGCAGTCACCGAATTTGCAACTACCATCGGGTTCGGATCACCGATCATTTCTTGGAGTGCTTCAAGGAAACCGTTCTCGAGGCAGAGGGCGGGATTGAGATCAAATAGCTTCGCAACGCATATGGCAGCGGTCTTTCGAACATAAGGAGACTCATCTCGCAATGTTTTGCGCAGTGGTTCTTCCATATAATCTACAATTTTCTCCACTCTGATGCAGCCCATCGTCCGTATGGCGAGGGCTCGAATCAAAGGATTTGGATCCTCTGTATCTTGAACGAAGGTATTGACGGCGAGAATGCAAAGGTCAGGGTGCGATTTGGCATAGTTCCTGTACCATTAGTTAAATAAAATCGTAACCGCTAGTATTCCCAGGGATGGGCAAAAGGCGCCCTTACATCAGATAGAGGTAGACGAGCTTCTTCTGGTCAAGATCCGCGGTGGCTATATTTTTGAGGACATCGGGGAAAAGCGAGGAGACGTCTTTGCCCAGGGTCATGGCCATAATCGTCTTCTGAATCGATTCCTTCCTAGAGAGGAGTAAGCACGGCTCCGCCATCAATTGCTGCAACGGCCAGAATACCTCTCGTATGCATATTGCGATCTGTAATTACCAAGTCAGCAAGTAGAACTCGGTGTCTTTCGGGGGATTCCATATCACCATACACTAATCCAGCTCTCAGCTCGAACGTCTCGCCCTTCCGTGGAGCCGTAAAGGCCCCCCTTATCCTATTAACAGCCATGGCCGCGAGCAGGCATCAGTAACGCTGTAGTTATACCAGGTGGCTTTTGGTGGTGGAGGGGCTTCAGCTGGCCGGCGATGGGATAGCGGTTGAGCTGGCTCTGTCCTGGTATTCGGAAGACCGCCGATGGACAGTACGGGTATGTTGTGACAGGAGGAAAGATGCTCTTCTGCTAGATGAGAGAGCGAAGGTTGGTTGTTCGCCAAATTGATGGCCTTTCGATGCTCCAGTAGTTAGGTCACTGTAGTTAGCCAGAACACTCGCTCCCCTTTGTGCCCAGGCTGGACTAGTTAACTAGCTAGCAGAGGAGTGTACTCCATAAGTATATGAACGAACTGGCCACAAATTAGGAGCTAACTGCCTCAATAGCTCGTATACTCGTACTCCTTCACATATACCATAGTAGGTATACAGTGTCTTTTTGTATATTGTCCAGTATTTCTATTCCTACGCCTATTTTCGATCTCTGCTCTGGCCCGGAAGCCTATCACGTGATCAAGGAATTAGCCCATAACAACAAATTGCCAACAGCTTCGAAGCAACGGCTAGAGCAAAGATCCTCAGGACTTCTCTTCCTCATCTTTCCTGGAGACGATAGGGCTGGCTGTTATGGTTCAAACCCTGCCTTAACGAGTGCCTGGAATGCTTGTTCTAACGCGGTAGTAGGCCAACCTCCCTAACCTTCGAAGGCTCTTTGTCGAGGCGCGGACGGAAGCTGAAGAAAATGAGTACTCCAGGAATGCTGTAAGACAGACGCCTGTTCACGTTCACGGACACTCGAGATATTATTATACTAACAGCAGGGCAGTTCTATAACCTCGTACTCTTTATATCGTCAGTTGCCGTATTCAGCCTTGTTGCGCAGCGAATGAGCGGCGGAGGGTCATCGAAATGAGGACATCCATGGATAGACACGCCATCGATGACCCATCGTGTATAATATCTACTAAGCTGCTTCCTACAGCTGCATATATGGCATCATGGCTTCGTTAAGACGGGCATATCAGATACTATACTGTACAGGTAAAGGTATCAATCAGACTCTGAGTCCTGGTCATCTTGCCCAAGAAAGTCCAACTGCTTGAAGCTCTTCGCAATCCGTCGACTTGAACGGCCAGCCTTGGAAGACTCCCCTTCCTCGTCGACATTAGCTCCCCATATCTTCGCGCCTTCTTGAGCAGCCTCCAGGTCAGCTTTGAGCTCTCTGTCTTCGCGGATTCGATTAGCCTTTTCGATCGAATATCTCCCATCCATACCAGCATCCTTGAGCATGGACTTTAAATGCCGGATCTTCTCCTTTGGAGTACTGCATCCCATGAGCTCACGGCCCCATACTTTCCGTATTCCACATTTGACTAGCCAGCCTTGCAGTCGTTTTATTTCCGCCTGGTCTGGATCTTCCGGGACAGCTTCCTTCCGTTTCTTCTCTGACGTGAGCTTCTTGCCTTTACCCTGCGCAACGGTTGGGCCGGCGGGTTTTTTTCTCTTGGGTTTGGGTTTGGGCTCTTCGTCAATGAGCACTGACATTTCGCTCTCCGAAGCCCCTTCTGCATCCGCAACTTTGGCTGCCTTAGTTGCCGCTCCTGGTTCGGATGTTCCGTCGTTATCATCAACACTATGAACCGAATTGTCTTCCTCTGAATCGGTGATGGCTTTGGCAGCCTTTTTGCTTCTAGACCCTTTCACCGGTGGCGCTTTTGATTTCTTCTTGCTCACTGGCTCTGGGTCACTATCCATCTCAGAAGATATGCTATCATTCTCTTCCTCTGATGGTACTGTAGGTGCCTTCTTCCGTTTCTTGGCAGGCGTTGAAGCCTTTTGTGTTTTTGGGGAGGCCCGCTTCTTCAATTGAGGCTTTTTGGGCGCTGCGGCAGGCTTTGGTGGTGGATTTTCCTGTATTTCCTAGACTCCCATAGTAATCTTAACATTTGGACACTCAGACACAAAACCACAGGTGAAATTCCCTCAAGTCAAATAAGATGGGCGCGTACATACCACTTCATCCTTTATTATCTCATCGCTTTTCCGTTTCCATTCTTCATGGGCTTTGAGAAAGCCTTGCTCTAATCCCAGACTTTGCTCTGTTGCCAGCCGCACACGTTTCACTGTCAACTCATCGAGATTTCCGGATCTGTATATGTTTGCAACGGTATCCCTCAGCCCTTGCTCTATATCTTTCGCGCTTCGGAAGCCAGACGTGGATCGCGTCTCTGATTCAGAGTCTGACATTCTAGAAGGCAGAAAAATCGGGCGTAGACTGCGTGCTATTGAATTCGCCTCTCTAGCTCCGCAGGGATTAAATAATTGACTAGAGTATCACCGAATCCAAAGCCCGCGGTATGATTGTGGTGAGTAGCAGAAAAACTGCGACGCGACCTACGGAGTAGTGGTTAGTTAGTTAAATAACTGGCTAGTTGACAACAACTTAGGTAGCTGGCCGTGGGTCGCAACAACAAGCTTGGCACAAGATGATAGACACGAAAAAGAGGGACCTTCAAGGACAAGCGACATCCACTAAATTGGATATAAAGGTAGGTTGTAGCAAAATGAATAGACGCTTTGTAGGTAGCTGATTGGTGATTGATTGGTGATTTTAAACCTTGGAAACTAGGTAACTATTTAAGTTAACTATTTAGACGGCGATAAGAACGGCGATAACAAATTGTGCTGCTTAAAAATACACTCATGGCCTAACAGTCTGGGTAGTTATAGGACGGACGAGGGCGTCAAGAGCTACACTAGACGCATAGAAGAGCAGGTATAAAGACAAAATTATTGGCCTTCCACCTTTCCTTGTTATACCTTTAATCATGGCGGACATACTCAAGGAACAATTGAATGCTATTAACCAGCGAAATACGTCCACCAGCGTACCCAAAGAGAAGAACGATGAAGAAAAAACCCAGAAGCTGTCAAAAGGCATTGTACTGGATAAGGATGGCAAGCCGTGAGTATTGGTCTATCTATCCAGAATTGGAGGAATATAACTGACGCTCTATGTCGCTGGGATAGCTGCCGAACCTGCACCTCCATCGCAGACTGGCGGGCGTTGACGAAGATGAAAGCCGGTGCTCCATCCAATACATCATCACCTTCCCCCAATTCCTCCTCAATAGCAAGTGCAGCATCCGCAGCCCTCCCCAGTACATCAAACACAGATTCTACATCCGAAATACCCAGCGATTGCCCGGCAGATGTTGAGGCGTTAGGCCGAAGTACTTGGACCCTCTTACATACCATGGCCGCAACATACCCTACCACTGCATCACCCCAGCAGCAAAACGAAATGGGCCAATTTATGACCTTATTTTCAAAGTTATACCCATGCTGGGTATGCGCCGATGACCTGCGGACCTGGATGAATCATCCAAGCGGTGCTAATAAGCCTAAGCTCAGTGGACGTGCGGATTTCGGTAACTGGATGTGTCTTGCTCACAATGAGGTAAATCGGAAGTTAGGGAAGAAGGAGTTCGATTGCTCCAAGTGGGAAGAGAGATGGAGAACCGGGTGGAAGGATGGGAGATGCGATTGATCCTATCTACTGTGGCTGTAGTCTTGTATAGCGCTTCGAGATCGCTGGTTGGTTTGTGCAAATATTATTTACAATGTTGGCATCATTTACGCTGACACCGGATACAGGAGGCGATAGAGGCATGGTTTATGTTACTGTTGACTGTAAAGATGTACCATAGTGTTATATTTAGCAAAATCTCCTACTTTTATACCCATACAAGCATTATTTACGTCCTGCCCCCAGCTCCGTTTAGTAGTTCAAGTTACAGACTACATATCGGGGGATCTTCCCCAGATTTGCGGTTGAATAATTAGCAATGCCTGCCAGGATATGCAAAAACAACCAGGTCATCACAACGCGTGCGTATTAAACATCTATATCTTGAACTTCATATAACTAGGTTCGCCTTCGAAAAAAGGTAGATACCTGAAATTAAGTGCAGGAGGAAGTGAACAAAACTTTATCAAATTTTGCCCAGCTAGCTCTGGTATATTAAGCATTGGCTGGAGAACGTATAAAAAAGTCATGGCAATCCCCCTCCCATCATAAAATCAGTCAATCATGGAATAAGACAGAAGCAGAGAAAGTAATCTAGTGCTGTCCTGGAACGTATAATCGCAACCCACTTGCAGGAGCACCAACCGCCGAAACTTGACAAATTGTGCAAACGGAACCCTTGTACTGTTCATGATACTTGGTTCCAGTGTAGGGGCATGACACGCTCGGAGAGCCACTATAGATCGGAGTATGCGAGGCAGCGCAAATGTCAAATTCCGCAAATTGGTCAAATTCAATCTCAATAGCATCTTGTGGGTTTCGTTCACACTGAGCCTTTATCTTCTTTGCCTGTTTGACAGTAAGTAAAAAGTAAGATGACGCGAGCAATAAAAGGATAGACTTACCTGATCAAGGAGCTTGGCTGAACCACCGTTTGCAATCATCCTGTTGGCGAAACTGAGGGCAGAGGAGAAATTTTGGTTGGTATAAGCAAATTTCATTGCTGCCATGAGCGCCAGCTGTCGGTGAGCAACTTCAAGCTTTGGAATGGTAAAGTAGGCAGACAGCTCGAGGCTTCTCTTAAGATTTTCAGGTGTATCAGTTGGTAAGGCTCGTCGTTCGAGCTCCATCGACATGGCCAGTATATACTCCCTCGCCGTGGAGATGATTTTCTTAGCCTCAGCAACATGCGCCTCTGATGAGACAGTGTTGACGAGAAGGGAATGTAGTATACGCTGGAAAATTATGATTCCATCTTGAAGCTTGTTCGATCGCATGGCAGCATAACCCTCCTGCAAATCGACACTGGCAATGGTCTCTAGACTTCGGGGGATAATTGGAAGTAGCCGGCGGGGGTCAGTTTCATCAACGGTACGGCGAACATAGTTTATTATCGGGGGAAGAGCAGGCGTTGCTGGGAGGTAAGTTTTGGAGGCTTGGTAGACCTCAAGGAAACGTGATTTCAAAGGCTCAAAGTTCACGGCGCCAACTTGACGATTTAAGAGCTGCATTGCTGACTCGAATGAGCCGGCTGCAACATGGTCGGCTGCAAGCGGTGAATTGCGAGACCATAATTCAGCTTCACTGCTGGACGGACCACTTTCCACGTTTTCGGTGCCAAGAAGGTCGGTCTCCTCTTCAATTTGGATATCATCTCCCATGTCCCACCCAGCAACATCCTCCTCCTCTTGCTCATCGCCTAGCCCAGCCTCGGCGCCGCCAAGCTCGCGTTCGCCATCTAGGTCGTCAAGGCCGTTGGTGCCTTCATCATCAGCTCCCCCAACTTCACCCAGGAGGGCCTTCTCAAAGGATGAATGAGAAGGAGCCTTTACAGGCCAGTTGGATTTAAATGTCTGGACCACGACATTAGGAGCTGGTTTTGGTTCGCCTAGAGTAGGAAGACTTATTTGGTCCTCAGAAAGCCCACTAATTTCAAGGATAGACTGGGCCTCTTCCACAAATCCATGGCTTTTGGCGGTGAGGTACGCCAATGGCACTACGTAATGCCAGGGTTAATACAGAGGCTCTGTGATCACATAAATGGAAAACTTACAAAGATCAATTTCCTTGAACAACTGTATCCTAGCTTCAACATCGTCGAGATAAAGGGCGTTTTGGAACTGCGAAGTGAAATCACCTCGGTGCTGGGCGATCTTTGCCATACGAGAGAGCTTCTCCTGATCGCCTGTGGCGAGGTAGAGGAATGACAATTTATCAAAATTCCGTTGCCTCTGGTAGGTCATTTCCACCGTTTGATTGTTACCATGTGCTAGGGCTTCAGTCCCGAGTCGAGCCCAGAGCTTGGGGCGGTCAAGGGTTTTGGCCATTTCGATTGCAACGTCGATGTTGCCGCACTCTAAAGCAAGTTCAAATCTAGTCTGAGGGTCTTGAACAAATTGAAGAGCAATCTCAGGGTATCCTTTCTTTTGTAGATACGAGATTATACTTTGCCCAACAAGACTGGATGTCTTGATGATTTGAAGCATCTCCTCGTAATTCCTTTTCACCAAGGAAAGTTTGAAACGATACTCAGTTGGATCGATTGCGAGAACAGTTGGTTTCGCAGTCCTGTCCAGGCAGTATACCTTTCTAGCTTTAACGCGAACTAGATATAGAGTCTGGTCTAAAGTGCAAACAATACCATTGTCACTAGAAAAAATTAGTATGATATGAAAAGTTGTGCATGATTTGAGAACTTACCCGTTGAGAAGGGAATACTTGACGTGATTAAGAGTAGAATAGAGAAGCACACCACTATCATCCCAGCAAGCACTCTTGATTCGAATAGTTTCATGGAGGGTGCTGACATGCTCCAAGGTTTTTGTGGCAATTGTGACATTGTGCTTGCTTAATAGAGCAACGTAGAGCCCATCATTTGACCACACTACATACTTCACACCGCTGACGCTCAATTCTGCGAGCTGTTTCTTCTGTTGGATATCAAGGAGAACCACAGAAGTTGGTGTAAGAAGCAGGAGGCAGCTAGTTCCGCCGAAGTGGATGTCGGTAGTGCCATGAGGAGCCTTTATCGTTTTGGTGGTGGAGTTGCTTAGATCCTTGATATCTATTTGTTGTGTGGACTGAGTGAAGATGGCAAATCTGTTGCGGGCAACGAAAACTGCAGAATTTCCATGTCCGCGCTTCACATCAGTTGGTTCTACTGCACCAGTGGAGTCCCGTGGGATGTGAATCAGTTCGTAAGTGCCGTTATCGGTAGGAGAGGTAACCAATATGGCACGTTCAGCTGGGTTGTACGATAAAGTTCTAGCGGGTACCCAGGGGCTTCCAAGCTTCTTGAGAGACAGCATGGCCGGGGACTCGGCGTTTTTCGTAAAGTCATAAGAACGGAGGAGCTTGTCCTTAGTTATGTAGAAAACTTGATTCTGGTATAAAGCAGAGGCTGGACGCTCCCGCTCAAGCTTGAAAACCATGACACCGGTGTCATGTCCTGCAGCAAACAAATTAATCTCTGGGTGAGCCGCAATCATCCAGAAGCGGTCTGCATCCCGCTTGAATGACTGAACTGCAGTTCTCTTATTTAAGTCCCAGACTCGGATAGTTTTATCTTCACCGGCGGAGAGAATCAAATCCTGGTGCGGGTGGAAAATACAGGCAGAAGCGTTCTGGAAATGGCCACGGCATGTATCTACTTCCCATGCCTTCGTTTCTATAGCAGGTTAGTAAAACTTTCCTATGGCGAGATAGAACCCGAAACATACCACTCATCCTCCACAGTTTAATAAGGCGATCATCGCCAGCAGAAACAATCAGGGGCAGAGTAGGATGGAATGCAACCCAATTCACACCACGGTCGTGACCCTCCAAAACAAACTTGACGACTGCATCGGTGTTCCCGAACATGTCTGCTTGAGCTGGGTTCGAACGAGCCATTTGCTCTTCGAATGCCATCGTACTGGACGGAGCAGAATGTTTCTTACGAAGCCCAGAGATATCCCAGACACGCACTGTCTGATCCAGGGAGGCGGAGACGACGAGATCATCTTTTGGATGGAACTGTGCACACATAGTATAGTGATTGTGTCCGGTCATGGTACAAACTGTGCATTCATATCAGTAATATCCTTTTCAAAAGCGATTAAAAGGCGGGCGTACTTAAAGACCGGTTTTGCCAGTTCCAAATACGAATGGTCTGATCATCCGAACTGGAGATGATCCATGGAAGCTCGTGATGGAAGAAGACCGTTCGAACATAGTCTAGATGGCCATTGAGAGTAAACAAGCACCTCCTGCTCTGCAATGACCAGACCTTAATCTTATAATCATCACCTGCAGAGACGAACAAGGGCTGGGTTTTGTGGAAATCGACACCTCGAACGGGGCCATCGTGTTCTTCAAACCGGTCAATCAATGTTCCCATGCGGTAATCCCACAATTGGATAGTCGACGAGTGAAGGGCAACCAAGAGCCATGGTCTTCTCAAGTCAGTTAACATAAGGAGCTCACACTTGGTATGGTGGGCTGGTAGTTATCTTCGTGCTGACCTTTTTGGGTGAAAGGCAAGGCCCTTTGCTCTAGATGACTTCGACTCGAACTGCGGCAATAAACAATAAGAATCAATATGAGATAAATAGAGAAAACGGGCCAAAGTCGAGGGCATTGAGGAAGTACCTTTGTGAGCACGTTTGGAGAGGTGGACTGCATTGTTATCACGGGGAGTTGGCCTGGGCCAGAAAGGGAGAAACTCTAGGCGCCGACCAGAATAGGGAATGCTCAGTTAATTCGGAGCATCGATATCCAGGTCGTAACAGCAGGAATGACAGGCAAGGCTTGTTGTTGTTGTAGTTGTAGTTGTAGTAGATGACAAGCTTGCCTTTTGCCGTTCGTTGCTTTACGTCGTTCTTCCGTACGTGGACTCTTTGTGGTTACGGATTAACTGTGCTTATATAATCACAAGCGAGTGGGCCCCCGGGCTCCTATTGGTTGCCGAGCCTCCTTTTCACCAACATCCAGAAGTTGCCCTCATTCAACAACTTGAGATTACTTTTAGGCGCTGGATCTAAAGCTTTTTATGACTTCTGGAGTACTCTGTTTTGAATATCCGTATGGGCTGGTTAACTGGGCAATGTTTCAAGTCCTCGCCCTCTCCTGTTGTCTGCCTGCGCATTTAACCAAGCCAATCAAAATCACACCGTTTGACTATGCTTGATCTATAGCCACAAGCTATAACTAACTAACTCCGGATATATAAAGCCCTTAGAAGTGCTAGATGTTTGTGTCACCATGTTAGATACAACCCATTGAAGGTCTTGAACCCTCGTTTCCCCAACGCTAACAGAGACTTTCTGCATACAAGACCCCTGGGGCCGATAACACTCTGTACCAAAGTTATCCGGGACCTACAGATGGGACATCCCAGTATTGACAGGCCTTTTGGTTTGCTCCAAAGTAACCATTGACAGTCAACACAACCTTACTGACCGCAAGCACGTGATACATATCGGGCCCCGGGGGCCTGGGCAGGTGTACTGCAGGGTGGATGGGATGGGTATGACGTCAAGCTGGATGTAGCAGCTTGACGTCCATTAAACCGCTTCAAACAGCCAAAGTGGTTCAACGACACCCAAATACCTTCAAATCCTAGTCTATTATGCCCAATTAATTGCCATATAGCGCGCTAAATTCATACACGATGGCAACTCGTATGTCTACCCGACATGCAGCGGCCAAGGCAAATGAAGCTCTGCACGAAAATGCACAGCAGGGCAGGAGGAAATCAGTCGAAGCAGGCCAGAAACGCAAGGCTACATCTAAGAAAGACGTTCCGGAACCGAAGCGAGAGAAGCATACGAAAGATGACGCTCAGAAATCCGCAGATGACGCAGTAATAAAAGAGGAGCCCGCGAGAGATACTACATCCCACAGTGAGCAAGAAAAACGGGAGGCTAGGAAGCCACAGGCTCATTATGCATATGTGAAAGACGAGGAAGCTGAACAATCAAGCGAGGTGAAGCCCTCTGATGTTCCCTCTAAGAAAGAACCAAAGGAAACCCCAGTCACAAAGTCAGAAGAAAGCTCCCGAGATGCGGGTATACCATCCAACATTATGGAGGAGGGGATCATCTATTTCTTTTTCCGGGGTAAAGTTGGCGTTGAAGAACCAACAGGCCTTGACGAAGTCGCCCGCACCTTTATAGTCCTGCGTCCACAACCGCTTGGAGCTAAGCTAAGCGCCGGGCTCGCTGGGGGTGGAAACAACTGTCGACTTCTCTTGCTGCCTAAGAAAACAGTCCCCACATCGAGCCACGAGAAGTACATGGGGTTTGTTGAGAAAGCAGGGACCGACTTGAAGACTCTGAAGGAATCGTTCTTGGGTGAAGAGTATGAGACCAAGACGAGGGGCACGCAATTTTCACCCACAGCTACCCCGTTAGCCGAAGGGGTTTATGCGCTTACCTCTACCCCAAGGACTTCACACTTGGCGTACATCTTGACTATACCAAAAGAGCTATCCCAAGTTCAGAAAGATTTTGGTCTACGGGAGAAAGGTTCTTTCATTGTGGCCTCGAAGAATCCCAAGTATCCTGGCCCCTCTAGTGCAAGGCTACCAAAAGCACCAGACTATCCACAGAGGTCAGTCCACGACCATGTTTCCTCGCTGCTTATTGCTTAGACATAACCATCTGACGTTTCGTTTTTCTTGGATTGTTTCTCCCGCAGTGTGATGGATGACTTCCGCGATCTCCGCTGGGTTCCTCTTGAGCCAAAATTTATTGACTATCCCAATGCACAATTTATGATGCTAGGCGAAGCGCAAGGCCACCTGGGCAAGGGAGGTATGACCGAGGGGAAGGCTCTAGAACAGGAGGATGCGGGTGAGGAACTCGAGCACCTTGAGCTTGAGAATGAAATACGGGCTGGGTCGTTAAATGGTAAGCTTACCCTCACTCTCTAGGACAGGGATTTGACAACGGCGTGCTCAACCTTGCTCCCCTGAAAGTGTTTTTTTATATATTATTATGATATATACTTGGAAAGCATGCTAACTATACACTTAACTATACTGACCAAAACACAGAGAGTGATAAGGTTTTCGAAGATCTTGGACTCAGCGCAAAGCAGTTTCCGCAGGTTCCAACGACGTGGGAGTAGTTAATCCAGGGTTAAGTATATGCTTGATAGTATATGATGTATGAATGATGCCCCCTGTCCATGGTTCAATCGCACAGTCGACTTTGGCAGTTATCTAGCTGCCACCACTAGCCAAGAAAAAACCCCCGGATAGTTACTGCCAAAAAATCACTTGTTCTTCTAGTTTGTTTAACTAGGTCGTTACCTACGTACGAAGTATTTAGTTACCCAGCTACTTAGGTACCTAGGCAGTTAGCTACCCCCAGTTAGGTAGTCAGTTAATATGCACATGTTGAGAAGCACCCCGAAATTATTGACAGAGAAGCATAATTCATACATGTACACTGGCTAGGTAGTTGAACAAAGGCATCGATCTCGCTTTCCGATCTTTCCCCACGGGCTCCAGCAAGGGCTTCCTTTCGTTTCGTTTCTTTTCTTTTTCGCTAGGGTTAACTACGATCCTTTCGCTGGCCCAATGGCGCTGGCCAGACATGGCACGACATGCACCAAGGCACCTTGCTCACTGTCGACATATAAAAACGCCTCGTGGGAAACAAAAGTCGGGTCCCAGCTTCGGCCGCTGACTCGCTAACTCGAGGGCGGGAATGCTTGTCTGGCCCTTGCGCTGCCGCCGGCGGTGGGGAGCCTTGCCACTGTGCGAAGAGGCAGAGCCCGCAGGCAGCAAAAGGGCCGACGATGATCATCAGGGCCGAGAAGAGGATAGCTAGAGAGATTGACCGCGTTATTGGTGGACGGGAGCTTGAGAGCTCGCTTGCTTGCTATCCATTCTAAAGGCAGATAGATGGAAGGGAGGCGGCCGGTGAGGTATATATAACGATGGGCTCGTCTGCAGCACTCAACCTGGATGGAGGGAGGAAACCAAACCGATTCAATTAACAAGTCGTGTCGTGTTCATCATGGTGTCGTCTTTGATATATACGCTGTGCGCTGTCTCTGGCCTTTTGGCGACTACGGTCAATGGCCTGCCCAAGAAGGGCCCTCGCACGGAGACAGCTTTACCCATTGTGAAGCAGACTAAGTGCGGTACACACACATACCAGTACAACGGCCTCGTTGGATATGGCACTGTCCCATCCAACGCTGTTGACAAGTACGGAGATACCCTTGGAGGCTTTGGCAGCTCCATCGCGATTGAGCAGACATCGTGGAAGAAGAACTCAGATGGTACCTATGAGGGTATTGCCTGGGCTGTCCCTGACCGCGGCTGGTACGTCAACAAGACTGGTCTTCTGGCGACGTTCTAAGGCTGTATGTATATTGACTAACGAGGGCTGTAGGAACACCCAGGGCACCTTGAACGTGCAAAGCCGTATCCAGAAGCTCAGCCTGAAACTGACGCTGGCACCCAATGCCACCGTCTCCAACCCGTCCGGCCCCAACCTTGAGATCAAGCTGCTGGACACGCTGCTGCTGACGGGCCCTGACGGCACCCCAATGACTGGGCTGGACGCTGACTTCTCGGGCAACATCAGCTTCCCAGGCTTCCCCGGAATGCCGGTGGCTACTTACCCCGGAGATGGATTTGGAGGCAGCGGCACGGGCGGACGACGCATCTCGATGGACTCCGAGGGTATCGTGATTGGCAACGACGGTGCATTCTGGATCTCGGACGAGTATGGCCCCTATGTGTACAAGTTCTCGCGGGAAGGGCGCATGCTGCAGGCGATCCAGCCTCCAGATGCGTATATCCCCCGTCGCAACGGCAAGGTCAGCTTCAGCGCCGCCTCGCCTCCGATCTACGAGCCTGACCGCCAGACGAACCCAGAGGACCCCGAGACGGGACGCAACAACAACCAGGGCTTCGAAGGGATGACCGTCTCGCGCGACGGCAAGACGTTGTATGTGCTGATCCAGTCTGCGCTGAACAACGACGGCGGCCCGAAGAAGCGGTACAGAAAGCAGGCTCGCATGCTGGAGTACGACATCTCCGGCAGCACGCCCAAATACGCCCACGAGTACGTGGTGACGCTGGCTACCTTTGTCGACCCTCACGAGGAAGACCCGGCCAAGGCGACCATCGCGGCCTCGCAGTCTGAGATTCACTACATGCCGACGGGCGACTTCCTCATCCTGTCTCGAGACGGCGGCGCCGGGCGGGCTGCCGAGTACACGGAGTCTGTCTACCGCCACGCAGACATCATCTCCAAGTCAAGCCGGACGACGGACATCAAGTCGAAGAGCAACGACCAGGCCGACGGCTCGATCGCCTCGGACAAGGGCGTGCTGGACGAGGACATCACCCCGTTGACCTACTGCTCGTTCGTGGACTACAACATCAACTCCGAGCTGGGCAAGTTCCGCCTGCACAACGGCGGCGCGCAGGACGAGCACCTGCTGAACGAGAAGTGGGAGAGTCTTGCTCTTGTCCCCGTCGACCCGTCGAAGGAGTTCCAGGACACCGGCAAGAATGAGTATTTCTTGATCTCCTTTAGCGACAACGACTACATCACCCAGGACGGTGCGTATTTCCTTCTTCTTCTCTTCTTCTTCTTCTGATATGTACTAACGACTAGCAGGCCACCTGAACTTCGGCAAGTTCAACTACGCCGACAAGTCTGGCTTCAACGTCGACACCCAGGTGCTCGTCTTCCGAGTGACCCTCTAGGCGTGCTTGTGCAGCGACTAGTAGGTGATATATATAAACAATAAATATATGCCTAGGTAGGTATAGATGTAACTAGATCCGCCATCCGTCAAGCCGCCGCTTTGTATATAGGGAGTTATAGGATATAGTTCGTCAAGTATATAAGTAGTTCATGCCCGCTGTCTCTCTTTTCTTCTTCGGGATGCAGAGCCAGCCCCTTTTCTGCGACGTCAAACACAGCCAGAGGGTGTACCGCGAGTGGCCAGGAGTCGCTATTCTCGAAGCCGCCCACCCGCCAGTCTGTTTCATAGGGCTGTCTGTCCATCTCTCTGCCCATCTCTGTCTATCTCTTCCTGTCCTGTCTGTTTGTCTGTCTATCTCTGCCTGTCTCTGTCTCTGTTTGTCTGTCTGTCCGTCTGTCACTGTGGCGACGGTGGAGTTCCAGGCTCTGCTTCCTGTCCGTGGGACGCATCCCTGGCCGGCTGTCTGGCCTATCCGCTGCGTCCTCTGCGTCGTCTGCGGCTTCGCCTCTGGCCTCGCCGGCATCCACTGGTCGAGACTTGATGCTTGAGTAGCGAGAGAGTTTAGGCAGTGACAGGCCTGTCCGTCCCTGTGCGATAGCGATAGGAGAGATACATGGTTATAGTTGGCAGGGAAGAAGAGTCTTCGTCGTGTCTCGCTCGTCCTCTCGTCCTCTCTTATCCTCCTCTCATCCTCTTATCCTCTGGCCCATCCTGTGGCTCATCCAGCCGGTCTCCGCATGCAATGCAAGGCGCAGAAATGCGATTCCTGGGCGAGAGGAGGAGAAGCGCCACCAGGTAACGCAGCTAGAGCGCAGCCCCGTAGCATAAGCAGGCAGAGGAGAAAGAGAAGACGAAGAGGACTCGCTTCCCGGCGCATGTGAGAGTCTTCTCTCTCTTCTTCTCTGTCTTCGTCTTAGTTGACTAGTTGGCCGACCAGTCAGGCTTGTCCATGCGTATCGTATATAATAACTATTATTATCAACTAAACAAGTATCCAAGGGAGAAACAAGCCCTCGGCATCTCGAAGAATCCAACAGTCGACATGGATCTTCTGTTGAGTTGATCACGCCGGCCTTTTGTCTCCTCCTCCTCCTCCTCCTCCTCCTCCTCCTCCTCTTCCTCTTCCTCTTCGTCTGCTTCCTCCTCCTCCTCTCTTCGTCTCTCTCTCGTCTCTCGCTCGTCTCCTCTTGTGTGACCTGCCAGAGCCCGTCAAGCCGTCGAAGAGGCGGTCTCTCTCCGTTGCACCAGGCTTGACTTTTGCCCGGCGCTTCGCTGGGATATTTAGTCGTTTGTTTGGCCCCGGACTCCCACGGCTACAAACACGGCCGGGCGGACACATACAACACCCACTCACAGATATATAAATCTATATATATACCTACTGAGGACGACTTGAACATGCTTGTTTCATACCATAGACACCCCTTATAGCCACTGGACCCGGCTGAGTGACCGCACTGCCGCTGTCCGGGGGCGCCGCAACCTAGCACTGACGGAAACCCCCTTCGCAGAGGGCAGTCAAGCAAAGCTCAGCCAGACAGCCGCAGTCGAGCGAGAGACGAGACGACGGCCCATGGCTGAACCCGTCGAGCCTCTCGTCTCCAGCCGGATGATGGCAAGGCTCAGGAAGGCGGCCGCTGTAGGAGTCGTGGCAAGGTGCGTTGCGTTCCATGGCTCGCTCTCTTTCTTTCTCTCTCCCTCTTGTTATTTACTGCCTCCTCTCTCTTCACTTGCCGAAGTCTGTCTTGCTGACGTTCAAGCTTATTATTTGGATCAGACCACAGGAACCGGTCGCCTTGCCGCAGTTTGACTGCGACCACGATGACGTCGACGTCCCAGGCGGCGCTGCTGTCTCTTCTGCTACCTCGTCCTGCTCGCACAGCGGCGGTGCCGTTATAACTTCTTCATCCTCTACACGCCTCGACTCGTCTCTCCCCCAGCTTCCCCAATACAAGGCGTATGCTCACGGATACGGCGCTCGCAAGCTCTCTCGCTGCTCAGACTCTTCCTCTCAGACCATGTCCTCCTCCATCGGCAGGATAGGCATTCCTCACCGGAAGCGATCCGGCACTACCATCGACCTGTCTGTCTCCCTCAGCGAGAACAACGGCCTGGGAATATACAACAGTCTCGGTGGAAGAGACCGCGGCAATGACGATGGCTCCACCACTGGCTCTCTCAGTGGTGCCCGCCATTACCGTTCCACCAGCGGTGCGTCTCAGCTCTCGTTTGGAAGCCTTCCTCGGCCTGGTGGCCAGTATGTCCACCCCATGCGCCAGACTCCCCGCCCTTATACGCCACCGCTGGGCCAGTCAAACCAGATCTCCGCCACTGCCAGTACTGATTCGCACCTCGACGGCATACAACGCGTGACGGACTTTGACGACCCCGTTCCCACTAGCCAGGAACTCTTCCCTGGCTCTCCTTCCCCCAGCATCTACAACGAACCTCGGACTTCGGTTCAAATAGAAAGTGAGACCACCACTTACCCTCCGACAAAAACTCGCACTACCTCTCTCGGTCGTGTCTTCAACAGCAACAGCAACAACAGCCCATCTCCTCGGGACACCGCTCCTCTCTCCAGAAACTCTCTAGAATTCGGGCTGCGGTCGAAATCCCGCCGTCCTAGCACCGTAGATCCTGCTGCCCGCGCCATAGCCGTGCAGGCTGCTCGTCAGGCTTTCGAAGACCGAGAGGCTGCCAAAAATAGGAAGCGTGATGAACAGGTTTCCAAAGCCCTCGACAAGGAGCAGCGCCGTCTCCGCCGGCTGGAGCGTGAAAACTCGTATAACAGCTACACGGGCGGGAGACAGTCCATCTCCGACTTTACCTTGCGACGGCCTTCAAAGCTGAGTGAGAAGGACAGTCGCAGGAAGAACTCGGCTTCTTCGTTTGCCGATGATACCACTACGATCACATGGAAACCAAAGAGCCCAAAGAGCGCCTGGGTTATGTTCCTCACCTGGCTACGCACAAAGATATTTAAGATAGGGAAAAAGCTGAAGAAAGTAGGCTGACTTAGAGCATTTACCGATGCAAACGCCGCAATGCACTGAAACGACCTTTTTCTTCCTTTTTGCTACAAGGATGATGACTTTGAAAGCTGGGTCTGCCGGACGGGCTTGGTCTAAGGAAAGCATATTATTTTTCTTTTTTTTGCTCTTTTTAGCCTCATTTCCTGCCTTTTGTCCTTTCCTGCCTGTTTGCAATCGCGTTGCTTCTGGCCCATGGAACCAACCCCCCTAGGGTGGCTTGGTAGCCACCAGTGCTCAAAATGCACAGCTCCATCCCCAACCAGTGTCTGCGGAGGAGGTGCTTATTTCTCCCTTGCTTTGTTTTGTTTTTTCCTTTGTCCTTTGATGTCTCTCATGATGGGAGTGAGACCAAGCAGCATTCGGGGCTTTGCTTTGCCCACTGCATCTGTTGCTTACCTTTATGCTTCCTGTCTCGTTAACGTTGGTTGGTGTTCTGTTTGTTCCCTCAAGTACGAGCATCTATAGCGGGGTTTGCTGGCGTTTTACATCCAATTCTCCCAAACCTTTCAATGAATCGAATGGCTCTTTATCATCTTCTCTCTTTTTTCCTCCCATAGTCTTCGTCTCGTTGACGTTGGTTATTTGTTTATTTGTTTATATATATTTTCTACTTTCGCTTATCTCGAAAGTAAGAAAATAGCTAAGCATCGGGATGACATCATCAGTATTACCTAAATTCACGTGGTAGATTATATAATCCCAACTACGGCTAGCGCCAGAGACCAAAAATTTCAAGTACGGCGGACGAGACCTCAACAAAGTGCAGCGTCTTTTATATACGGCGGAACAAGGCAAGGAAGAGAACAACAGAGGGACTGGAAAGGCCGAAATACATAAAGGCAGGGAGGCAGGGAGGCAGAGAGACGAAGACGGTGGCAGGGCGGGCGCACCGAGGACCGAGTCGCCACGATGGTGTACGATTGGGAGGGCAAGAGGGATGTCTGCTACAGGATGTACATCGAGGAGAAGAAGCCGCTGGAGGACATCATCGAGTACATGCGGGCATTTCACCAGTTCTCTCCCAGGTGAGGCTGACTGCAGTAAAACTACGATGGTACATTTACGCTGACAGCCCCGGCAGCAAACGCGCGTTCCAAACCCAGTTCAAGCGATGGGGATTCCCTTCAAAGCAGAATCCAGCATATAAAAGGGCAGAACTTGTGGCGCGCATCAAGCAGCTATGGGAGAACAATACGTCGCAGCGCGATATGATTCGTATCCTTAACGCAGAAGGGTACGAAGTCAAGGAGCGCGAAGTAATGAGGGTACGGGCAAAGTATAGGTGGCTACTACGGGTTCCCAATGGCATGAGACCCGCCGTCACCGCTGCTACTTCCTCGGTGACGGGCTCTGCCTTATCTGCGCCTGGTAATGAAGTTCAGCAGCAGCCGGAGAGAGGACTGATAGAGATTCAGAGAGACACACCCAAGGGGGTAGCAGCAGCTCCAGGGAGCGAGGGGATACAAGGGCGAGCTGACAGGGAAGCCGATGACGGTGCAAATGGTGGTACTAGTGCCGGTGCCAATGCTACATCTCCTACTGCCTCTATTGTACCAGAGAATACCAATGCTAGGCGCAAGGAGAGGCTAGAGAAGCTAAAAGCTGAGAGCGAGGAAAGATGGGCTACCAAGAGACGTCGACGGCGCACTCGCGAATGGGCAGGATTACCACCAGACCCTCCTGGTCCTCCTCGCTTTCCGTCAGAGACGACAATAGATCAGAGCAAGAAGTATCTGGGCCTGGATAATGACAGTTATCGCGGGGTCCGGGAGGCATTCCAGCGGATATGCGAGGAGGCTGGGCTCATCAAGAAAACCCTTGCCGGGCCTGAAAAATGGCAGATGGCGAAGGACAGACTTATCAACGAATCCACGCACCTCCAGACAGTGTTTTGGGGTGAGCCTGTTCTCCTCGATGCAAAGGCTTTGGCCCTTGATGTCGTTTGCACCGACGTTACGAAGCGGATGCGTACCATTGAACGACGGATGACAATTGCAGAAGCCAAAAACGCACTGGGGATAAACCCTGAGGAAAGCAGGCAGGTTAGAAACGCATTCTACGAGATGCTCAAGGCCAGCCATGTTACCAGCAAGCTTGAAGCTGGGAACGAGCAGTGGATGGAACTAAAGGACCAGTGGATCAGGGAATCGGAACTCCTTCAGCATATCCTGAACTCACCCAGCACGGGTATTGAACATGCAACGAGACTTAAGGCTGTGGAGGTCCTCTGTCGAGACGTGATGAAGAGACTACGGGATGACCAGACCAAGCGTGATTCCTCTCGAAAGAGGCCTCATCCGGGAGCCAGCACGCCGAAGCCAGCGCCGTCAAGGCAGGAACAACTAGTAACACCAACATCTTCCAGGCCTACAGCCACTTGCATCCCGAACCGCATCAGTACGCTGGCATCAGAAGCTCTTGCGAGTGCACCCACCGTTCCCCCTGGCGAAGTTCCTGATATACAGGTCGACCCGTCTCTGCTTCAGGCTGCCGCAGATGGCCATTCTTCTCTAGCTTCGGACTCAACCACCCATCAACCTTCCACTGCCACCACCGCCACCACCACCAGCAGCCCACATGCTCTCAGCTATGTTGATCCTAGCCTTCATGCTCCAGTGAACCCAAGGCCCCTGTACTTCCACATACACCCACAGTCGTCTCCTCCGTGTCTCGAAGACCCTGATCCGTGGATTGATAAGCTCACTGTCCCGTCCGTAGCTGGGTTGCGCAGCATGATCCTGTCCAGAATCAAGAATGCACAGGAGGTGGTGAGAATTGAAGGCATCGACACAGCGGGCCGTAGCCAGGGCCAGCAGCCGCAGCATCCGGTAGTTATTAGTGACGATACCGAGCTCAATGCATATCTGCAGCGCATGAAAGGGTTCGAGGCGACCTTTATCGTGCTGCTGCGTTGAAAGTCATCCCGCTACATCTTTGTCGTAGCCGTATCTCGTAGTTCTTCCTCTATCTTCCTTGTCTTCATCCATGCTGATATCCCGATCTTCGCCCCTGAGTAGCAGTTGACTTGGTGAACCAGTGGGCGCAACAACGTGATCTCGGCAACGCCCGCGGGCCCCATCTTGTTTCGCGGGGCAAAAAGCATCCTCAAAACAACAGAAGTGAATGCTTTCTGCTTCTTCTTCTGCTTCTACTTCCTCGACAAGACCTCAAGGGGCAAGGATATCCCACCATTGCAAAAGCCACCAGCTTACCAGCTATTTTAACACTCGTTATAGTCAAGACTATCCACTGTTCGGCGGTGGTCAGCTCGCTCTCCAGGTTGGCTCAAACTGCTCGCCCACCTTCCTCCCCTCCCCCGCTTGCCCAGCTTGACAGCTATTTCTTTAACTACAGCGACGCCCTACCGACACCTCAGTATCCTGACGCTATGAAGGTATTAATCAGTTGATAGTAGCTAACCGTGATACCTTTTCATAGATCTCCAGACAGAGACACCGGCACGGCCGTGGGGGCGCTCCGATGGCTTCCTCTTCTCTAACCCCCCTGATTATCACCACAGCTCTCCTTTTTCTTGTATTCGCCAGCCCAGCAGCCGCGTTTGGAGCCGGTAACATTGCCTCCATCTCCAAAATCGAGGGTGCCAACTTTCGTCATGGAGATATCGAAGATGTCCTGTTGACCCTCTACATGGCTCGCTCTGCCGGTGGCCGAAAGTTCTCCAAGATGGATGTGATGCACGTCTACTTCGGCAACTGGCTTCGAGACTACAGCCAGGCCGTAGACGTTGGTACTGTCAGACACGTCAGTGCCGAGGCTGTTCGTATCCTTATCTGGATTCTGGGCTTCTTGACCTTTGGGTACGTTTGTTATCGTCTTTTCTCCTGCCAACCTGGTTACATGGGTAACTATGCCTTAACTATCTCTTTACTGACCGGGATCTTCTATTCAGATATGGTGTTGACGAATTCGAAGTTACCACTGACCGTCTTGGGTGCTACCAGCCCACCGAACACATTGACAATCCGCTAGGATATGCTGATGGAGCCGATGCAAGACGTTATGACCGTCGTCTTCGAGGGCCCGTGGACAAACAACGGGAACTGTCTATTGATGAACGTACTGGTATGAATGAAGACTATTTTTCTCTTACTCCCATACTGTGCCGGAGTCAACTGATTTTTTAATAGGCCTTAAACATTACATTGCTACTGAGGACATTGGAATCGATACCTCAGCCGACCTAGTTAGGAGAGTTTTGGGAGGCTGCATCAAGATGGGTAGAGAACATGCAAGCTCAGGCAACAAGGCGGATCTCTATGAGGCTCTTCGCCTGCTAGGTACTGGCCTGCACTGTTTGGAGGACTACGCGGCTCATTCAAATTACACAGAGCTGAGTCTTATTGAGATGGGTGAGCAAGATGTATTTCCCCACGTTGGTCGCAACACTATGATCCAGCTTCCTGGATGTCGGCACCAGGTTTATCCAATTGTTACCGGAACTTTTGGCGGGGTGGACTTTCTTCACTCAGTCATGGGAGAATTCTCCGACAAGGCCACACAATCCGAGATTCAATGCCTTGAGGGTGCTATTGAGGAGACACAAAACCAAGGCAATGCTAAAAGCTTCCTCCAAGAGCTATTAGCTAAAATTCCGTCCGGCATCATTGGAGGAAACGAGTCAGGCAAGATGGACGAATTCCAGAACAATGCAGAAGCTCAGGCACAACAAGAAAATATTTCGCCGCATGAACCTGAAGAGTGGACTCGCTATCTTCAAGATGTTACCCGGCAGGTATACCCGGTTCTAGAATGGCACGACAACCTCTTGAAATCAATCAGCAAGGCGATTGAAAACATTCCAGTTCTTCCGGAATTGATCGAGCAGATTCAAGAGCAAATCAACGTTTTTGTGTTCAGTGTCCTTGCCCCTTACGTTTTACCCATCATCAATCAAGTGAAAGCGGAATTGGAAACTGGCTCTTCTGAAATTATACAAAGCAGCAAGAAGGAGCAGCTCAACATCTTCAGCGACGATGATGCCACCGATCCAACTCACTCTATGCTATCAAAGGATCATTTCTCTAACCTGTTGAACGAACCAGCAGGTAAGATTGCTCAGCAGGTAGTTAAATGGGTTGTCCCTCAGATCATGGAATGCTGGGATGATGAGAACATCGATGTGAATCGCACATTGAACAGAATCATTACTGGCGTTTTTCACCACCCTGCCCATCGAGATTTCGGTGATGACGGAGCTGCAGATGTGCGTCGAATGATGTTTGGCGTAGTCGAAGAATGGTGGCAAGAAAGGGGTGACGATGGGGTCAGAAGGCAACTAAGCCGAGAGGGTGTTAGGAACGGGGAGAATCATAAACCTGGCGTCCAAGACTGTGGCCATGGAAGTGGAAAGCCTCTGAAACTGTCCAAAAAGTCCAATAACGGCCATGGTTCTAGCGGGCGAGGACGTCAAGCGAACGAATTAAGCAAGCTTGCGGAAGAAGCTGTTGGGGGTGGTGCGATTGGTGGTTTGGTGGGTGGCCTTGCAGGCGCCCTTGGACAAGCACTTGAGGAAGATAATTCCAGAAGAGATGATGGTCGCCATGACTATGGTAGTCAAAGTGGCCATCATAAAAAGTATGATCAACCCAGCTACCACCAGTCTGGAGGCTACCAGCAAGCAGGTGGATACCAACAGCAAGGGGGATATCAACAGGGAGGGTACCAGCAGGGGGGATATGAGGGCCGTCAATCTAGCTATGGTCAGTCTGGCAGGTATGATCAGCCGTCTGAGACAAGATACGGCCGCGATACTGGCTATGGCGGTGGGAATAGCAGAGAAGAGGAGTCTAGAGAGCAAAGGTTTTTCTATTGATACCCACCACGTTCTTTCGGGGCACCCACACTGATTGGTATTCATTTTTCTAGGGCCCATGGATCTAGGTATGGCCAATCTAGCGGATTTGGAGGGGAGGCTAGTGAGTATTACGGCCAGTCTCAAGAATACTCTGGCTCTTCTGGCCGCTATGGGGACCAAGAGAGCAGATCCTCTCGACGAGACCATGACTACTCTTCCGGTCGCTATGAGGATCGGGATTCCCGGCCTTCCCGAGAGGACTATGAATATTCTTCTGGCCGTCACGAAGAAGAGTCTAGATACCACCGCGGAGGTGATGATTATGGTCGGGGATCGAGAAACTATGAAAGTTCCCATTATGGAACAGACGAACGCCGCCGTAGCAGCCGAGAGAGAGACCACGATCGTGATGATAGATACGAGAGACGATATAAGAAGCAAAATAGCGACGACGACGACGACGACGATGATGATGATGACGACGATGAAAGGCGCCGTCGTCACCACAAGCACCACGGACGTCGTCGTTCTTGAGTATCAATGCGAAGTGATAAACAGAGTTGAGTAGCCAATCCCGAAATACATGGTTTTTTTCTTTTTTATATTGCATTCATATCCTTCGTTAAAACTATCCTAGTTATCTGAGATAACGGCTTGTACGCCAATTCAAATTGGAACAACATAAGTCGATACAGTACAGTAATAGCAACAGCCCAACTCTCAATCAACCACTGTAAGCATATCATACGCTTGGTGCTTTATGGCCTTCATGAGGAGAGAAAGAGGAGTGATGGGCTTCTTTTTCTTTTCAATTACCCCGAATTCGTCGTTATCCTCCCCCTCATCCTCCATTTCAACCTCATCCTCGTCATCAAATGAGCCTCCTTCCAAAAACACTTTTAACATTGCCTGGCTCTGCCCACCTACTAGAGCTGTGCCAGGCATGTCCTGAGTGACTGGGGCAGACCCAGTCTTTCTCTGTGAGAGATTCCAGAATATCAACTCTGGAACGTCGTAGCCTGCCGCCTTATACTCCTTTTCAATGATTTGATAATGCGTTGCCCATGGGTCAGAGTGATGTCGTGCTTCATCAAACTGCATGTCACTGAACACGAAAACCCGTTTAACCATGTCCTCAGGTTTAACTTTGTTTTTGATGGCGAGTGGGAGTATGGCTTTTGTGAATACGGCGAGGAAGTCTGTATTAAAACCTGCCGCCATGCTCTGTACTTCTTTAACCTGTTCCACGAATGTAAGCTTCTCGTCTCCATCCTCGCCTATAGTCACAATTTGGGGACGTTCCGAGAAGGTGATCATTTTGCCCCCGAATGGTGCCTTCGTGACTGTCGACAGAACAAGACTCAATCCTATAGCATTCTCATACATAGTAGCTCCGTTCACCGCTCCGCACATCATGGAGCCGCTAACATCGCAAACAGCTATAGAATCAGATAACGCGCCGTTATCCTTTATGCGTTGAACGAGTGTTTCCCATTGAGCATTTAAGGTCAACCTCGTAATTTCATCGTTTCGGGCGTGGAGACATTGATGAACTAGGGGCCCAGGCATGAGGACACTCCCTGATATAGTTTGCTTGCCAGATTGAACGTCAAGCAGGAATTTTAAGAAATTGTCATGGTCTTTCTTCGCAAAAAGTTTCTTATATAGGTCCATAGCAAGGGACGGAACTTGAGCATACTTGATGTCCGTGAAATTGTTTGCGGATATGTAACGTTCAACCACTTGAAGTGTCTTGCGCAGAGGTGACAAGATGGAAGCCCTGTATTGTTCTCGCGCACGTTTCAGGTACATTTCCCTAGTATCACCCTCTTTCTTGATATTATCAGCAGGGAACAATATTTCTGCAATTGTCGTTGCAATCAAGGTTTGTTTGTCGTGGAATCGCTCAAGGGATGGAGCCCATTTGGCGCAGAGGCTGATCTCCTTCAACTGCTCTTTTGAGCCTCCCTCTAGAATTGTTTTATCCTTCCTAAGCTGATCTGCAAACATGCGGGCGATGGTATTGTGTAGAGCCCGGTGGAATGTATCAGTCTCGAATTTCTTCCAAAGCTTCTCGTGGTGACTTGTTTCCCGAACCCGTTTTCTCTTTTTAGCGACATCTTTCTGCATTGAGAGAATCTTCTGAGATTCTTTGATCCTGTCTTCTCGTGGTATTCCTAGGTAAACGCGTTTCTCATCGGCACTCATGGCCGAGATTTTGATCTTTTTCGCCCTTAGCGGCAGCTCTATGTCCAGCCTTTCCAGTGATTCTTGGTATTCTCTGGTTCGACTCCTCAAAATAGTCTCGGGGTCTTTCATTCCAAGTTTATCGTTGGCAGAGAGCGCAAGAAGGTTAAGAAGGTCCTTCCAGTAGCCGTGTGAAACTCCATGGACAACCTCGTAGTCATCAACTCCAAGTGCCTGGTTCTCAATAACTATTGGAGTCTCATCTTCTTCATTTCCCTTTTTAGATACCTTCTCGATAACGCCGCGGGTAACCCAAGGAAGGTTGGCCAACAGGGTCTGTGGGTGATTGTCCTTCAACCAGCCAAGGGCGACATAAAACATCGATCGTTCCCCTTTGCCCAAGTGAATGCTACGGCAGTTCCAAATGATCTTCAGAGTAACCAAGGCATCTTCTTTCCATGCTTCCTCCAACAGAGGCTCTAGGGTTGCCAGCTTTTCCTCATCTGGCTTACCATCTAAAGTATGGAAGAGGTCGACCAGGTGTGATTCCGTAGAAGCATGGGTAATGCCAGCATTGTCAGTAAGAGTTAAATTTTTTGCAGCCAGCTCTTCAATTGAAGGATTTTGAGACCCAGGGTTTTGCGCTTCCTGGACAAGAGCATCGACAAATGTATTTCCGCTAGACTTAGTAGCGGAAGCAGTCTTCTCCTCGGTGGCTTCGGGCTCAGTCTGCGCAGAGAAGGCTGAACTAGAGTCTTCAATTCCCAACTTCTTTTTACCCTTAGTGTCATTAGCAACAGATGCGAAAATCTGCTCTTTGAACTCCGCAGGTGGGAGATGGATGATAGGGTCCTCAGGCAGCAGGACGGGGAAGCTGGAGTCCATGGATGTTGTCTTGGTTTTCTGGGCCTCCATTTTCGCTGCCTGGGAGATACTCAAGAATTATTCAAACTAAAGGGTGTTCAAATGGAAGGATAAACGAGAAGAGAGAAAGATATTCGTGTGAATGGCTGATCTAGTCAGGTTGGGTTCGTATCGTATGTCGTTCTTTTATAGATGGCCAACAGAGCCGCATCAAAGTCTGTGAGTCAGACGATGTCCGGGCGCGGAGTCCCAAAGAAGATTGGCGGCGAGCGGAGAAGTCACATCCAACATTTAACTACTAACTACCTAGGTACCTAGTACTCCGTAGTTATCAGGAGATTCAGGTCTTGCCACTCCAGATTAGTACGAGAGCCTCGCTATTATAATCTCACCTCATCCCCTCACTCACCTCACTCCCTAATCACTCTCTTTACTTGCCTATTAATAGGCAACTGCTATATAAATCTTGGAATTATTAAGTTTTTAAAGCGAAGCGAAGTCTATCCAGTACTATGCCAACTCATACGGAGTACTATACGGAGTATATTTCTAGATCGGCTGTAAATTAGATGATTGGTTGGGCTCCTACAATATGGCTTGTTAGGTTCTAGGTGCTGATTGGCTATCTGCAACCTTGCATTCATGGGTCGGCACCTCTTTGAGTAAGGATCCATGAGCATGTGGCTGGGCAGCCAATCAAGAGCCTGGATTCCAAGAATTTGACTTTGGCCAGCCGGTTACGTCGTTTACAGCACATACATCCTAGTAATAGTCCGAGAAGTAAGTCACCAAACTCATCGCGGATTTTAGGGTGGGTTACTTAGGATATAAGACAAGGTGACAGCTGGTTTACGAAGCTGATGTGAGAGACTTGAAGAGTTCAGGCTTGGTAGTAATTCCATTGTCTTCGTGGTGATAGCTAATCTGGCTAGAGTATAATCATATCCTCCAGTTTAACAATTTTTTTCTGTACCAAAGACACAGTACAAGGGGAGCCATCACAAATGAAAATCAAATCCGGCATCACTATACTGATATTCGACCATATTACCACATCATAACTAATTCACATGCAGCCTCAATTCAACCGTCCGCGAAGATGGTCATCAGCTGCCTAATCCTGGATCTCTTGGGCGCGCTGCTGAACAGTCTCCATTTCGATCTCAAATGCTGCATACTCGATTGGCAACTCTTGAGACGTGGCTCCCTTAACGGCCATGCGATATAATGTTTTGAACATTTCGTTATCCATGCTGTTGAGGGAGTACTTGTGTCCATCGTTCAGGACAATTGAGTGGGGGGCCATTTTGCCAGTGCAGGCTACATCCTTCCCTCCTTTCACGTTAAGCAGCCCTGGCTGGCTCCAGCTGCTACCAGAGTATAGAGCAGTACCGGCAAGTTTTGCCAGGCACTTGCTGTCGCCAGATCCGATAATGTCTCCCTTCACGATCGTACCACATGTATAACCATCACGGGCCTGCCAGCCATAAATGGGCGAGTACAGAGGCACCTGGGAGTAGGCAACAGTGACAGCACCCCTTACATTGCCAGAGATGGCAACAGCACAGACTTTTGGTGGGATATTGGGGAAATCGAGATAGCCACCCCTGCAGTTATCTTCGAAGTGGTTTCTGATAGTTACACCGGCGGCAACGGAGGCAAGGGAGAAGAGAGCGAGGACCTTCATTGTGGCTTTAGAGAATGATTGCCAAGGTGAGCAAAGAAGATGATCGTTAAGTAATTGGTATGGTAGAGAAGTGCAGTTTGCCTGATTCTTTGGGTTGTTCTGTTTTTCTTCTCCTTCCTTTGGGGCGAGAAGCTGCCCTTTTATCTTCGCACTCTTACCACCAAGGCCGAATGTGGCCGATAAATATGATCTCCGTCCTAAGCTGGACGCTTTCCGAAATCGAATACCACAGAGATACTGTATCTCCACCTATACCCCTTCTCGAGTTCACATAGTAGAGAGGCTATAGGGACCAGTAGATTACAGTACATGCGGAGAAAGTTATGGCCTAGTGGTGAGTCTACCCGTATCAACCCATGGTACAGGAGTTGGACAGGCCTTAATCCGGATTTTGGGCCGTAAAACGACCTTTGCCGAACTTTGCATAACAAACAGGACTTTATCTCTTTTGATACTGGTGTTATAGCCGCATGGGTTTTAAAAAAAGGACTAGGATGGTCAACAGGAGGAATGCAAGGCCCTGGTCAAGAAGAACAACTCATATGAATGGCATCCTGATGGCTTGGCTACTCTATCCCCTGGCGTGGAAGTCGAAAAGTGTATCAAGTGAAAGTCCATGATATGGGGATCGAGTGATAGAGAGAGCAAGTTTTTGACTGCTCCAAAGCTGCTAAGTTAGGTAGTTACATTAGGTAATTACTTAAATAATGGGTCTCATAAGAGCCACGTGTGATGTAAGTCTGGAGAATGTCAACAAACTACAACTGTTGCATATAGTTAGAGAAGAATAAGGGTAGGGGACGATCATGGTAGAGATATTGGTACTATCTATGGCTTCTATAGAGCCTCCGTTGTCGATCTGCCGGTCCGCCGTAACCGTGAAAGATTTCCGGGTTAGTCATTGGCTGCAAGCTGCTACATGGTACCGATTCCATATTATTATAAACAGGGTACCTACCTAAGTTATGCGTTTCTGTCTAATGTGTAGAAAATCCGGGGGTCGCATCACAAATGGCCTATATGTATATTATTCTACCCCGCTTTAACGATACAGCGTTAGTAGCAGCATATTTAATGCAAGTCGACATTTCAAAGCCATAAACACAAAATCAAACGGTAGTTAGTCTGATGCTAAAACAGCAGTTTTGGAGTAGCAGTAACTCTTGAGATAGATATAAGATCTAGCTCTAGTCTAATAGTTAGTTCAATGGTGCCTTCATAACTTAGCTCTATTGTTGATCAAAATTTAAATATTTGTGGTATCATTCTCTTATGATCCCTACCCTTTGTCGAATGGTCTGGGCCCAGCTTGAGATATGACCCTGGCTGCAGGGAAAGGAAGTTGAACACGGATTACAGAGTAAACTCCACTTTCAACTAGGACAGTCACTGCATGCAGCCTCCTGGTCGTCCAGTTTACAATGAGTTAAGAGAAAGTCTACTAGAGGGAGCATGGCTTGGTGGAAATGATAAAGCTGGACCCTAGTTAAATTACAAAGGTTAGTTATGATTGTCTGATTGACTGTTAACACCGGGCCGATGCCTTCGGATTCGGCACAAGGTTTCTACATACCCTCGGGACTGAAGGTCGCTCTGCCTATCAAGCTGCGTACGGTGTATCTCGAGCATCTCAACGTACGGAGTAGATGATAGGCTAGTTACCTATCACGGCCAAAGTTCTTCCCACATATCTATGCGTTTAGCAGGGTGAGAAGAATAGAAGCCAGCAAGGGCCTTTCTTATATTTCGTCGGTAGGGCCCTTTACTTCATCCGCCTCGATATATACATGGATTCAAACGGCGAAAAGAGGGTGCCACTGTTAGTCCGATCCAAGACTCATTTAATTTACTTTACCACCTTGTGCTCGGACCGCCAGACTGTGCTAGAAGTATGGAGATATTCGCTAAGCGATTCATTCCTCTCTCTCGACTCCCTCAAAAGGGTCCGTTATAAGCAAGGATCCGCCTATCACCTTGTGAAAAGTACATAGCTCGTCTAGTTTCGGGTGATATAGAGCTGATATATCTAATCAGAAATAGAAAATTAACACCCTCCTCACCCTAGCCTCGCCCGTGCCTCACTCGTCAACTCAGTCTCAGCTGCCAACGGGGGATTTTGGCAGCATCCTTATCTCCGTTTATTATACTAGGTGGTTATTACAACTTGTTTAATACCTACCGATGAACAGGGCTCTCCCCGCCAGGTCACTTGCGTATGACTTGCAGTCTTCTTTTAAGGGGATCTTGGGTGATTGTGGCTCGCGGAAAGCAGATATATTCATACATACTGGGAATTCTAGGTACTCGCTACCAATTCACTAGCTTCTTACGTCTCCATGCCCTGGCAACTCCACTCGAACGACCTTGTTGCAATTGAGAAGACCAAGAGGGTCTAGCGCTTGTTTTATCTGTTCGTTCATATCAGATTAGCAAAGAATAGACGAAGTAGAGATTTGGAGATGGATCGTCTTCCCTCACCTTTCTCATTGCGTTCACGGTTGATTCACCGAGCTCGTGGTCGAGATAGTCTCGCTTGACAAGTCCAACACCGTGTTCACCACTGACCGTACCCTCCATCTCAATAGCTCGCTGCACCATACGGTGGACCACGCCTTCGGCGATGGCACGCTCAGCGTCGTCAAAAAGTAGAATGGCTAAAGACATCGTATTAAACCAGCACAAATAATACAGTTAGCGGGCGCAGCGAGAATAACAGGGCTTACCATGGAAGTTGCCATCCCCAACATGGCCACAAATTCCAGCTAAAAGGCCATTGTCCACAATATCCTTCTTGGTCTGCTCAATAATGTCGGGAAGTCTGCTAATGGGTACAGCTACATCCGTAGTCCAGACTCGGTCATTCGCTTTCTTCTTTGCCATAACACTCCACAAAGCTGCCTTTCGCGCACTCCATAGCTCAGTCATCTCATCTTTATCACGGGCGAACTCAAACGACTGGCTTTCAGTGTTTTTCGCCAGACTCTGGACAATTTTTATCTGTTCCTTAATGCCGGTTTCCGTCCCTGTAAACTTCAGGAACAAAGTAGGTGCCTCACTCCAAGTACGTCGTGTAGTTTTGCTATCGTTGATACACTTCATCTGAACATCGTCCAATATTTCAAGGCCAGCAAGTTCCACGCCCTCCCTGACGATTTTTGCTACACATTCGGCAGCCCGGTGGATTGATGGGAAGGACGCAACGGCTACGCTTTCATTTTTTGGCTTGACCGTTACCTTCAAGGTTGCTTCCGTAACCAAGCCCAGTGTGCCTTCACTGCCGATGAAGAGCTTCGTAAGGTCGTATCCTGCACTGGATTTCCGGGGCCGTTGCCTGGTTTTAATTATTGTCCCATCTGCAAGCACCATTGTCAACGAGACAACCCATTCCCTCATTGTCCCGTATCTGTAGGCATTGGTTCCGGAGCAACCAGTTCCAACCATTCCGCCGATCATGGCTCCTGGGCCCGGGTCAACAGGGAAATATAATCCATCCTTTGCCAACTCTTCGTTTAAATTTTCCCAGCCGACAGCCGGCTGTACAACCACATCGAGATCGTCTTTATGTAGGCCCACTATCTTGTTCATTCGCGAAAAATCGATACAAACACCTCCAGGTGTTGGGGAAAAGTGACCTTCCAAACTAGTTCCACCAGAGTAGGGCGTGACCGGGATGAGCCTGACATGACAGACTTTCATGATACGGGAAACTTCCTCCGTTGTCGAAGGGAAGACAATAAGGAAGGACCTTTCATTGTCTTTCACATTGTATGATGACCATGCAGACCCCGAACGTCCATCTAGGTCACCCTGTTCCGTCGACACGTTTTCTCTTCCCACTATTTCGACAAAATCAGCCCAGGCAGCTTGTAGGTTTGAAGGCGAAATGTTATGTTGGGGTGGTTGGGCGTCGATAAGAGGCGTGGTAGATGATGTCGGAAGCTCTGCTGGCTTTAGAGTACCAAGAAAGTAGCAACCGAGAGCCGTAACAATAACAGCTAGGTAATGGGAAAAAACACCTCATGTTAGCAATTCAGTCCAAAAAAACCAGTCAATTGCGCTTGGCCATGCGACTAGGTAGAAGAATAGCTGCGCCTTACTGATGGTCATTGCTGTATATTGGATGTGCGGAGATTGCTTTTGCATCCGCGCGAAACGTTGCAGCTCTGCACGCTCTCGATCTAGTCTTTGCTGGGTACTTTCATACAGCTGGCCCTTGAAGGAATCCTGTCTTCTCTTTTCTTCTTGCCCACATCTTGTCGAGCTCCTGAAATTTCTGGTAGGTTGTCTTCTTATGCTGCACAATGTTTGACTATGCCAGTTGGGCCGATTGACTGCAAGTCCCAGCTGCCGGGCCGTGAAGAACGCGGTTTTTGACGATATAGCTCGAGATCCAAGCATCTCTGGACCTTTTCTCGAGGTATCGCAGGTTCCCCTGAGGCTCTTAAGCGTATGGAACGTATAATTGTATAGCTATACTCTGTAATGATCCCTCGTTTCCATCGGGGAGCTCAAATATGATAAGTATTTGAAGAGTTTTAAAGCGGCGCCCAGTATCTGCTATTAGAAGCTAAGACATCTTGCCGCGTTAAGTTGACCAGTTAACCAGTCAACTGCCTGGTGCCTGGGTCAGTTTGTTAATTAACCAACTAAACTAGTTTAACTAGCGAAAGCCTAGTTAACTTGACCGTCAAAAAAGTATCAGACTATAAAAAAACACCAAGTGGTACTCCGTATAGAATAGATATAAAGCAGCTGCACTTGGATCTGGAATTAGATTGTAGCCCGGCATTCCTTGGATGGCAAAACTGGGGAGGAATAGGCTATCAGCTGACATTTACGACGTCACCAGAGAATCTCGACGGAGACAGCCTCCCGATCATTCCATTCCCGTCCGGCGGGGTGGGCAAGCTGCATCCTTGAACAGGTCATACACGAATCAGAGACTGACAGGCTGAGTTATTGACCAGTGGCTGGTGATCCCTGACGGAGACCACTCACACATGGAGCGGTGGGTAGATATCAGGGTGCCCAATTTCACAGCCATCGTCTTCCGAGTAGCAGCAACAACACCTCCGATCTTCTCCTTCACGAGGAAGCGAAGACGCCATGGGTCAACGAAGATTCTCCCCGATAGACAAGTCATGGACCTTCAGGGAAGCGTGCGTGAATACATCCAGGTTTCTTCCTGTCTCACAGTTCCCTACTTGCATCCATCTGGACCTCATTCACCACGGAATCATCCCAGATCCCTTCATTGGGACTGCTGAGAAACAGGCTCAGTGGGTTGGCGAAAAGGCCTGGGTATACAGAACTGCCTTTATCGCCCCTCAGCTTGAGGAGAGTGAGAAGGCCGTCCTTGTCTTCGATGGGCTCGACACATACGCCTCCGTTCATCTTAATGGGAAAGAAATTCTCGAAACCGATAACATGTTCATTCCCGAGAGAGTGGACATAACCTCGCTACTCCGCGGATCGAATGATGAAAGCAATGTTCTCGAGATTACGTTCGATAGTGCCTTCATTAGGGGTAAAGAGGAACAGAAAAAGCATCCAACGCACGTCTGGGGGTGCTGGAACGGAGACCCAAGTCGTCTCGCTGTCCGAAAAGCACAATATCACTATGTAAGTGCCACTACACATAAAGTTTACGGCAACACGATTGACCCTTTGCGTGTGTGCTTCTGAAAATATGTAGGGTTGGGATTGGGGCCCCATCTTATTAACATGTGGCCCATGGCGCCCGATTACCCTTGAAATATACTCTGCCCGTATCGCAGACCTCTATTATACCACCAAATTTAAGAGCAGCCTGAAGGAAGCTGAAATATCAATTACTGCTGAAATAGAAGGCTTTGCATCGAATGTGGTCTTCAGCCTATCCCTTGATACCCAAAATCAAGACTCAAGAAACCAATTTGTTGTGTCTGCATCTGTGAAAGATGGAAAGGCAGCGGCAACTATACATTTGAAAAACCCACAACTTTGGTATCCTGCAAAATATGGCAGTCAACCTTTGTACTCGTTACAAGCAAAACTAATGGATGACGACAAGATCCTCGATTTATCTTGTAAAAGGATTGGGTTGCGCAAAATTGAATTAATACAACGAAAGCTGGAAGGAAGCGCAGGAACTACATTTCTCTTCCAAATCAACAACATCCCAATATTCTGTGGGGGAAGTAATTGGATCCCGGCCGATAGCTTCATCCCTCGGATATCATCACAACGCTACCGTGACTGGCTCAAGATGGCAGCCGATGGGAATCAGACTATGCTTCGAGTCTGGGGTGGTGGTATCTATGAGCAAGATGCATTCTATGAAGCATGCGATGAATATGGACTTCTTGTCTGGCAAGATTTCATGTTTGCATGTGGAAACTACCCTGCCCATAAAGAGTTTCTGCAGTCAGTTAAACAGGAAGCAGAAGCTAATGTCAAGAGACTCAGGCACCACCCCTCCATTGTTATCTGGGCTGGTAATAACGAAGACTATGCCTATAGGGAGAGTGAAAAGTTGCAATATGATCCATCTGATACAGATCCCCGCAACTGGCTGAAGACGAATTTCCCGGCCCGCTATATATATGAGAAGCTTTTAGTGGATGTAACAAAGCAACTTACCCCCGATACATATTATCACTTTGGCTCCCCTTATGGCGGAGAGGCCAGCAGTGACCCAACCATTGGAGACATTCATCAGTGGAATGGTATGTAAAGTCAAGGAACCAGGAGGTTTGAGCTTTTGCTAACTCTACTCTTACCCCCATACAGTCTGGCACGGGACACAGGAAAGATATCAAGACTTTGACAAGCTTAGTGGTCGTTTCGTCTCTGAGTTTGGCATGCAAGGCCTCCCGAATATAGGCACCATTGATAGCATGCTCTCAAGCGGTACCAAAGACAAGGACAGATACCCAAATTCTTTGACGCTGGACTACCACAACAAGGCAACTGGCCATGAAAGACGTTTAGCTACATATATGGTTGAAAATATTCGGTATCAAGTTAGTCCATTGGAGCAATATCTACACTGCACGCAGGTAATGCAGGCAGAGTGTGTATCAACCGCTTACCGCCTATGGAAACGTCAATGGAAAGGCCCAGGGAGGGAAAATTGCGCCGGAGTTCTAGTGTGGCAGCTTAATGACTGTTGGCCAGTTATATCATGGTCAATCGTGGATTACAACTTGCGACCAAAACACGCCTACTTTGCGATAAAGAGAGAGCTGGCCCCCATCACAGTTGGTATAAAGCGTCCTATCCAACGGACTTCAGTCGATGCTACTGGTCCAGGCTCTTTTACAATCGACGTCTGGGTATCTAACCTCACTTTACAACCGTGTACTGGGAAAGTGCAGCTCCGAGCCTGGGATATCGTCAGCGGGAAACAGACACATTTAGAAGATATTGAAAGAGAAATTAGGTTTCCTGCGAATCAAACTATAGAGCTGGGAAAGGTGGAAATCCAAGAAGAAGTCCAAGGCTCGAGTAAATCATCCCAGACAGTTGTTGCAGCTTATATCATCCAGGGTGGTCAGCAGATTGCCCGTTTTGTCAACTGGCCAGAGCCCCTGAAGTATATTGACCTACAAATACCACGAACACCAATAATAGCGCTTTCAGATGACAAGCGTCTTCTTCGATTATCTGCGGAAATTCCAGTCAAAGGGCTTGCCGTCTTTTCGAGCTCCGATGATGTGGTCTTCGATGATAATTGTGTCGACCTTGTTCCCGGAGAGACCGTCTCGATTGGTATCCATGGGTTAAAGAGCGGGAATGTAGACGACCTTACTTTGCGGTATCTGGAATGATTTTGGCGTATCTTTCATTTCACTTAGTTACTTTTCTCCTAAAAATAACTCGGGTTTGAAATGAGCTTCGGTTGAGTAACATTAGGTACAATTATATTTCATAATTCAGCTGCCCGCTAAGGCTGGCAGCTACATACCTAGTAGGTAGTTATTGAATTGTCATTTCTTGCCCTTTCGCAACGAAATTAACCACCTGGGCTGTGTACAGCTGTCTAACATATATAACCAAATAATATCGCTATTTGAGAACGTGTTCTGCCCTTGAAAATATTCTCTTCTTACCAAATCTAGACATCCCGCGTTGCGGTCTTGAACTGGATCTGCGTCTGCCAAAGTCAGCAGTTTCGGCCCTCGCTCTAGTACTACTCCACGTCAGAGTTTTGGTGAAGCTTCAAATGCTATTTAAACTTGAAGACTCTCTAGCCGGGCGCATACATACATATACCCTTCATGCTGATGGAAGAAGCTATTCCAGCCACAAGTTACCACGTTGTTTGATTAACTAGTTGTTAGGTAGCTAGCTGACTGTGGTGCTACTTGGCTAGCCTATAACTACTTCCATAAACTGACAGTCTTCAGATCACAAGCGTTAAACTAGTTAGTTGACTACCTCATGGGGTCAAATGAATATACGGATTTCCCCCTAAGTCAGGTATGAGGATACGGCTGCTTTATTAAAATGCAGCTCCGTGAATTCGCGCGAAATCAGCCAAATGCCTTTGCATTTTGTGAGAATATAGAGGCAGGGAACCCCAGCCAAAGATAGCAGTATATACTCCACATCACTCGTTTATTCAATGTAGGGTTAAGCCTTTATTCCGAAAATTACTCCGTATTATTCTTTCGTTAGTACACATAAGAACATTTGATAGAATATCTCCAAGGTTACATTAGATTATATTAATTCATGGATGGATCCATGACGTCAGCTCACGTGATGCTTCAGTGGCCCATCTCCGAAAACATACAACTGCTTGAGCTGTCAACCGACTTCTTACGTTCTCTTCCTGCTACACACTCAACCCCTGTTCTTTTCACATCGATGGACTATGATGAATTGTATACTGTGATACAGAGAATGTACCACCGAGCCTAAGGGTTTCTAGAAGGAACGTCTCTCCGGTATCCTGAGTCCTTAACATGGAGCTATCTGCGACCTTTCTCACTTCTGTATTCTTGAAATTACTCCTTGGCTTTTGCCCAAACTGTGGGCTTCGGGTTTCATACACGTTCTATACGATGTGTTCATTCCATGAATAAAACAATACTCAGCGCATCACTATTCATTACTTAATACTAGCCTACTTAATCCCAACACCAGCGTCACACACAGCATATATACACAGCAGGCGTACTTCAGTTCTCCATGCTCTCACGTAAGTCTTCTACCTAAGCCTCACATATCTCGTGCTTGCCAATACCCAAGTCTGATGTCGAGTGGTGATGAGTCTGGGAGTCGGTGCTATACGTCAGACTAGATAGATGTCAATATTGCTTGCTTTTGGCTGCTGCCTCAGAGCGGCGTCGCTTTTTGATTCAACAATATGTAACCTGACCCGCTCTTCTGCAGAAATGTTTGCAATGAATGATAGCCCTTTATCTATAAAGGAGAGGAGTCTGGTTAGCCAGGGCTCAGAGAAGTTCCAAAAATTAATTAAGTCTCCCGCAACTATATAGCAGCGGGGTCCACGATACCCTCAGGCACGGGCTAAAGAGTCCCCCTCAGATGTGTACAGATCGGTCATAGATATCAACTCGGTCGATGCCGGTGATCTCTCTCCCTGTTCTTTTCACATTTTTTCCTCACCGGGGGAGCTTGAAAGGAGACAGAAACTTACTAACTCCTAGGTCTTAGAAGCAAGATTTTGGTCACGAATTATGATAGACTGAGCTTTTGATCAACGTGAGGGGCGCACACAGTATATGCAGTATCGAGAGGTGTAACAGCTACACTAGGTTAAGAAGAGAGAAAGAAAACAGAGGACAGGAGAGAAAAACATAGGTATTTATGCTTGCTAGTGATGCTGAGGTAGGCACTTCTTTCCCAAATTGCAATTACTTAGGGATGGCAGGTACTAAATGGATGTGGAAGGGGAGATACAGATTATAAATACTGGTTTTCGAAATAGGGAGTACAACATATTCGCTTTGAATCTTCAATGGCCTCAACATCACTCGTCCTTGCTCGCTACTACACAACTCCATAGCTTTGAAGAGGGTTTGTTCCAGTGGCATGTACTAGTTATCGAAGTGTAACCAACCTAAAGGCACTTTAAGGCTTTTCTGTCTAGGGAGAACAACTAAACGTCTCTCGCCCTGAAGATGTCTCAAAAGTACGAACACAGCAACAAATCTGGCTGTTGCCTGGGAAGAAGTTGTTTCTTTCCTCTATTTTTCATACAGATAGTTATACGTGATCTGAGAAGCCCCGCGCCCGTGGTACTTTTACTCGTGGTATTTTTATGTATCACGGCACTCTGTTGCTTAGTAAAAGATGCTAGCTGCTACTAAGCAGCTGAGAGGGAGCGGGAGGCATGGTACAATCAGGCCATTAAGTCTAGATCTAGTACTGCCACCCTAGGTAGGTAGTTAGTTGATAATTTGTCTGATTATATGATAAGGAACAAAAAGGCACTCGCCTATGAGATGCAGTATTATTAGATAGTATAGAATCTATATTCTGACGCAATGATATTTCTCTTTCGAAATATCTCACTCTTCCCTTCGTCTATAAGGACTAACCGACCTTCGAAGTCCAGTTTGCTCTCTGGCATTGTTAAGCGGAGGTAGCTAGTAGGTACAGCTGGCACATCTCTCGTCCAGGATGGCATTAGTAAAGGGTTATAAGGTGGGTAAGGGTCACTTCCATGCTGGTGATGAATGTGGTTTCCGTTTCTACGCATACTAAGACTCAGACGCCAGTTTAGCGCTAGTACTAAGGCCTCAGCAATACATGCCAGTATTGCATAGCGAAGAGGGTCTGGATCGGCTAGGTCTGGTATACGATAGTTAAGGCTCCCGTAAGCGCCTATTTTGGTGCCAAAAGTACTCAGTCTCGTATCTAATAACGACAAAATACTCCTCACCAGCTATCATAGCCTCATAGAGACGGTAGAGAGAGCGAAGAGGAGTGTCGCGCGAACGCTATATTGGGATATCTTACAGGTTCTTAAGGTCTCCTTTAACCCGTCTCCTCTAGCAAAGCGACGGTTCAGCGATGAGAGTACTTGGCGAGAGCGGTTCTGGAATAGGAAACGACCAAGTCAGCCAGAATGAAGGCAGACAGAGTCGAAGGAGCGCAAAGAAGGGCCGCTTGTTTCGATGGCCGAGACGAATGAGGCTCCCACGCAGCTCGAGCGGCGACGTAGTTAAGGCGTAGCAATCGATACTTCATCCGCAGCCACCAGGTCACCTTTCTCTGGGGTGGCTTAGTATTGGGGCGGCTGTCTACCATTTCTATAGTGGCTGTAGAAAGTGTTTTAGTTAAGAAACATGGTGTCTACTACCTACCTGCGGTGGGCTAGCGAGAGGAATACCATATGCAAGTCAACAAATACGGTCCAGGTTGCCTGGTGGGCCGTTTGTTCTTCTCAGCATCTGCTGCTTCTTGTAGGCGAATCTTTTGCTTGTTGGAGGTCGCGGCCGACTAAGTAGATCTTTCGGGATGGAGATTTTGCCGCTCCGTCCGCTATAAGTCGACCACTCGAACGGAGCAGTATATATGCTTAAAGTAATAGATAATGATGCGTCGTAGGGAGGCTAGCTACAGGAGGACTGTAGAATTTACTAGTTAATAAGGAGCTAGAGCTCCATATCAAGATTGTACTACTAATTTAATCGAGTAGAACAAGAGCTTTATGAACTCTAGTAGGGAAGATGTTCAGAGCTGGACTCTATATTGACTTTAGGCTACATGATATAATATTATATCATTATTATGTTTGTGATTTTTATATTCGTATCTTTAAAGAAATCAAAATTAGAAAATTCTCCCGATAGCTTTAAATGTTGGATGTTATATCGTGAACCTTTGAATTTCAACTTCTTAGTCTTACTTAAATCTATATAGAATCAGAGTGGCGGTAGAACACGGTGAGTTTTATCACTCCGTAGGGCTTCTGTGGTTGATATCGAGACATTCACTGGATATTTCCACTCCATCACTTTCCCCCATCCTAGCTTAAGTTAGTATATTCATACACAATTGGGTAGTAGCGTAACTGAGTTCCAAGGCTAATAGGATATCCTCACCCCAATAAGCACATTTCCTGCCAAGGAACTTCCCAACAAACGGGATTAAAACCATTGTTAATAGCATCTCGAGCTGCTGGAGGCTTTCTCTCCACTCTGCTTCCGCATCGGATTCATCGTCACTGTCTATCGAGAGTTCGTGATCGAGAAATGAATCGGATCCCGACGACGATGGGAGTGACGCCACATCATCTTCCGAGTCAGATGTGGCTCTTGGTGCGAAGGTAAAGGCAGATGAGGAGAGGGAGCTTGGTTCGAAGGTAGACGTAGAGAGTGGTGACATGTTTGGGCGGTCAAGGGAGACCTGGCTATCGTTTTGATGGGCCAGCTGGCTAGCTTCACTATGGCTAGTAATGCTGCTCCAGCGCGGCTGATGCTATTCCAACAGGCCCTACCCAACGAAGCTGGCGGCTCTTCAGAGTCTCAGGTTGTCTGTTGCTCGTTGTTTTATGCTGTCTGGCATATCCATTCTCCTTTGTTCAGAGCGTAGACAAAGCTCAAGCAGCGAAAGAGTTTGCTTAGTCATACACGTGACCTGGATGGAACCATGGTTCCCTTTTTGGTCGCCACCAAAATCGCCTGACAAAAAGTAGTCTGCTTGCTGTGACAGAAAGAAAAACCATCCCGATATAAAAATATATCTTAATCTCCATCAAGTCTTGCGTTTTCCACTTGAACCTATCGAGAGAAGTAAACCATCGACTGAATATCGTTCTGAGCATCTGGTTGTCAATCATGGCTGATACTGTACGTCATTTTAAATTTGCCTTGCCCACAATCGTTTTTAGTTGCCCACCCCCCAAAAAAATCCCCGCTGAGTTTACGATATGACTCCTTCGCTTTCAGCTATCTACGGAGTATAACTAGAACTAACAAAACGTCGTCGCTCCCCTGTACATAGGAGGCTACGCTTCCAGAACGGAAACATCGAAAGTCAGTTGCCTTCAGCGAGGGCGCAACTGTCATGGACGCAAACGGCACCATTTCCGAGGCCAACCATGCCGAGGACAAAACTACTGCTGAAAAGCACACTGCTGGTATATTCGCACCCGTTGTATCCTGCTAAGAATCGTCCCTCGCATTTTGTTGAATGATCTAACCAATCTCATTGTGGAATATAGTGTCCCCAGACCAGGAAGTCAACGAGATGACTGATATGTTTAAGGGCTTAACCAAAAAAAAAAAATCAAAGAAATCAAAGGACACGGAGGCTGCAGCAGAGGGCGAAGACGGCGCAGCAGATGCTGAATTCGACCCTTCTACCATAAAAAAGAAGAAAAAGAAGTCGTCGAAGAAAACCACAGAGGGTGACTTCGAGGCCAAACTCGCGCAGGCTGGCCTCGCAGAGGAAGCTGCACCAGAAGAGACACAGTCCCCAGAACAGATCATCGAGGCACTTGAGAGCGGAACTGGAATTTGGGCACACGATGCTACCCAGCCCATCAATTATTCCCTACTAGTGACTCGTTTCTTCAATCTTATCCATAGCCACCACCCCGACCTCCTCGCTAGCGGCTCGAAATCGTACAAAATCCCACCACCACAATGTCTACGTGAAGGAAACCGAAGAACCATTTTTGCCAACATTCCGGATATTTGCAAAAGGATGAAACGATCCGACGACCATGTCATGCAGTTTTTGTTCGCAGAGTTGGGAACAAGCGGTAGTGTTGATGGTAGCAGACGCTTGGTGATCAAAGGTCGATTTCAACAAAAACAAATTGAAAACGTTTTGAGAAGATATATTGGTATGTGACCACCTTTAATGCTCATATATGGGCGCACGAAATATGGACTAACTGTATTGCGATACAGTTGAATATGTCACTTGCAAGACATGTAGGAGCCCAGACACGGAACTGAGCAAGGGAGAGAACCGCCTTTACTTCGTTACCTGCAATTCCTGTGGAAGTCGGCGGAGTGTTACAGCTATCAAGACCGGTTTCCGTGGACAAGTCGGAAAACGCAAGAAGCAATAGAGGATCTACCCACTACCTCACTACAGGTGGACTCCATATCCACAATATGCGATTCAAAGCTTCACCTAATCCCATTGCTTACTCGGGCGGACATTTGGTGGTCGGGCTTTTTCACCGCTTCCCCATGTGCTCATCTCTACTTCGTATGGACTCGCTTGGTTTCAAATTGCAACTGTGAACAGAATTTTCTGCTCACTTTACCTGGCGGAGGGGCTTCCTAGGATAATGGAAGACCTGGAGATGGATGAATGTGAAATGACACTTTAAATAGCATAATTTAGAAGCAACGGCCATTTTCTTTTACTCTTATGGTCAATTTAAATTCACTTCTGTGTTGTGAAACCATCATGCTTGGATCATAGTAAGATCACCCGTTCAACTCACACATCTACTGATAATCGGCTATTTGGTGTTCATTTGATCAAGCACCGCCACCACCACCAGCTCCGTTAGCAACAATCCAAGATGCAAAGGCAGAAGGGTTTCTTGTCTGCAGGTAGATCGTTCCGGGGCCGGTGAACTTGCAAACGAGGCCTTCACCGGAGCTAAGATTGGACAACACCCCACCCGAAGCGACGCGTTCCATGACATACTTGCAATTCCACGATACAAGATGGCCGTTGTCAACAATGTACTTCTCCCCATCGGCCAACTGCACATTTGATCAACTTTGTTAGCTTTTGGGCTCCTTTTGCCGGATTTGAATGGGCAGTAAAACACATACATCTTTTCTTATAATTGCACCAAAACTTTGGACAAAGAGAATTCCTGTTCCGCTTATCTTATAGACAAACAGGCCTTCTCCTGAAAAAAATGCCTTGCTAAGGCCCTGATTTTTATAATCCTTGACTACTCCTTGAGTGCATGCAAGGAAGGCATCTTTGCCGACCGACCATTGCTCCTGTCCGTTGAGCTTCAGGATAGAGATATCGCCCAGCATTGAAGGGGCCAGTAGTAGTTCACCAGGTCCCGTGAACGTTGACGAGGACATTTCACCACCGGCAAGCATCTTTTTCATAGAGAATTTGATGGAGCCTTTCAGGGAAACAGAAGGGGACATGGCAATCATGGCGCCTATGGAAGTTGAGGTCTTAGGAGAAAATGTCTGCTATACACGAAAATGGGGGGTCATCGTACCTGGTTTCGCAGTCAACGGGCATCCCATTGCCAACTGGACAGTGAGAACCGAGTTGGTGTCTCGGTGACTAATGCGATAGCTCCCGCCATTGAATGTACCAACATCGTCTGCAGTGGTAGGCTGAGCTCCAACAAACTGCCCTGGGGGTGGAGCCCCAGGCACATTCTCGACCTTCGCAGGAGGAGGGGGTGATTGAATGGGAGGAGTTTGGGCTACTGGAGGAGGAGACCCGGCATTTGGGGGCGGTGGGAAATGAGCACCACCATTTTGAGGCGGAGGAGGGTAGCTATATGGTTGCTGCTGCTGCTGCTGCTGCTGGGGCGGTGGTGGTGGCTGTTGATATCCTCCCGGTCCAGGCGGAGGAGGGTAATAGCCTCCTTGTGCAGGAGGATGCTGTCCTTGGAACGCCATTCCGCAACGGTTTACGATGGGATATCAGACCAGACCTGCTGCGGGGGCTGGGTCAGCTATGGGATATGAGAAGGGATGGGAAACGGCAGAGAAAAGGGCTGAAGATCGAGGTGCCCAACTACGTTTATATACTCTACCTTCATACGAGAGAGCATTAGCGCCAGCGCGGGTTGTCAGTGGGCTAGTTAGTTCACAAGGGGCTGAAGTGCTTGAGCTGTTGGCTACCTAAACTAAACGGCGAGCAAATCATACTTCAACCTTTCAGACGATCCCGTCAAGGGACGCTCGCTGCTGTTTCTTTCTGTGCTCAACTTTATCATCTCGCCCGTCCACCTGGTTGGCCATCGCCGGCCGGGGACTCATGCACAGAACGCCTGCCCGGTCAATGCTTTGGGCTGCCTGGGTGAAGCCGTCAACTCGTTATCTCGTTCAATAGAATAACTCGTTAACTACCTAGGTAACTAGTTAGGGAGCCCCACTCCAGAGGCTGGATGCGCCAGCTGAGCTCAAAAAGGCTCCTTGTGAATACGATGTCATGAAAGGGGCGGTCGGCCTGATTGCGAGCGAGCATTTAAATTCATTAACACGTTGACTAGTTATATAACTAATGGGTTAATGAACTAAATGCCCAGATTAGTATGTTAGTTGCATATATGGCTGTCCCAGTAAAATATCTCGAGTTTTGTAAGAAGAAAAAGGTGTGAAAGGGGAAAAAGGAGAGAAAGCAAGAAAGGAAAAAACTTTGGGAGGCAGTGCAAATAGTCAAGACCCAAGGAGCAAAGCAGGCCGAAGATCAGCTTCGGTAACTGTTATTTCTTCCATGTTTACTTTTGGTTAAGGTTGACTGTTCAAACCGAGCCTCAACAGGAATCCTGCTGTCCGAACATAATTGGTGGTAACTGACTGACTACTAAGTATAGTTTGGCTTAAAATCATGGTTAAATCAGTTAAGTTACAAGTAACTAAAAAAAGACCAATGTCCACCTTAGTCCTTGTTAACTCACAAGTTAACTACAAGTTAAATCAGCCAAGGGGCGAATCTTGGCCGATTAATAAGTAGGTACCTAGGTAGTTGGTTAGCGATGTTAACGCTTTTCTTATGTGCATATAAAAAGGCCGTAAAAGTCGCTGCTGACTTTCCCCCTTCTCTATTTAACGTGAACATCATATTTCACGTCAGTTACCGCTGAGAATGGGGACGGACTGTGGCAGGTCTTTCAACTTCCGGGGGCTGCCTGCTGAGCTGCGAGACGAGGTTTTATTTCTTGTCCTGTTCTCGAGGGGAAGGCGGTCCTCTGTTCTGCGTCGCAGCGGAGGCAACATACACGAACCTGTCTATCCAGACGAACATGAACCTATTGATATCCAAATGACTCGGACCACGGCCCATGATTCTTGTGCTTTATCCATTCTTCGAACATGTCGCCAGCTTCGGGACGAGGGGGAAAGGGTTCTTTATTCAAATGTCACTTTTGGCATCTTATTCAGACACTCAATCACAACGTTTCTGGATAGAATATCCACGAGACAGCGCAGATTAGTCCGCCGTATACAAGTTGAATTGCATTCTCCCAGCACATACCTATGGCAGGTCCCTCCTTGCGAGTGGAGGAATGTCATGGATCTGGTTTTCCGCGACTGCGGCTCGCTCCAGATACTTCACTTCAAGCTTCCGAGTCACCCTGTTGAACGAGCAAGACTGTTGCAAGTCTTCACAATTGGCAAATACCAGACAAAATATTTGCCCGCGAGGTCGTCCAGAGGGCCTGTATTCACTTCGGATGGCAAAATGCTCCCGAGTGCTGATGAGCTTGCCAGGGCGATTACCGCCCAGCTAGGGCTCGCATCCGAGGGCAACATTGGGTGTGTAGAACATTCAGGGCAGTTCCCTTTCTTCCGTCTCCCCTTACAGGTGCAACGGCGCATATTACGATATGCTCTTATCCCACATTTTCAAGTGATACACCCGTGTCTTTCGCCGATAACTGACGGCACATCCCTAAATATTCTGCCACTTCTCCTAACATGCAAGGCAATTTACCAAGAGGCCGAGGCTATCCTATATCAAGAAGCAATCTTTTCTTCATGCTCTCCAAGATACGAGAAGGCCATGCGGAGGTTCCTATACAACAGGACAGATCGCCAGCTCCATCTCATGCGGCAGTTTTTTTGCCATAGCATGGATCGCTGGCTCGATAGACGCATTGATAAGTTCATCCGAGCGCGAAGCCCAGACATTGAAGATCTTCGGCGCAAGATAGAAATTGGTGAATTCCGCCACCCTTGCCTTGCGGAAGCTTATATATGATCCCTGAACGAGGAGCGGCATAATAGAAGTGTTGAAATAAAGTGTGGCGAAGCCTAGCAGGTGTAGATATCTGATTCTTTGCTGCAAACGTGCAACGAATTTTCGCCTAATATCGAACCCAAGGGAAGCAATGTCTGGCCTGACGTCATAGACAAAGTCTCTAGCTAATATGTATATAATTACGGGGTATATATGTTTATACCCCTTGCACTCTGCATTTTGCAAACATGTTTCTAGATACCATACAGACAAACACACTGATGGTGTTGTGTCCCTCTCCACAACACAATGTCTCCCTCAAGCATGGCAAGCAAAGCAACGCCGCAAGGTGCGGTCTCCTCAAAGCTATTGATTGGGCTTCCTGAAGGAACACCGCGAATCAAATATACCACTATGAAAAGTCTAAAGAGTGTTGTTGATAACCAGGCAAGGAAGAGTTATGAGGATCATTCCCAGAGCCCGTTCCTAGTTGTAGAATCTGTGCCTTCTACCTTCTTAAAAACCTTTGATAAATTATATTTAGACCACGGCCCTCATCTCACCGCAAACCCCAGCGAGAGGATAGTTATACTTGAAACTATGGTTTACCTAGCCCACGGAATCCTAACCGAAAACATTTTGAAAGCTATCCGAGATAAACTCGAAAGCATGAGCATCCGGGACGAAGTTACGACTACCACTGCTTTCCGCGTTACCACTAGGAAGTTCGTTAAAGAATGCGACGGTGGCGTTGTGCGACTACATCAACATCCGAATGACATGCAATGGCCCACCCTTGCCGTAGAAGTAGGGCTGTCGGAATCAAAAAATAAGCTTGCCATCGATGCCCAAGGGTGGCTTGAGGCCGAAGGGTCTCGGACATGTGTCGTTATAACAGCCAAACTTGAACGGGACACTCCCAGGATAACCTTCGGCCGCTGGGAACTTGACTTCCCACCATTTCGCCCTATAACTCGCAATTATCAGCCAATCGGCTCAATCAAGCAGGAGGTCATTGCAACCCACGAAGGAGGAGTTACGAGGGTATCAGGAGACATGACTATTCCCTTTGAAAAGATATGTGGTCGTCCACGCCAGGGACCAATGGAGGCAGATATTATTATTGGCCGAGCTGCGTTTAAAGAGATCTCTGAACGCTCATGGGATATCCAGGGATTTATGTGAATAAAGATGAGTTATTTCGGGGTATAACTATGAGTGGGAAACCATGGCACAGAACATTTTTATGGCCTCCCTCTGCGTGTCTTGCTGTGATGTGGCTGGAAAACCCGACTGAACCCATCAACAGTCGCCAGTGTTGATGTGCTGTCCTCGTGGTGGTCGTCTCTTCTGGATATGCCGCGCAGTTGCCCCTCAAAAGACCAACTTCACACAGTGCATACCCCCGCCTAGATAATTGAAGTGATTGAGGAGGGTAAAAAGGCTACCCTTGACAAGAGAAAGAGAAGCGCCACTTGCGGTCTCCCTTGCATATTTTAGGTAGACATAATGTAACCATGGCCATGATTGCTTATTCTGTGGCGCTACACTCTTTAATATCATCATTCCCCTGGCAGCTGTTAATTGTTAATTGTGTGACATCAATCCCGAATCAGGAGACGGTACGGAGTAAGTAGGTGTGATCCTGGCCCAGGGCCGAGTTCACCTCACTAACCGATCCTTATATTTATCGAGGAGCTAGCACTCGGAATGTCAGTACATAAGTCTACTTCTCACCATGGATACTGAGCCAAGAGGTAGTAACGATGCCAGGATGGACAACTCGTACAGATTTTGCTGCAGGATCGTCCGTTTGATACACGTCGATTCGGGGCCTCCTGCGTCTCTAGCTCGTTGACGAGGAAAGGAGCGTTCTTGTACTCTGTACCGGCTCGCAGGGCTCCCTGAAATCTCTAGCACCACTTTCTAGTTACTCGGCAAACCGCCAGAGAACAAGCTGCGTCAGTAAAGATAAATAATATACGGAGTAGATGGTGATGATAATGATGCTGCTGTTGGCCAGGTGTTTTCGACGAGTTGATTGATGAAGAAGTCGACTGTGACTAATCAACGGAACTTGCGCGGTGGCGAAACGCGACGCCGCTTTTATTTCTTTCTTTTTCCTTCTCAGACACAAAAACGAACGATGAGCTGAGCTACATATCGGTTTAAACAGCTTCTTCGGCTTGATGGAGAGCGGAATATAAGAGGGAGAGAGGGAGAGAAAGAGAGCCTTCATTTACACTATCATTATCCAAACTTGAGAGCCGGTTCTTTTGTCGCTCGTGTGTTGTGTTTCACGTTTGATCCCCCCGTCCTCTCTGCTTGGCTTGGGTGTAGTTAAGTGGCTGGTTAGCCGGCTTTGACTGGCTTGCCTCTCTCCCCTTCGCTTTACCCGTTTGCAGCAACAGGCAGAGTCTTCGATCGCTAGCTAGAGATAAGCTGGCTTGACTTACGTGTACGGAGTATAGAGGGAAAGAAGAGGTGCTGCTGCTGCTCCCGCCGCTGACAAGGTATTCTTATTCTTGCTTGAGAGACCGAACCCTTTGCCATCGCTGCGCTATTCCTAATATTTGAGACGTCCTCCCGTCGGGCTCGTTATACATACTAATGGTGAAATATAGGGTCTATACCAACTTCTATATCCTCCCATGAGTTTAGCATTTTATAAGCTTGCCTAAATGCATCTCCTAAAAGCCCCTTTCCGTTTTCCCGCTGCCACCTTGCAATCTATATCTGAGATGGCCTGGCCTTGAATGTTGGAGCTGTGCATTCCCACACGGCCCCCTTTGTCAAATCATAATTAGCACAGGCTCCCTTGATTGCAGCGTCGACTCCGGAAACTTCTTGCTTAGTCTCTCGTTTCATCTATATACCAATGCTTCTCTTTCTTACTCTCTCGTTGTAATTTCCATACTACACTGTACTGCTTGTTGCAGTGAATCTGTTCATGAATCCTCGAACAGGATTCATTTCGCCTTCTACACCATTACCTTTTACCTTCTTTTGTTTGCTTCCACGTCGGCATAGGTATTTGGCGCCTCTCTTCCGACCCGAGCGAACTCCAGGAACAGGTTGTGGGTGGCTGCGTAGAAGAAATCCAATAGAACAGGACTGGCCACCTTACTAATGGGAATACCTGTGGATGATACACAGACAATGGCTCTTCAGGAAGGGCTTTATGACCGAGATTCCATATCCGATGATGATTTGGAAGTAAGTAAAGCTTTTCCCTTTTACAGTTCCTCTCCTCGAACTGTTGATATATTCTAATTACCTACAAAGCTCTATCGAGATGCACTAGAATTCCCCGATGAGGTCGATGACTTCATTCAACGGTCCTTGTCCTCGCGTTCGGTTGTTAGGACACCAAGCTCAAAGTATAGGGATAAAACTATCATCAAGACGCTCGATGATGTAACACCACAACCTCAGGTCCTTGAAGAAGGAATGAATGAATCTGGTCATGATGATGATGTCAATAAGACCAATACCGATGGAGCTGGAGAGCCACCCAAAGAAGAAGATCTGGCCCACCAGCGATCGATCAGCTCTCAGATTTGTGTGTCCCCTTCATGGTCCAGAGCCGGTGACAAGAAACGAAGAAGAAAGAAGGATCAGAAACGGCAAGAAAAGGACCAGAGAGACCTGGAACAAAAACTAGAACAGGAATCGAGGAAGAACTCTGACGGAGCTTTTCGGAGAGAGCCGAGGAGGCTAACCAAGCGGCCTCCGCCAGCTAATTCCAGCAGGGCCTCGAGCGCCAATGGCCGTATGCAGCGTCCCTCAACAGCATCTTCCTTCAGGTCGTTCTGGTCGAACCGATCCTCTCGAGCCAGCTCAGTCCAAGGCTCTGACACCGAAGGCCAGAAGAGGGTTTCTTTTCTGGACTCTTTAAAAAGAGAACAAAAAAATGGAACTTGGCTTCCCCGAATGTGGCCAAAGAAATCCAAAACCAAGGACTCAGCTGCACAAAGGGGCCATGTATCTGACTCTGAAGCACAAACGGAAAATACTCCCAGGCATTCTTTACACACGGTCAAGAAGCATGGAGATCTCCGTTCGGTAGCCAGGACACACTCTACTGGGGATACCAATGACCAGAATTCAAATCCGACTATTTATGCCAAGAAGGCGAGCCAAAATCCCGAGATTTCCCCTGAACGCCTAGGTGGCCAGGCTAGCACTTACGATCAAAAATCGAAAGGCACACTACGCCAGCCGGGAGATGATCTGTCGGCACAGAAGGGTCAGACCTCGCGGTCACCAAGAGGAGTTGTTATCGGACCTAGTAGTAGTAAGAAACGGCCGGCACCTGCCCCCGTCGCAAGTAACAACGAATCACCAGGCCCAAGTGCTCCGTCACGAACACAGCTTGCTTCCTCGCGGAAAAGTCCCACAGCTGAGCCAGAGAGGAACAACGTCAGTAGCCCTTTGGACCAGTCCTTCTTTGTCAAAATTCCCAAAACCCCTACACATGATTTCGATAGGTCTAGAGAAAATGCTGGCCAAACACCCAAAAAGGTAGACCAGTCATCTCTTCAACAGCGGTCCCCCAATATATCCAAGAAAATCAACCGCAATCCTGATTCCCGTGCATCCCCACAAGCTGATACCAGGAAGCCCAGGGATTTGTTCGAGGTTGTAGACCTTCCTCGTTACGATGGCCCGGTGACGGAGTCGAAAAACCAATCTGATGTCAGCAGCAAATCTAAAACCGATACACAAGATTCCCCTTACACCCCTGGCAAAGCTGTGGTTATCGATGGTATGCCAACAGGTAGCTCGGGTTCATATAAACAGGACAATAAACCAAAGACGACTATTAATTTCAGCCGAACAGCGCGACTACGGCCATCCCCATTATCAGGCCCTCCTCTCCTCAGCCCAGGATCTAAGGATTCGGCAACAAGCAACGCCGATGCCAATCAGATCTGCTCTGGGGTTACAACTCAGCCAATCGTTACTTCCCCCACCATACAAGGACATCATCAACTTGCCACAGAGCCAAATACCGCAACTAGAACCCGTCGACTTTCTCTTGATCGTTTTCTGAGGCCCGGTAAGGCGAAAAAGGCGGCTATAAATGACACAGATACCCCTCCCGCAAAACAAGCAATTCTTGATTTCAGCGCGGAAGCCACGACGAATGATTCGCAAAATTTGAGTAAGGATCATCTGGAACGCCAAACTTCTGCAAATGCGGCACCTTCTGGATCTGATGGCAAGCCAAAAGTTGCTCGTAGTGAAGAAGATGGCAATATCTCACAGGGGAATGGCGTGCAAAAAGTAGTTGCAAACGATGGAAATACACCAAAGCCACGTCGTAATTCGATTGATATCATCAACAAGTTTCGTCCGTCACTAGGCAAGACTGAGGTGAAACTTAAAAAGAAGCGACCAAGTTCCGCTGGGGTCAATTCAATCACTCCTCCGGTTGAGAAACCACCCTCCAGTAATACCAGAACTCAAAGTGCTTCAAACTCCCCTCTTCTTCCATTTGGGAACGTGAACTCAGGCCATAGCCTTTTGCCCAAGGGTATGCCAACTATTAGGAACATGAGAGACGAAGGAAATAGCCCCATTACTAGGCCGGTAGGCAAGCCATGGCTTGGGTCGGATCAAATTTCAAGCTCTTCTAGCTTACTTGGGGTTTCCAGCGGGAACCCCGGCGGCCCATCTCGAGGCAGTCGCCCAACTAGTTCGGGTCAGCGTATTGCGAAGATGTTTGTAATATGCTGTAAATGCAAGTTCTGGCATGACATGCCATCAGATGCCTATGCTAAGCTTGCGTTTCCCACTGTTGCAGCATTGAAGAATAAGCTGGTAACAGGACCTACTCAGAAGCCTAGACACCCCGACTCTGAGGAAGGAGGTGCAGGATGGTCAAGTATCACAGACCCATCCGGTCCTCAGCCAAATAAGATGGATGATGAGGCAAGGGCCAGTACCAATTTGAGCGGCACTAGTAACCATGTCAGCAAGGAGAACTCAAACGGGATGAACAACAGCAGATCATACCCTCAGTCTACCTTCTCCCGTTTTTCATTCCTCAACCAGTCTGTCATCAAGTGCTGTTGGTGCGATCATAGGATGTCGCGGACATGCTGTGCTGGATGGACCGCACTTGTTCAACTAAGGGAACGCCACCACTAGGTAACTAGCTCCCGAAAAAATACTTCTAGCCAAACAAACTGCTTTTCAATCGTTGGCCGTTCAATTACGATATATTAGATCAAATACATGGTTGACGAAAGAAGAGAAGCCGAAAAAATTCGTGACATTTGACGAGCCTTATGATAGATAATTGACTTATGGATAATGACACCTATGACCAATGAAGCTCACTCAGTGCTTTTTTTTTATTTCGCTACGGAATGATACGGGTTGTATTGGTGTGATTTGTTTAGAACTGGGTTGGATCTTCCATACTGTATACAGTTGATGCGAATTATTTATTGCTGCACACTTTTTCGGGCTTTACACTTGTTTTGATGTTTGAAACTCACCTCCTTAAGCTTTCCATATTCAATTTAATATCATGGTATAAAGACATAATGTAACTGTCCTAAAACCGCTGTGTTTTACAGCTTGTTTCCCTAATTACTGCCCGGCCAATAAGTATATTTTAATATATGGAACTCGAGTTAAACGATATCGATTCAGCCGTCAATCTTAACATAACTATGCAATATTTGAAATCTCGATGCCCAGGAAAGAAGAGGTTCGGTTTCAAGTTTACCCCCTCTGCAATGGAGCAAAAAAAAAAAAAAAGAGGGAGAAAAGGAAAAGAAAGTATAGAGTCTCGAGTTGAAGTAAGAAAAGGCAGATAAATAATGTTACAAATGAGCGATAGCATCAAGCGTTTATTGTTTCGGATTCGGTTGAAGTGTCCAACGCCAGACGTGGATTCAAAATTGCGTGGTAAGTGGTAGATAGATATAGTAGACCTTGTGATAAGAGAGAGCTTTGAGAGTGGCCTTGTTGCAAGTGGGTATCAAGGAGTCCAAATGGTTGAATAATCGTGTGATGGTAAAACTTGTCACACATCAGGCGTGCAGATAGCAGCATTGATGGCTGCGTGAACATCCTGCTTTCTGAAGCCGGGTGCTCTCCCAAGGCAGGTTGATCGACTTGCTAGCTCTAAGCATATAATCAATTAGTAAGTTACGTGAAGCATATAGAGTGAAAAACGAGAAAAAAAAAGATAAACTAAATACAGCAGATAACAACAACATGTTGGTGTATTTAACTCACGAGTGGTAAACTTCTCAACGTCCATAATCACCGTTCGTGGCCCGTGAGTTCCTGTGCTGATGTTCACGGCTTGGTCAACAGCGGATGTTGGAGGTAGGAATTGAGGATCGAACCCCAGCGAGCGCATATTAGACGATTTGCTACCAGAACAAGGATAATTGCTGGGATTCTTTGGTGAAGGATACGAGACTTCGATGGAGGAAGCCGTGGCTTGGGCGTTGGGCTGAGAACCAGGAGGGTTTATGAATTTATTGGAGGTTAGTAGTTTGCGAGAGTTCGCAACGAGCGACGAAGGAATCTCGATGAAGGTAGAAAGGCTCCCCAAGTGGATGCCTTTCGTTTTCAAATATCCTTCCACATCATGGCAGTCGAACCAGGTGCCTCCGAGCCCCGTTTTTTCGATGAATTCTTGCACAGTACTGACCTTCTCATTCTCTCCTAGCTGAGAGAGGAGGGTTCCAAAGACACGTTCCAGGGATTGCATATTTGGGGGAAATATGTTATTTCCGAGACCATCTCTTCGAGGATAATGCATTCCTGCACCCCCAAGGCAGAAGTGCGGTTTTTCTATAAACTCCAGGGGCTCATTTGCGCTTCTTTGTAGAAGGGTAGTAAACGAGTTATGTAGATGGCTTCGCAGGGTCAGGTAGAATGTGAGCCTGAACTTGTGGGCCAGGCGCTCCGGTCGAGTTCCAGGGTTTGTTAATAAAGCGTAGCCATATTCTAGAGAGCGGCGGTGGAGTCGACGAGCAAAGCTAGACTCTTGATGGCTATACGTAATAGGTAGGTCGCGATTGAAAATATATGCACCACTAGAGCAAGGAGAAGGGATAGCGTAGGTTGAAAACCCAGCCCTGTCGAATGTGGGAACGCTGACTGGAGGTATACTGATAGAAGTTATAGAATCATTTATCGTGGGGCCATAAAGTTGGGTAGTATCGGTAGGGATAGTCCCCATGTATAAGAGGTCATTACCGCCCTTTAATGGTAAAGGCTCGGCGCTTGAATAGCACAACTTGTCGGGAGCATTCGGGCACGGCTCGTCACTGGCATACGCGTCTGGGGTATGGTTTAAAGCAACATAACTGGCATTTTCCGCGGTTGTTGTGGGCGCTGGTAATTCATCCGGGTCACTCGCGGGACTCTTGCCTCCCTCCTGGGCCTCGGGGGTCAAGGACATGACCCGCCTCGTCGTTTTTTCCAGCTGCTGTGCCAGCCTTGGATATGCCGATAGGGCGCCGCTTCTCACAGCTTCGTCGTTAAAAGCCAGAAACGCTTCCCTCATCTCCTGCATGTTTGCTTCTAGCTCCGTGACACGCTGGGTTAGGGACGAGATTGCGGTTTCCTTTCGCATCCTGTACGCTCGTTGAGCAAGTCGAATTTGGGTCCGACGGCGCTATTCAATGGCGTTAACAGGTATAAATCTTGACGCAGATATCAGACTTACTTCGGCAGCCGTTCTATCAGGACAGTCCACCCTTGGGCGTCCGCGTTTCTTGGTCTCATTTGACATCGATACAGTACTGGTCTCCCGCTCTCCTTTCTGGCGCAAATTACCCCTTGTTGATATACTCTTCCGTTTCTGCTGGACGTTGCCAGCCGAATTTTCCTTGTCTTTACTGTCTCCAGTAAGCTGTTTTCTCCCTTGCTCGTCGTAGTCTGGGTACACCATCAAACCGCCCATAGGCAACTGACTTCCATCAGCTGAGAGCCCGGTAAGCAAAGAGGCGTGCGGTAGTTCTTGAAATGACATTGTAGAGAGAATGTCAAAGTTGTGATTTGAAGATGGGACGGAAAACATGGCCATTGCGATTGTGTCTGGGGCGTGCCCACTTTCAGGGCTGAACACAGCAACCAGGGTATATAAAGTATCTACTCCGTAACTCCTTTGCTTGGAAGGGCTCAAAGGCTCAAGGACTCAGGCTAGAAACTTTCAGACACTGAAAAAACAAACTAAGGGAAACGCTGGAGTTGAAGCGTTGCTGGTGGTGTGGAGAGGCTGAAGCATGAAGGCTCAGCTGGAGCAAGATAGGTTATCGGCCCAGGATCAAGACACTCTTTGTAACAGTAGCTGGCTGGCTGGCTGACTGACTAGCTAGCTAGCTACCAATCCTCTCGCGCCCGTACACGGAGTGCAATAAAATATATATCTCGTCGGCACCGGGCGCTGACCGGGGATCGCACGTCCAGATCCTGTTAACTGATGACTTGCATCCGTAGTTACGGAAGAGGCAGATGGCGGGTCAGAGGTGCCATTTGAGTGCGAGCAGAGCTGAATACGAAGAGCCCAGAGACTGCACGCTCGCTAGCCAGGGGGTTCCCTCCAGGCTGTTTTCTTCTCTTGAGAACAACGAGGCCGCAAACACGGCTGGCTCTGGTCTCCACGCCGGGGACCAGGGGGGTTCGACGTTGATAGTTAGCACACGAACCGCTGAGGGATGCAGTAGTAGCCTCTCTCGCTCTCTCGTTCTCTCTCTTCCTTACTCTCTCTCTCTCTTGGGTTTCTGGGGGCAAAAGGAAGACGCCACTGAAGCCGCCAGCTCTGCCTGTCGATCGTGTGAAAAACTTCCCTCTTCCCCACGTCGCGCATGCGGCTGTGACTGAGGACAGGAATCAAGGCGACCTTGCGTAACGAAGGGTTTATGCGCCAATGGCCTTGCGAGGTTACGACAACGGTCCGATATGTGGCTTGCCCTGCTGCGAATGCGCGCCCATCGCGATCTGAGACGGTCAAGTTTGCCAACGCTGCCGGCGGATATCGACTGAGGCAGCTAACTAGTTGCAGCGTATCTGGCTGCTCGAGGGCCTCTCTTGCTTATGGCTATCGGTTTTGTCCCATCGCACGGCCCCGTGCATATAACTACCTACGCGGAGTACTTGGTAGCCTTAGTATGCACAGCCTGGGCAACTCCGAACTAGGTACAGGGAAGCCATGGAGGAGAGCGGGAGGCAGAGGGGAGAAGAGGTCGAGACAGCCGCTCCGTCAAGGGTCAAGCATGGCACCGACAACTAGTTCATTACTCTACTCCGTAGACAACGCTCGTCCTCGTCCGTGGGTGGTGACGATGTCTCTGGCCTCCTTATTTTTCCTTGCTAGTGTACGGAGTAGTGATTTAACTAGTTTACCGACTAGTTAGTGTAAATGTCAGTCTGACTGACGTCAAAAGCTGTTCGACAACATCCAAAGCTCCCAAAGGACACGAACAAACCACACGCCGACCAGGCGCAGCGAAGACACGCAGACGGAGGAGACAGGCCTGCGAGCTGTCGCGGCCGCTCACTGGTTATCCAGCTCTCCTGGGCCTGAGATCCTTTTTGACAATAAATAACTTCTACACGCAACGCATGGCGCGCCAGCGGGCCTCTTCCAATGCCTCCACGATCCCTTCGCTGCCGGACCGTACCCAGGTACGATAGCTGTCGAGCCGTAACCTCCTTTCCATGGCGATGAAGCCGACGTCTGGTGAAGCTCTTCTTAATGAGGGCGCTGTTAACGTGTTTTGGCTACGTAGGAGCTCGGCAGCATGTATGATTATCTGGCAAAGGTGATCTTGCTAGGGCCTAGTGGTGCTGGAAAGTCCGTTTCAACCGGTTTCCCTTCCTCCTTTTCTTCTTCTTTGGGCTGGTTATGCTAACCCATGTGCTGGTGCCAATAGATCCTGTCTACTGCATCGATTCGTGAAGAATGAATGTACGCTCCTTGCTCGATCCTCCTACCTCAATCCGGTGAATGCGCCATGTCTTCTAACATTCAGGCCAGGGCGGGTTCTGTCATCACAGACAATCGGCGTCGAATTCTCTTCCAAGATAGTCAAAATTGGGTCGGGGTCGAGATGGAAGAGAATAAAGCTCCAGCTGTGGGATACCGCTGGCACAGAGAGATTCAGGTCGGTTTCTCGGTCATACTACCGAGGGGCTGCAGGGGCCATTCTCGTCTACGATGTTGCATCCCACTCCTCCTTCAGCGCTCTCCCAACCTTCCTAATGGACGCTCGTGCTCTGGCTTCTCCCAACCTGACAGTATTGCTGGCTGGAAACAAGAGTGACCTAGCTGCAGATTCGGCTTCGGTTGAGGAATACTGGGATGACCCCCTTCGACCTCCAGCCACTCCATCAAGCACATCAAGTAGACAGACGCCGTTTCCCTTTGATTCTGGCGGATCTCTTCGCTCAATAGGTAGCCCCGGAGTAGGGACCAGGCTGACAGCAACTACCTCTTCGGAGGGCCGTGATGTCTCACTTGAAGAAGCGTCAAGATGGGCATCTAAGTCTAATATACCTGTTGCGGTTGAAGTATCTGCTTTATCCGGGGATAACGTCGACGAACTTTTTAACAGGCTGGCCCGAATAATCCTTACTAAAATCGAACTAGGCGAAATTGACCCCGATGACCCTCAGAGCGGCATTCAGTATGGCGATGGTGGCATATATGGAACTAGTGATGGGGGAAGTATCCGAAGCGGTATCACAATTGACGACTCTCTTACACAACCCCGGAAACGGAAGCCCAGGAGAGGCGCATGGTCGTCGGGTATGAGAGAGTGGGAAGATGTTTTCCGTTCAAATCCCCCACGTCAGCGGAACAACAGATGCTGTTAGCCCTGAGCCTCGTCCAGGGCCTACTTCGTTCTCTTCGCTCTCTCCGTGTGTTCTTTTGTCTTTTTTCACCACCTTTTGCACGCAAACACTATTTAATCCTCGTTTCATTGACTGCTGTTTCCCTGCTTGCATGATACCCTGTTCACTAGATCTTACCTGATCCTGATATATACAAAGAATTTAGCATCATATTTAATCTTGGAGCCCCCCCCGTCTTATATGTCCTAGCAGCAATATTTGGAAAGGGCCAACAAAATCCGATTGTGGCTTGGAGGGTTACTTTGATTCCGCAGAATAACTCTGACACCTTTACCCGAGACCCTTTTTCGTATTGGAGCTTATTAAGTAGATAACTAGCAATATTGTTCAGTTTTCTACCCCTGCGATGAGTGTCTTGATCCCTTTTCCGGACTTCACTTCCAAAAACGCCTGTTCGGCATCTGTGAAGTCGACCACTTTGGTCACTAACTCTTTAACACTGAGCTTGCCAGAGCCAACCAGCTCCAGAGCTAGTTTGTAATCGCCGCTGTTATACCTGAAGCTGCCTTTTATGTTTAACTCCTTTGTGCACGCAGCCATAATAGGAAAACTGATCTCGTCTCGCCCCATGCCGCCTTGTACGTACGTTCCGCCCGGTCGTGCGATATGGATGCCAGTATGGACCGACTGTTCAGCACCCGACGCATCGATGACCACATCCGCACCACGGCCGAGCTCATGCTCTGAGCGTAACTTCTCTGCGTTTTCAATTGCCGAGACATTTCCAGGTAGAAACACCCCCGTGGCAGCATACTTGCTTGCAAACTCCAGCCTGCCTGGCTGAATATCAACAGCGACGATTTTGGCTGCTCCGAACGCCCTTGAAGCAGCACAGCACAGCAAGCCAACTGGCCCAGCGCCAAAGACTACTACCGTATCACCAGGCTTAACCTCTGCCTGGCGAGTGATATGGATAGCAACCCCGAGCGGCTCCATCAACGCACCGTCCTTTAGATCCATGGTATCTGGTAGCTTGTAGCAGAAGTCTTCTGGTAAAACATAGTACCTTGCAAGAGTTCCATCATATGGAGGGGTTGCTGCAAATGCCATGTCAACACATAGGTTGTACTTCCCACTCTTGCAGGGCTCACATCGCCGGCAGCATATTCCTGGCTCCAAGGCCACCTTGTCGCCTACTTTAAGGGACTGGACAGCCGAACCTATCTCAGCAACTATGCCGCTGGACTCATGACCGAGTACCATCGGTTCTTTCAGCACAAATGGGCCGATAGACCCATGGTCCCAGTAATGAACCTAGTGGATGCCATGTATATCAGTCAGTAACAATGACTTGCAACTGTATTTGGAGACAAGATGGAGAAGGCAAGGCATCCAACTCCCTCTTCTATCACTTTGCAAGAGGGAAGAGTCAGCCATCCTTACATCGCTGCCACATATTCCTGTATATTTCACGGTTATCAGGACGTCGTAAGCATTGTTCAGTGCTGGTACGGGCCGGTCTTCGAACTTGACTTTTCTTATACCGTCAAGCACAAATGAAAGATTCTGTGAGAAAAAGGGGAGTGTTAACCAACCGCGAAATTCGCATTCTAACGGGCGGATTTACTCATGGACGATGATCGAGACTTCTAACCTTTGGGCTATTCAGTGCCATGCTGGATATTTATCTAACTATACCGAACGAGCTCGTAAAGTATAGGAGAATAGTTAGTGTAGACTTCCGTATAGGCGGTATAGGCGGTAATTAGGTCTTAATTGTCGGAGCGAAGCGAAGACTATTGTATTCCAAATAGTGGGTTAAAATATTTATATCTATAGCCTATAGGTCCTTGAAAAATAGCTATAAATTAGATAATTAGTTAGAATTCTTATCTCTAATTAGTTACTAAAATAGTATATATCTAGTACTTTAGCTATACCTAGTATATAGTAATACCCTTTATTTATAAATATATATTCTATCTTATACTTTAACCTCTAACTATATAAGTTATCTAATTCGAAATTTCTATATTACTAGCCTTAATAATAAGAAAGTATATCTATTATTTATAAATATTAATCTTCTCTATCTATTCTTCTTATAAGGTATATTATTTAGATTAAACCTAAAAGTAAAAAAAGTAGTATTATATAGTATCTTCCTCTAATTTTATTATTCTTATTTTACCCCCTATCTATTTATTATAGTATAAATATTTCCCTTCTCTATTATCTATCCCTTCTCCTTTATATAAACTACTCTATCCTCTACTAAATAAAAGAACTCTGCTATAAAATTTATAGCCTTAAGTAATCCCTTCTATAATTAATTACCTATTCTAATATCTTCTAATTCCCTCCTTCTAGACTTCCGTATGGGCGGGTCAAAACCTTGGGTGAATGGGTTTGGGTGGTTGAATGGGTCAATTTGGGCGGTTTTTAAGAGCCTATCTTGGTCCCTGGGTGGGTTTAGAGATACCCTTTTACCTATCTAAGCACCCAATAGGTAACCATTGGGTTTCTTAGCATTTCTTGGCAATTATATAATTTACTAGTAAATTGAGGTCTAGTAATATTTTTTATATATTTTTAGCTAATTTATTCAATTTATTAGAGAGATTTTAAAAATAGAGTCAAGTATTATCTCTATAATAAGTCCTTCTTTTAAAAAGATTCTAATAAATTGAATAAATTAGGTAAAAATACTACGCTTGGCGCTTTTTATAGATAATTAGTAAGCCTACCTAACTACACTAGTAGATTACTAATTAGGGCTTGGCATTATTTTTAAACTTTGGGTTTAAATAGGTACCCATTGGGTGGTTCGGATTTTTCACCTTTAGGTTCTGGGTGGGTTTAAAAGAGCTCCCTTGGGTGATAGTTCTTGGCGGGTAAAACCTATTAGACTCTAATAACCACCCAACCTACCTATATGGAAGTCTACTTATAGGTAAAAATTAGTATAGAAAGAGTCTAAGAG